CCAAAGTTTGGCTGGTGTCTGAAGTCAAGGCAGTCTTATTGGGGACTATCCCCTTTAACTTATGGAGTCTGTGCTAAATCTGGCTAGTTTGTGCCAACACGGAATGGCAGCTGGGGATGAAATGCAATACTCCCTCTTCAAAATCCAAGCCTGGGGTATTCAGAGGCAGAGGTTCAGTGCAGAGGAAGAGAATGAGGCATTAAAAATGCTAAAGGTGGATTTATTGGAAAGCTAACAAAGCTTGGGCTTTAGGCCTCTCACAAGCTCCTTCCAAAACTCTGGGAGGATCCCTCACTATGTGATCCCAAATATGGTCACATCCTTTTGTAAAATATGCAAACTTAAGATGTTTTTGAATTGCTTTCTTTAAAAAGCTCCAGGACCCACTCAACCATCAAATTCTAGAAGCTTCAGGTTTGTTGAAGAAAGGGCCAGTTTCACAGCACGTTGCATGTTCTAGCACAATGTGGAGAAATCAGTCAAAAGAGTTTGCAGACTTCCAAACAGCACACAAAAGAGCTAAGAGCACCATGAGACCCAAGAGGCCAGGGGTGTTATGAGACGTGAGAATGCAGGAAAGCTGCTAACTAGTGCCCGTAGCCAGGCTCCAGATTTCAAAACACAAGTCATCAGGAGATCTAAAAGAATAAGATGAAACTAGCTGCATATAAAGACCTCCCACGACAGGAACAGACCAGCCCCTGTATGCTGAGGTCAGTGGAGACCCACGGGGAACAGGAGAACCAGGGTCGCTCACCCCAGTGCCACATTTAAACACTACATCTTTATCCAGATGCCATTTTGGAAAGGAAAACGGGATGGAAGCCCCCAGGGGAAGAGAGAAAGAGCCCAGAGGATAAGTGAATATTAAACTGACTACCACAAAAAGACAAAGTTAACTTGAGACCAGCTAACATTTAAGTTTCCTCAGTGGAAATAGGAATTTCAGAACCACATAAAATATCTTTAAAAAAACAAAAATTAACTGAGGCGTGTTTGAAATTGTGATCCTCCTGATTAAAAATGACATTATGAATGCAGAAAAAAATTAAATTCCACCACCTAAACAGATTCTCTAAAGGACACTGTAGGAATTTTTAGCATGCCACGATTACAAAATAAAACCTGTCTACAATGAAACCACATCACCATTTGCAAAGAAAGTGACCATGACACTTACACTTAACCTATGTGTCCTGAGGCAGGGATAGCTAAATATTCACCAAAATCTTGTTTTCCTGGGCTCACAGCCAGACCACATTCCGTCTCTTTTACAGCTGCAGTGGCCACACAACCAAGTTCTAGCCAGTGAAATTATAACCATTTAGGCAAGGCCCAGTAGACTGCTACACCCACTACTCCATGTTGTTTTCCCCACTTCCACCTCAAGTGGATGGAGATGACCAAGCTGGCAAAGCCTCTGTCAGTCTGGATCCCTGAATGACCTCATGGAGAACTCTGTCCTCACCAATCAGGAACACCTACCATAGACTTTCATGCAAGTGAGAAATCAACTTTTATTTATTTTTCTGGATAGGTCTATGGACAGGGCATGTTGAGGACCATCTGTTGCAGCAGTGACCATTACCAACATCCATCTATAGCCTTATCTGTCAATCCAGTGCTATTTCAATTCGGCAATTGTTGAGCACTCAATATCTGCACACAAGTCCTAAATTCTAACAAGATACAGAACCAGCTTATCGACTAGTCAGGAAAGCAGGCAGGTTGGCAACTACCGAGAATACTAGGAAACTGTGACTGAAGGACAAGCAAAGAAATGTTAAGAGCACAGTTAAAAGTTCAATTAATATTTATCTGTGAAGGCGCCACTGGGGAAGTAGCAACTGAATTGGGCCTTGAAGGAGGAGGAAAGTTCAAGAGAAAGAGGAAGGTAGAAAAGTTCAATCCAGACTGGACATGAGTTTGCAAACATTTGTCCTTGGTACTGTGATGCTAAAGACAGAAAAAAATAGTGTTCTGTTCACCCCAGGGAAAAGAACCAAGGCTAAGGAGAAGCTACAAGGAAAGAAGATTCTATTCAAAGGGAGGAAGAACTGTTAATCAGAGCTGACCATGAACTGGAGGGGACAGACAGACAAAAAGGTACTTTTTCCTTTTAGGGATGGCCAGCCTCCTGGCACAGCAACTGCAGAGAATGTGATTTAAGCAAGAGATGGGAAGCTGTTCCATTCAGCTGCCTTGCAGCTTTGCGATGCTATGTATCTTCGATGTCTCTGCCAAGCAGGCTTTGTACAACATTGCCAGGAAAAAGAAGAATTATTTTAGCCCTGTTACAGCATTTCTTACACAGCGGTCCTTGCCAAACTCCCTTTCAAGGCCATGTTGGCTGGGTTCACGCAATGTGTTAAATCACAAGCCAGTAGAGAACATCTCTTTACATCCAGGCCCATGAGAACCCCTTCAATATCATTTTATCATCAAAAAAGCTTCACAGGCTGATATTAAATAGGATTGCTGCTGGTGAACACCAATGACAGGAAGCATCTTGTCTGAATGCTTAGGCCACGGGGCATGTTGCATCTACTGCATGTCCTGGTTAACAGCAAGGTGGCCAGTTCATACCTAATATGGGCAAGCAGTTTTCAAAAGATTAGATTACAGAAAGATATGTTACAATAAAGCTGTTTTGAGAACAGTTTCGTCCTTCTTGGATGACATAGTATGTTGCAAGGCATTTTAGAATTACAATTAGAAAAACCAATTTTCACAGTGTAGTTTTGTAAAACAAACTAATTTTCTACTTTTAAATGTGCATGCTGTAGATAAAAGGAATTCTACTCAATGCATTAAAAAGGGAAATACTCTCCTAACACTACTGATAAGTCAGTCACTTTCCCTTTGCTTTTAAGGTTGTACTTCCATTTCCACAAACACTCATTGAGTCTCGTCTCTATGCTAGGCAGTGTGCTAATAATCAGGGATATAAACTGAACGAAAATGAGACCAAAAAAACCCAGATATCTTAAACTTGAAAACTTCCTGAGATTCATAATGTTGTTTTTCTTAAGGACAATTTCCAGTGATTAAAAAAAAAAAGTTCAGCTGCAGTCTTGCCCAATAAACAAGGTTATTTTGCTTTTAATGTCTGGAGAGTAAACATATCAAAGCTTAGCTTTAAAAATTTGGACCAGCTGGGCTCAGTGGCTCACGCTTCTAATCCTAGCACTTTGGGAGGCTGAGGCGGGTGGATCACCTGAGGTCAGGAGTTCGAGACCAGCCTGACCAACATGGTGAAACCCCTATCTCTATTAAAAATACAAAAAAATTTAGCCTGGCATGTTGGCATGCACCTGTAATCCCAGCTGCTGGAGAGGCTGAAGCAGAAAAATCACCTGGACCTGGGAGGCAAAGGTTGGAGTGAGTTGACACTGAGCCATTACACTACAGTCCAGGTGACAGAGGGAGACTCCGTCTCACCAAAAAAAAAAAAAAGCAGTTGGCCCAGATTATTATTGTCCCATCTGCTATAATAATACTCCAGGTACTCAACTTACGGCTTAAACAAAGATTTCCCGATATCAGAAATTAATATTAACCAAAAAATTCTTCATATTATAGACTGAATCCTAATTCTATAACTACAATCTCAATAGTGAAACAAAGAAAATTCATAAAATCACATTCTGAGGTCACTGGAATATTTGACTGGATATGACAATAGACTAATCACACAGATGTTATATTTTATACACAATTGTTCAACCACAAATAATGAGTAGTGCTTTGTTAATATCTCTCTTTTCAGAATCACACAGGCGTCCATCTTTTCGAAATTCAGGTCACATCTCTCTCATCATACAACATCCTGAGTAAATCACATCTCAAGTGGTGACAAGACCTGTTCACCTTTGATATCGAATCTCAAAATTCTGGCCACTGCCTTTCTACCCACCCACCTTATAACCTGGGTCTGAAAGTCCATTTTTCACCAAGCTTGGGAACTGTATTCCCTTTTGATAAGACAAACAACTCCCCAAAGCTTTTGTTTTGCTTGGTTTTTACCCAAACGCACTTACTATTTCCAGCATGAATTTACAGGCTGTGTCTGGAATGCATGCCCCAGGTTGCTGTGCCTATCTAGGTACTAAGTCTACTCCCAAAAATGGGAAGTAGAGCTAACCCTTCAAATGAAAGAGTCACTGGGGCCTCAGCGTTCACACACGTGACTCCTAAGAGCATTTTGATATTTCTGTGCTCCCCAAGGACCATTCTGAGATTTCAGTCCTCAATCAAAATCAGAAATCACCATTTTCCAAAGGGAAAACAACATAACCCCCCGAATAACATTTCCAAGCATCAGTGACCCGAGTCCCAGGCTCTAGTCTGTGTTTGTGATGGACAGAGCAGATCAAGCTGAAATCCATAATTCAAATGCATAAGCACCCACTGATTCTGTGCTTTCTAACAAGCTGTGTGTCCTGCATACTCATGTCACCTCTCTGTGCCTCAATTTCTTCATCAAACCAACTGAGTACAAAGGCACCTTCCAGCTCTAAAAGTACTGTTATTTCTGCAAAATAACAACACAGTTAGAAAACTCTGCCATCCCTGAACTATCTGTGCAGACCTTGCAAAAGCAAAACCTCGATTAAAGACCATGAAATGAGGGGGAACAATTAAAAAGATCTCTAAGGTGCCCTTCCATATTTTGATTCTCAGTTGGAGAGAGTGAGGCATGACCAGGCAATTGGTCATAAAACATTAGTGGGTCTCACAGCTCTCATAATCCTGTGCTTCCAATGGCCAATTCTGCTCTAGCAAAAAATTCTGCGTATTTTCTCCAAGCACTGCCTTGAAATGCACAACTTTATCTTTTAATGCAACAGCAGAATGACGTTATCATCTGTGTTCAAGAGCTCCTTCCTTTTGATTGTGAACTCATCCTCCTCAGAAAATTCCAGCTCTAGGCCCCAAGTTTCTCCAAGCCACCAAAAACACTCCACCTAGTGAGAGCAGGTTAGAGAAGCCACGCTTACCCTTAGCCACTGCTTCTCTGTGAGGGCATCACTGTAGTCCACGTCACGGCGCTGGCGAGACCCCCTCCCAAATATTTTCTCCTCCTCTTCCTCACAGGTGAGTCTTTCTACTTCGGCGTCATCCTTAATGATCCAAGAGGGCAGTTCATCCTCCTCCATTAGGCGGGGCTTGCGTTTCGGGTTCCGAGCATCTTCCCTCCGCCGGTCCATGTCCATCCGCTGGAGACATTAAGAAAAGTGTCAGTGAAAGGAAGGGCTTCTGTATGGTATAGGCTTTACAGTACGTACAACTTTCCCAAGTCACTTCCTATGGCTGCAGGGTCCCTTTCAACCTCTCTTATCCTGGTTGACTTGTTACAGCTCATCCCTAAATATCTAGGAAGAGATTGCACTAAGTAAAATCCCTTCCCTTTCTCTGTACCTATCTTTTGAAACTTGTTCATACATTTAAAAAGTACTCTTTAAGAATTTCCTTTTCTTTGTGTGTGTGTGTGCAAAGCTTATTTATAATAGTGGAAAAATTCAAATTGGTAATGCATTTGAAAACTATGATCTCTTGGTTATACAATTCTTTGCTTCCCCAGAAGAAACTTATTCTTTGAGTAAAGAAAAGAAAGATCTTTAAGATAGTTTGCTTTTATTCAATAGGGCTTGTGCTTTGAATTGAACAATCAGGAATAATAAAAAGGTGACCCAAGGTGTCAGTACAGAATAGCCACCCACAGTTGGACATGTGGAAGGGACATAAATGGTTTCACTAGTCCACTGGCCATGAATATACTAAATTTTCAATACCTCATGGGCACTGTGGGAGGAAGGCTCTTGAATTCTTTACATTTTAAATGTTGTTCTCTGATGAAAATATTATACCACAGACAGAGCTCAGAGAAAATTGCATCCCAACTGATCTAGTTATAAGTGAAATGGCTTCCTTTCAGAGCCTTCAAAATGCCTACTTCCCCACCTTCTCTTTTTTTAATAATCCAATTCACTTGTAAATAAACTAAGGGCCACATACCTGGCTTTAATCTATAATTAAACAATATGGATTTTTTAAAAAGTAAATAAGCTGCCACTGAATTTCCAGACATTAGTTATGCAGAAATATAAACACTAGCTAAATGTGTCATTTCCACAATGAAAGAGACCATTCATCGTTAGGTTATTTCCCTTTTTCCTCTTCCTTTTGTTCTACCATAGTGAAATCGGGATTCAATATAATGTTTTCTTAAAAGCTAAAACTGATGAAATGTAAATGAAATATCTACTTGAACCCAAATATGACCTCTAGAACCTGTTTTAAAATTAGCTGTCAAAGCCTTTTAAACTATGCTTCCTCCACATTTTTGGAAGTCATTACATTTCCAGAATCTGGTATAGGCTTGGGAGACTAAGACCCCTTGGTTGATAAACATGGCCACCGTGCTCTGTCATGTGCTATAACTAGCTCATGATGCTTCATCCTGTCTTCTAATGCTTTGGTGTCAGAATGGGATCCACCAAACCTTCATAATTAAAATACAGAGGATGCCTTGTTTTTCGTTGTTGTGGTTTTTGTTGTTTTTTTTTTGAGATGAAGTCTTGCTCTGTTGCCCACACTGGAGTGTAGTAGCGTGATCTCAGCTCACTGCAACCTCTGCCTCCTGGATTTAAGCAATTCTCCTGCCTCAGGCTCCTGAGTAGCTGGAATTACAGGCACCCGCCACTGTGCCCAGCTAATTTTTATATTTTTAGTAGAGACAGGGTTTCACCACGTTGACCAGGCTGGTCTCAAAGTCCTGACCTCGTGATCCACCCACCTCAGCCTCCCAAAGTACTGGGATTACAGGCATGAGCCACCACGCCCAGCCATTAGGATGCCTTATTTACAGCAGGATCTAAAGAGGGGCTTCATGAGGCAACCTCCTAATAATTATTAAAAAGCTAATAAGAAAAGAACATTTTTTGTTAATGTCCTATACTGAGATGACAAAAAATTGTCATTTCAATCTTTGCTTTTACTTCTACTATTATCTATACCAAAAAATAGCCTTTGAGGTATGTTTAATCAATATATTTCTATGGGCATTATTATTGCTTATATATTTGTCCACAATTAAGATAATAAATATTTTCTGATATAAAAGTAAATTATGCACTTGTTTCTTTTTTCTTTTAGGAAAGGTAGATTCAATTAAATAAGATAAGCTTAAAGTCTTAATCACTGCATCTTTCCCTAGAGATTTCTACCCACAAAATACCAATATAAAATCTTAAGTCAATATTAAGGCAAAAGTAAAACTTATTATTTAGTTACTAGATGAATACATTTGTCTTGAGATCTGATTATAAACCTGATGCTTACAAGTACAATTAGTTTTAAAAGTGCTTTTTGTCTTTGTAGAGAACATAGCTTCTAAAAGCTTGTTTGTATGTTAGCAAAATGTTTCAGATACATATCGTGAGCTGCCAAAGATCTTTTTAAATAAAATTCCTAAGCAATCAGTATGAAAGATAACTTTTTCTGAAGTTACATTTTTAGAAGGAGACAGCAAGACATGCTTTTTAAAAAGGTTTTTATTTTAAAGAAACTATCTGCTTATCATGTGTAAATCAGTGTCTATGATATAAAATCAAGTAAGTTTGCATTAATTTCATAGAGAACAATTTCTTTTCTAATAATGGAGAAAGAGTTTAAATATTTAAAATCCAAAGATTTATTCTAGCTCACATTCCATTTTTGTTTCTCGCTAAACTTTTTAATCGGTAGCTGGCGGAGATTCAAATTTTATTTTCTGTCCCCAGGTGGACGTGCTAATGAATAGTGAATTGGCCAAAGGCAGCCAGTGGATTAGAAGAAACTAAACCAAAATCTGTCTAATCCTCAAAATAGAAGCCAGCCTTCAAGAAACAAGCAGAAAATTTACAAAATCAAAGTGCCTACGAAAAGTGTTCCCTAACCAGCCTTACCTGTGTTACAAGCCTGTTCTTTGAGTGGTAAGTAGTCCCAAGTTAAAAGAAGGCTATGCCTTGGGGAGCCATTCAGATTTTTTCTGAGGTTTTCCATTTTTACAAATAGCCCAAAAGTAAGGCAGGAAAGTATACTTACCCCCTTACTTCAGGGCTGCTGATGGAATTCTCCATTTCTGGGCCTAATCTAACGTGGCAAGCAGCTTGACCTCTCCAGTGTCTTGAGAGTATCGGAGGCTTTAGCAGTGCTGAATTATTGCCTAACAGTGATCAGCTGAGGGCCTCCTGCTTGGCTGTTTCCCAGTAATCTGCATTTTAATTAGTTCATACAGAGAGAGAGGATGTCTATTTCTGATATGTATCCTTAACCTCCCTAAATAGAAAATATTCTAATCTTTGATTATGGTGGCCAAACAGTGTGAGTTAAGAAATTTAGATTTTATGAATGCCCTACACTGACCGCGCCATTAAGTCTTTCTTACTGTCATTCCTCTCTGAAATAGCTTTACTTGAGAAGAGTGGTTCATTTCAGACACAGGAGGAGAAAGGGAAGTGCACATTCCAGCTTAGGAGTTATTCCCACAGCTGCCTGAATTTTCCTGAGAAAGAATTACATATCTTTCATTGTGGAACATTATATACAATCAATGTTCCCCAGAAAAAAAGTCACATACAAAAAAAATAAAATAAAAATAAAAACTAACATAAGCCTCTCCAAACAGCTGGGGTTCCATTCTCAAAGACCGTCTAGGCTAAAAAGGTGGAGACTGCAAACCCTGTGGATCATACTCAGCCCACAGTTGCGTTTTGTTTGGCATGCAGTGTCATATAATAATTTTAAAAGTTGAATTTAGTTGCAACATTTTAAAATCTAGAGATCACATATAAAAACCTAGACTTCCAGCTCCCCTTGAAAATTTGTCATTTCTGGCAACACAGGTCTCACATGTCTACCTTGCAGCTCTGTCTCCCCATAGACAAAGCATCTCTAGTACACCTACCTCTGCCCACTTGCTTCACACATGCAGATTACTCCTGTAAGATCTGATGGCATTCAAATTCGAGACCTCTAACTTAAGGGCTCTGCAGCATTCAGCCACCAAAGTTATGGTTTATATTTATTCCCTCTGTCATCAGTCTCTGATGAACATGAAAATGATTGAAGGTACTGGAGGGAAATCCAACTGGTTTTGATCCTTAAACGAAGGCTAGACCTTTATGCACACCTTGAAGGTTCCCATTTGTTTAAGCAGGCTCTCTTCAACAATTAGAAGAGGCACACCTGTGTTGTTTTAGCTGTTGTTGTCCACCTGTCTCCCTAAGGAGCATGTTTGCTTTGATCCTGTAAGGACACAGCTAGGCACTGTTTTAAGTTCCAATGCCTATAGGAGCCAGATAGGATTCCTGAATGACACTGGCCTTGGATTAGAAAGAAACTGGGAGTAGGAGGGGGTCTGTGGTAAGTTGTAGACCACATGGCCTGTGCATAGAGTGCAGCTGCTACTTGGCCCTGGCCAACTGCTGCCACACAAAGATGTGGGCCTGGTCCTGCCCCATCTCATTTTTCAAGAGAAGCCAGAAATCGGGGTTCTTTTTATGTTGGCAATGAATGGGAAATTTTACAAAAACACTGCGTGGGCCAAACAAAATAATGTCTGTGGGCTAATTCCAGCCAGTTTGCAGCCTCTGAACTGAAAGAAGGCATAGGCTTCACGAATGAAGTCCTGCCAGGCACGAAGGCTCCAGACACTCTGCCTAACAGAGAAAGGGGCAGAGGAATAAGACATTTGTTTTCATGATTTTCTGTAACATTACCATAAAAAGGTCAAATTCTTCTTCTCGTCGAGCAATCATTTGGTTCAGAGTCTCATCGTCTGGCACTTCATCTTCTTCCTGAGGTTAAAAACAGAGTGATTTAGGAGAGGCTGGACAGCTGGCACAAACAAGTAAGTGATCTGTCCTCCAGACCACAGGGGTCCCAGGTCTCAAGCCAGAAAGAAAAGGGAAGGGGTTGCTGGATTTAGTACTTGCCATTACTATTTTATGAGCTATTAAAACCATCTTCCCAGAACAAAATCTGTTCAGGGAGGAAACATGGTGTACTATGAGAAATACAAGTTCTCCTGGGTGTTTAAAACAAGTTACTTCATGTCTCCCCACCTCAATGACCTCATTGGTCATATGGGCATGACATCTACTTCACAGGGGGATGTAAGATTTTAATAAGTAAATCCATATGAAAAAGTACCTAACATTAATTCTTTTAATTCCATTTACCTTATGCCAAATATAAATTCTTAGTTTCAAATCCTTACAAAAAACGTAAGTATATGAAACATTATTACTAGGCACTAAGACAATAAAAATCACATATATGTGCCAAATAGATAGCCTTTGAGGTGTGCTCAATCAATATATTTCTGTGGGCATTATTATTGTTAATGGTTAGAGCTATGGATGGGACTACTGAAAAGGTACCAATAGCAAAAAAAAAAAAAAAACCCTCAAAATTATACTTAATGAAAATAATTTAAATGAAGCAGAGAAAGCATTACAGATGAGCTAAAATTTTCATTTTATGTTACATCAAACAAAAGTGTATTATCTATCTGTTAATTCCTCAGAAACCAGCACTTCTCTGGATTTTCAGCAACGTTAAGGATGACTTCCAGACTTCCACACTTCTAAAAAATGATTCTAAAAGTTGGGCATAAACTACAGGGCTTATCTTCCCAAATTATTTTTATCATATGCTGAGTGGGCTTGTTAAAAATCAAACAGGGAATTTCAGTGTATCAGCTGAGGGAAGAAAGGGGAAAATGCAGAACTTCAAACATCCAGTTTCACAAACTGTATGTTCAAAATGAGGCAACTTGCTTTAGAGAAAGAGTATGAGCGCACTAGCGGCTCAAATGAGATGACCATGTTGGCTCTCAAGATAACCTTTTTCACACTGCAGGAACTTACTAAGTGTTGGAAATGAATGCAACCCAATAAAGTAAAAAATCTATAATTCAAGATAATAATTATTTCTGAAAAACCTTCTATTCTATCCAGATTGATTAAAGTCAATTTGTCTAAATATTACATTTCATCTGACAAAGACACAGACTAGCTGGGAGTGGGTTTAGACTTCACAGTACAAAGTATCTGGTATGCCTCCTCTGGTGAACAGATGTCCCGCTTTGCCTGCTTTCTTCCTAGAACCACATATTACCCTCTCATCTCCTGTACAATGAGGGGCTTAGATGACCATGTGCCCAAGATATAGATTATCTTGTAAACTGGCAAGAAGCCTGCCCAGGGTGACCTGACCTTCATGGAAAACCAAATGGCTGGAAGTGCACAATGCATCTTCCTGGGTTCTTTGTGCCCCAGCACTTTATGGCTGCATCAACCATGGTGATGACAGCCTATGCTGTCTTGATTTTTTCTGGACCAGAATCCTTGACTGCAGTCTCTCAGTGTTTTCAAACATCTTTTACATCAGGACACAGGCCACCCTGAAAATGGTAACATTTGTCTGATACACTGGCAGCTGAGAAGGGCCAGGGAGCCTCCTCAGCAAGGCTGCTCACAGCCAGCCTTGCTGGCAGGACTACTGGGAGGGGATTGCACTCCAGGCCTCACCTGGCAGCCCTTAGGCACGGGAGACATCATCTCCCTGCTGCTTAGGAAGGCTGGAAAACTCCAGGCTTCCTTGATTCTAAACCAGATCAGGTACTATTTTCACAAGGCCTCTACAAAACAAACAAGCAAAAATGCAGTGGAGGTGACTGGCTGAGTGTCAGCTCTGCTCACATCTGCTTTGTCACAGTATAGATCATTCACCATATTGTTTTCTTGGAAATGTCCAAGTGTATAAACAACAAGAACACAACAACAGAAATCACCCGACGATCTGACTCCATATCTGTATCAAATATTCAATTTCAAGAATCAGAAATTATAGATTATTTGAGAAAAAAATTTTTCAAATGTGTGAGGATAGTGAGTGCATGTGCATATGTATTTTTCATCATTTTCATGAAACCCAATGGACAGCTAATCAAAAACCTAAGACTGATGAATTAGGAGGCGTAATACAAAGTGCTCTTCAGTTTGCAAATGGGTTGATTTCAGGATTCCTTTAAATATCAAGTTCTACTTCACATTTAGACTCATTTCAGAAAAAAAAGATACAGATGGTCTCTGGCTTAAGAATGGTTGGACTTAAGATTTTTTGACTTTCTGATGCTGCAAAAGTAATACACATTCCATACTCTACTAGACTTAAGATGGGGCCACATCCTGGTATTTGCAACTTACGATGGGTTTGTCGGGATGTAACACCATTGTTAGTGGAGGAGTTTGTAAGACTTTTTTTTTCATCTGTTTATAAGACTTTTTTTTTTTTTGAGATGGAGTTTCGCTCTTGTTGCCCAGGCTGGAGTGCAAAGGCACGATCTCAACTCACTGCAACCTCCACCTCCCGGGTTCAAGCGATTCTCCTTTCTCAGCCTCCTGAGTAGCTGGGAGTACAGGCATATGCCACCATGCTCAGCTAATTTTGTATTTTTTTTAAAAAAGAGACTGGGTTTCTCCATGTTGGTCAGGCTGGTTTTGAACTCCCAACCTCAGGTGATCTGCCCGCCTCAGCCTCCCAAAGTGCTGGAATTACAGGTGTAAGCCACGGCGCCTGGCCCTGTTTATAAGACTTTTAAAAGAATCAGGTTCATAATTTACAGAAGACTGCAAAAACACATATCCTATTTAAGGAAAAAATCAAATTATATCTAATATATGCAATGAAAACAGTATTCTACATGAATATGTAAGGTAAACTTATTCTTTGATTTATAATTCATTCCCAACCAGTTTTATGATAAGGACTGCTGCTGATATTCTGTAGTTTGCTAGACTATATATATATGTTTAAAAATCTATTTCAAATCCATTTTGAAATGAATATTTATTATAAAATTACTAACACTGGCAATCTAAAAATAATACAAATGGCAACCCAACATTCCCCTAATAAAAACCTAACCAATACATTCTTCATACAACCCTGACAAATAAAGACTATTTAAACAGTATTTTTCCCAATCTTCAGATGGCTCTTAAAGAAAAATTTGAAATAAAGGTTAAGGTCATGCTTTCCAAGTGCAAATATAGCTAACTGTGTGGAAGATGGCTGTGAATGCTTGTCCTACAAATGTGTTGAAGCTCTGTGATCCCTGATCAAAAGGCAAAAGAGACAGAGGGCTCTGGAGGATGAGAAAAAGAGGGCCCCTTCCAGCTTTGTCCTGTCTCATCCAGCTGATTTTGTCCCTCAAGTATCCCCTCTGCACTTCTGCATCTGCCCTACAGAAGACAGCACTGATGGTACAATAAAGCAGCTGTTTTTACCACCCTGGGAAAAAGGAGGGAGTACCCACAGGCAAGCCTGGAGGTTCTTCCAGCAGCAGCTCTTAAGACATTCATTTTGGATAACTTTCAGAGGCTTTCTGTGGTTGGGATCTAAAACATCAGTTAATTTATTCATTTTCATTAATGCCAGCCCAAGAAGTTCTTTAAACAAAGGGGTTATTTCTTAGTTCTTCAGAGACAAAAGGCCACTGTTTGATTTCATAAACTTGGGGCTATCTGTAATACCTCATTTTCCTCTTCATGCTCCAAGATGGCCTGCAGGAATGCCCTCCGCTCGTGGCTTGAAGACTTTTGGTCAAACATGCCTGCCTGGATCACTTTCTGATCCACATTCAGCTTGTATTTTGCGGCCGCCAGGATCTTTTCCTCCACGCTGTTCACGGTACAGAGCCTCAGCACCCGGACCTCGTTCTGCTGCCCGATGCGGTGAGCTCGGTCTTGGGCCTGCAGATCCTGTTTGAGGGGACAAAATGCTGTGAGGACTGAGATGTCTGGCTTAGGCATCCCAAACCAGACCCCACCCCAGAGGGAAATATGGAAGGGTTATGTATTTCACCTTCACTAAGGTAAGATTTTGCTTACATTTCTTTTTTTTTTTTTAATTTTTTTGAGACGAAGTTTTGCTCTCATTGCCCAGGCTGGAATGCAATGGCGCTATCTCAGCTCACCAACCTCTGCCTCCTGGGTTCAAGTGATTCTCCTGCCTCAGCCTCTTGAGTAGCTGGGATTACAGGCAGGCGCCACCACACCCACCTAATTTTGCATTTTCAGTAGAGACAGGGTTTCTCCATGTTGGTCACACTGGTCTTGAACTCCCGACCTCAAGTAATCCGCCCACCTCGGCCTCCCAAAGAGCTGGGATTACAGGCTTGAGCCACTGTGCCTGGCCTTTTGCTTACATTTAAAAACACATAAGCTACCTTTGGAAAAATTAAAGGTCATTCTTAGTTAAAGAAGCCTGGGTTTAAATTAACCCAGCCAACTGAAATACATCTCAGGTTCTGAAATCCACGTATCATATAGTTTTCATCTGTCTCTAGGTTCCTCATCAGGATTAGTCCCTATCTAAAACATAAAACAAGACACCAATGTCCAATGTCAGAATTGCAACTTACATATTACCTACAACTAACCTTAAGTTGCAAGGAATGCGTTTTCTTTGGTGTGATGTGTTGAAGATTATTTTTTAAACATCACTGAATGGTTGTACATTCAGGTATTATACATACATACATCTTACTACACACACACACACACACACACACACACACACACGCAGAGTGATTACTCAGGTAGTCAATTTCCTAGAACCTAACCCTATCAAAGACTCAGTCTTCAATTTGGGAAATGAAAAGGACTGCTAGTTGGGTAGTCAACTGGTGAACTTTTGGGGACAGAAATTTGTCATTACTTATCAGAAGTGTTAAAATTGTTTATGTCTCTGACTCAGAAATATCACTTCTGGAAATATATCTTAAAGAAATAATCGTGGATATGCACAAAGATTTAGAAAGAAGGATGTACCTTCTCAGAATAATTTAGCTATAATGGCTTTTTAAAAAAAGAATTAAACATTCAACAATAAATTGGCAAAATATAGTATTCTACTCTATGTATGTACCAACAAAGTATCACAAAAATTATATTGAGGCTGGGCGTGGTGGCTCACACCTATAATCGCAGCACTTTGGGAGACTGAGGCAGGTGGGTCACAAGGTCAGGAGTTCAAGACCAGCCTGGCCATGATGGTGAAACTCCACCTCTACTGAAAATACAAAAATTAGCTGGGTGTGATGGCAGGTGCCTGTAATCCCAGCTGCTTGGGAGGTTGAGGCAGAGAACTGCTTGAACCCAGGAGGCAGAGGTTGCAGTGAGCCAAGATTGTGCCACTGAACTCTAGCCTGGGTGACAAAGTGAGACTCCATAAAAAAAAAAATTATATTGTAGGAGATTTAATGACACAATGCTATAATAAGTGAATGGTTGTACAAAAAGCAGCATGTGCATTCTGATCTTATATGTGCAAATTTATCTATGTCAAGAAAAAGGTGGGAGGATAAACACCAACATACCAACAACACAAATCTCTAAGTGATAAGAGTATAGGTGTTATTTCATTTTCTTCACTTTGCTTACATTTTGCTTTTTTCAGCTTTAAATGTTACTCATACATTACTAAGAAAAAAAGCTTTAATGAAATATTTAAATAAAAACCTTCATGAGCCCAAGAAGCAAGAGTCACCTAATATTACAGCTACATAATAAAAACTTTTTGGCATGTGGCTTTTATTCATTGTGGTCCAGGTGATGGTATCTGGGCCAATGTGAATTAGTTGTTTACACAGGTCCCCCAATTGACTGTATAGATTTTTAAGGCAAAGGTCTGTTTCCTGTATCCCACATCCCTGGCACCATATTTTGCACAGAGCTGATGCTCAACAGCTGTAAACCCATCTTCTTGACCAGACAAGTTTCTTGGTCACCTGTTGTAGCATAAAAAGGCAGCAGGCAAAAGGCGGCCCTGGAGATTTGTTTTGCTGCACAGACCCTTAAAATTGAGTAGCAAGTCAGGCAAAAGCTTTTCCTTGGCAGATATTTGAATAAGTTAGTATAAATATCATAGTGCCGAGCCACGAAAACAGCTGGAACCCATCCATATTAGATTATTTTAGAATGTGAGGTGGATCATTCAAATCCAAAGGTGACACCAAACTCTAAAACACCCTAAACTTCTTTTTTAAGCTTTCAGTTCAACTGTCCCGCTCAACATATCTTCACCAGAACTGCTAACAGCAGTCAAGATGACAAGCTCTGTGTCATCAAGCTTTTCACTATCTCCTGAAACAGAGGCCAGCAAACAGTCTCTAAAAGGGGCTCAACAGTATTACTAAACATTCTAGGCTGTCTGGCCCAGGAGTAAAAATTGAGCAACTGTTCTCACCAAAAGGCTGATATTCTTTTTCTCACCATTTTCTAATTTATACTTTAAAAAGCGAAAACCATTCTTTACCTGCAGGGGCTGCCAAAACAAGTGGCAGGTCAGAATGAGCCCCTGAGTAGATTGCTGACCCTTGTCCCAGACGATGCTGACAAAACCACAAAAATACTAATTGCAGGGGGCAGCAGAATATGAATAGAATAGGTGAGGAAGCAGGACACATGGGCAACATACAAGCAAGGTAAGACATTAGAGAATCCGTGGGAATTTGCTGCAATTAGTTTTGTTTGGTGGTGGTGGCGGTGATGTGTGTTTGTGCGTTTCAGATCACCCATCTAATTGGAAGGTCACAAAAGTTCTAGGCTGGAGAAGTTTAATGAAATGTGAGCTTGAGTCTCTAAGCCAAAATGTGGGGGGAAATATTGTGACAAGGAAGTAAGTGCTGTAATTATTGGCTGGATTACTAAGTATTTCTGAAGTCTCAATTAAGTGGTCTGAAAGTTCATCACACTGACTTAGGTCTGATGATACTTGAAGCCAGAGCCTGGTCTGAGAAGAGGGCCTGCAAGCTAAATGTGGCTGACCCTTCTGTAATAGAAACACAGCTGCAGCTCCATGGGTAAAAGAAATGTAAGTACCAACCCATGTTTCTAATCAACGGTTTGGAAATGAGAGTCTTGGCAAGCTGGAGGGATTTTTTGTTAATTCCACAATCGTGAGTTTTATCTTTGCTTCTAGGTAGGGCCCCCAGTTAGCAACATTAAGGCCTCTATTTGTCAACCTATGTCAAATAAAGCCCCTGTTTTTACCTATGTGCCTTCATTTTGATTCAACCTGATAATGCATGCTTACAGATATTTTTCTTCAATGCATGCTGAACTCAACCTGGTAAAAAAAGCTCCACAATGTTCATTTGTGGGCATACAATCTCTATGCAAGGTAGAAAGAGCTCAAACCCAGTATTCAAACTGAAACCTTGACAGTCATGGTGTGAATGATCTGGTATGGTGCTCATGAGCAAGCTAACATTGACTGGTTTCCTTATGTATAAGATATTTTGAAGATTACTTGCGGTGCGGTATGCAAAGTGCCTAACAATATTTAGTAGAGTTCTGTACCTTTTAAATGAAAACTCAGATGCATCTTTATCACTCTAAAATCAATGATTTCTGAAAAAGAAAACCCTGACCAAACTAATGCTCATATTAAGCAACAGATGAAAAATCTGGAAGGCTCAGTTTATTCGTATCAGGTGGAAGCGAACCCATCTACAGCAGCTAGAAATACTTTCAGAGGCCCAGCATGAAGAACCTGTGGTAAAGTCAACCAGAGAAAATCTGGGATCCTGTGTTTTGCTGCCGAAGTTTTAGTTCACATGTAGTTAAGAGAGAACTATTTCATGTCACTGCAATTTACTTTGATTCCAGAGTTCAAAGTTTTTAACAGAGAGAGAAGGGAAAAAAGTGAGGTGGGGTGGGGTGGAACATCATACAGATGTTCCAGGGTTCTTTTCCATGTTAAATAGCATTTTCTGGAATGGTGGATTTTAGAATTTACAGTGTTCCAGTGAAGGTAAGTATCTGAGACTCAGTTGAAATGCTTATCTCCGAAGAGAGAATACAGCAAACTCTCCGCCTATAGACAGTCCTCAATACTTAGGTACCAGCAAGGATAATCTAAACATCCAACCACACTGAGCACACCAGGAGGAGAGGAGTCACATCATGTCTTCCTTTCTGCCCCTTACTCAGCCTAGCTCAGTGCCTGCTGCATAATAAGACACTCAGTAAATGTTTGTGGAACAAATACTGAATCCAAAATGGTACAAAGGAAAAGTGCAGATATCTCACATCAATATGAATTCTACCTGAGCCTTGGAATGCAACACTTTTATATATTTATAAAAATATGTAACCATATTTTCTGAAGACTTAGAACTAATATATTCTGTGCTGATGGCTCCCAATCCTTTTCAAGATCAGAAAATTTTAATAGTTGCTTTAATTAATTCACCTACAGGCTCAAGTGATCCTCCTGCCTCAACCTCCCAAAGTGCTGGGATTACAGGCATGAGCCACCACACCTGGTCTTCCTTTTCACTATTTTGAATTCAACATTTGTTCCAGCATGAATTAAATCTTGACAAATATCATCCTACCCAATGTCCTACAGACAGGTGCCTCATCTCCCAGAGTAATTTAGAAAAACAGTGCCATAAGAGACCCACTTCATTTTTTTTCTTTTAAAAAAAAATCAAAGTAGTACTTTAAAAGGATAGCCCTAACTTACCTGCCTAAAAGAGCTTTACAACAATAAATGCTCATTAGAATGCGTTTTTATGATGACTTTTTTTTATGATGACTTTTAATACACACAATAAAGGGTTAACTATGGTAATACTGTTTGGCCTTGGGGAAGTCACTAACCCTGCCTATGGCTCAAATTTCCTTGACGGCAAAGATGCAAATCATATTAACTGTGTCACAGGTTTGTTGTGAAAACTGAATGAAAAAATGCCCAACAGGCTGGCGCAGATTAAGGGTCCCATAAATGATGGGTTGCTGTTGTTCTTACTGCTATCATTTTCCCACATTTTTTATTTATCCTCCATTAAATATATTTTGTTCAATGGCAATCCCAAGAGATGGGATTAAAACTAAACAGAAACTTGAGTTTTTCTACCCCAAACTTCAGTTCTTCAAAGGCATATGTGGGACATCTTATCTATGCTCTTAGGCATTTAAGAAAACAGCCATAAGAATTGGCTCCAAGAAAGCAACAGCCCACTCGTTTAGTTATCTGCTCTGTCCCATAAATGTGAATAATGAAACTGATCATCTTTTAGTTCCTCTCCAGAGGGAGGCCTGGGCACCTGAGTCGGACATGCAGACCTGATGAGGATTCCAGTCGCTGTCAAAGATGACCACCGTATCAGCTGCCTGAAGATTTAAGCCCAGGCCTCCAGCTCTTGTACTCAGCAAGAAAATGAAATACTGGGATCCAGGTTCATTGAATTTCTTCAGCAAAGCAGCACGATCTTCAGACTTGGTGGTGCCTGAGGGGATCAGAAAAATTAATTTGCCAATTAACTCTTGTCTGAAAATGGCACAGAGCTAAAAACAAAAAGGCTTGCTTCCTTCAAGAAATATACCCAGACTCCTCCTAACACTGGTGAGGTAATTTCCAGGCCTCTGTACTTTTGGAAAAAAACTTTGAACATTTGCAATCAAAAAATGACAGAGAGAGAGAAAGAGTTTACACATTTCTGACGAGGCATCTTTGCAACTTTACAAATTTTACAAAATCCTTACTCTCACCTAAAACAATGAAAACATTTTTTTTTTTTGCATTTATTTCTGTCATTTATAACAACAAATAATTTCAAGAACACACACCCTTCCTCTCTCTCACACAAACATGTGCTTATAACTGTAATAATGGCTTAAAGAAACTTTGCTGATAGGCATTCAAGCAAGGACTTTTTTTATGCCAAAAAAATATAAACAAAAGGAAAGCTGTTTTCTACTACTTTACCATTTGGATTACTACTGAGTATAGTCCGGCTGGTAAAAACATAAAATGCAAATGAAATATATATTTTTTGCAAATGGAATAATTTTATCCTTCTTAGCAAGACTTAAAGCCACAATAATAATCCCCCCCCGACCCCCCCGCCAAATAAGGAATCTCTCAAGTCTGTTTCTCATGTTATCATCCTACTCTGCTGAGTTTAAAGTATGCTAAATCCAAATGAACTAAACAAAGCAGCGGGTTATGTACTTCGGGGTGATTTGGCCCACAGAGACTGAGGAGGCTCCAAAATAGTGAATACGCAGACAGTACCAAACCCCAGAGTCTGGTGCTTATGTTTAGGGCATACTTGCATTTTGGGTGAGCCACTCAATCACATAGTATTTATCTGTAATGTATTTCATGAAATACATTGTGGAAGGGGAGAGAAAAAAAACACCAGTATTCCATCTGATCATATTTCACCAGAAAAGCCTAGACACTGAGTTTTAAAAAAAGGCTTTAAGTTGTTGGGAAATATATACGCATGTTACATGATAGTCCCTGACTGGCTGCTATTCAAATATTATTTCTACATGTTGTTCTTTAAGGATGAAAACATACCAGCAATTTATTTCAGAGGATTAAAACATTTAAGTGATTGTAGCTAATGAATCAAGTTGCTATTAAGGCCAAGTTCTCAAACATGGGGACAATCTGTGTTTCACATTTAATAAATATAAAAATAACAAATCCCCTCCTGAGGAGGGAGAAACAAATCACTTCCCTGCATACGGCAAACAGGGATTAGGAATGAGGGGTCTGGGGCTCTCCTCACTTAATGGAGTACTGTTCTTTAGACCCAATTTACTCTCTACGTCAGGTTTCGAGTTCAGGGAACTGGTGAAGTCCTGACACAATCAATAGTCCGAGTTTAGATTCTGGAGGAGGAGCACTAAGCATACTTTGTTGAGTGAGGTTTCAAATGTGGAGTTCTTGTTTCTTTTATTTTCAGAACTGGCTTTCTGAGATCATGGTAAACTATTTGTTCACGATTCTAATGGAAGATGTGTTCTATTCTGCCACAAAACCTTCTCTATCATCTTTCCAGCTGCAAGAATTTCAAAAAAAATTACATGGATTATTGGTTCACATATTTCCCCTCTGCCTTAAACTGAATGAAAAGCCACAGAAACCAAAAATTTCTTCTAAAATGGGTAAAGAAGAGATAATGACATCTGTGTTTCTGATAGCTGGGTACAAAAACTATACATCTATGCTCTCAGGAGAGAAGTGCAACAGTTTCAATTAACTGAAATTAATCAGTTGATAATCACATGGATTAATGAAACAGAGCAGTTCATCTCATCGGGTCTGCCTGCCCTGCATCTATGTGCTTTTGGTTTCTTGCTTTTTGTTATTTTTGTTTTTTCTTTTCCCATGAAGCTGGAGGCTGCAGTAGCTAAAGGCCTTGCTGCTGAACATTAAAACTTAACCTTCACTGGCTACTTTATAGATAACATTCATAGGTCACCATGGTAATGGTTACTTCAGTTATTTTTCAGGAACTTTGGCCAGCTGTGTCCAGTTCGAACTGGTTGTCACCACTGACCCTTCCACTAGGCCTGAGCCAAGTGCCCAAGAGATAGCTTTTGATGACAGACAGCCAAAAACTGCACCGTCAGACCGCCAAAAACTGCACCGTCAGACCATGCTAACACTGCCATTTTCTGCATGTATGTCCTAGGAAAGCCATGAACCCTGGCTATGCTTGCGCAGAATGAACCTGTTACTTCATTTTTCCCCACTGCCAATCACCATTCCTTGTGCCTTAGATCACTTCACTTCCTTGCCCCATAAATATCCCTAAGACTTAACTTCAGGGAGGTAGAGTTGAAGGCTATCCTTCCATCTTTTCGCTTGGCACCCTTGTGAATAAATCTTCTCTTTTGCAAAAGCTCTATCGCAGTGATTGATTTACTACACGTGGGCAGAACAGACGTGGATCTGGCCGGTAACATAAGATATAAATACAACTAATGCCTACTGGGATAAAATAAACTTACATGCAAAATAAAGCACTGAAAAACAAAAGGAATATACAAATAAAATTATTTGCTCAAAGGAGTTTTTAGACCCTATACCAGATACCTTAAGCAAATAGGCCAACCATATATCTGGTGTGTATTTAAATTATATAAGCCAGGGGCAGTGGCTCATCGCTGTAATCCAAGCACTTTGGGAGGCTGAGACGGGAGGATCCCCTGAGGTCAGGAGTTCGAGACCAGCCTGGCCAACAGAGTAAAACCCCGTCTCTACTAAAAATATAAAAATTAGCTGGGCATGGTGGCACATGTCTGTAATCCCAGCTACTCGCGAGGCTGAGGCATGAGAATCACTTGAACCTGGGAGGCAGAGGTTGCAGTGAGCTGTGATTATGCACTGCACTCCAGCCTAGGTAACAGAGTGAGACTCAAGTTCAATATAATAAAAGAAAATATAAATAGCTGGTAACTTGACAAATTATTTAAAAACACACAAAAGATTAAGTCAGTTTTTAACGCAAAGCTATGGCATTTCTTATCACGAGTTTTGGAATTTGCTGGAAAACCATTTCTGTCAAAGATTTCCAAGTCAAGATCTTTACTGATCATCAACAATCTTTAATATTGCCCAGGGAGATTACAACTACCAAATAAGGGTCTATATCTAAAGGCAGACACTCCTTACAAGTGGCACAAGATTTAACATGCTCAATAGTAACATCAGTTACATGGTCTTTCAGACTTTGATACATAACCAATTATAAGAATACAATTAATAGGGCAACTTTGTTAAAAATTACAGAATTTACCAGAAGGAACACACTGTCAGACTTCCATGATGACTAATTTTAACTTAGTTTCAGCTGCTTTTAGAAAGTGTTGTCTTCTGGGATAAAATCTCACCACTTGCTCTCACTCAAAAATCATTTCCAGTAAAAACAAAAACCATAACGGAGTATTAGCTAAATCTATGCATGCAACCAAAATCTTTGCAGAAAATTTGTGCTTAGCTTTCATCAAGTGATTTTTTTTCCCCCAAAGTCAAAATCTGAAACATCAAATTCAGCAATGAAAATCTGAAGTCATTTTAACAACTGGGTGGTGGGATGGGGGATAGAAGGGGTTTCAGTTGGAAGTGTGTATACTAACTCATCTGTGTGTATATTGATTGTCCATCAGTTCTGTCCACCCTTAAAAGGAATGTCTGCTGTTTCTTATGGAAAGAAGCCTTCTCAATTCCACCTGTAACATTCTATGCAATTTGATTGTCTATCTCCTTCCACCTAATGGTAAGGGCTCTGAGAGCAGGAACAGTGAATAGCTCATCCATCCTGTATCTCTAGTGCATGGTGGTTGGCAATTAGTCAATTTCAAATTTTAAGTAAGAGAAGCTTGTATTTTCAGAGATGGGTATACCTCTCTAGATCTGCTAAAACTGAGCTAATTTGGAATCAAAGAGATCCAAGTTAGAGCCTGGTTTCACCGTATACGTTTGTCTTCTCATCTATTAAATGGGCATCATAATGGCATATATAAAGGGTAACAGTAGCTTATTTATGGAGAAAATCAAATTAAGAATGCACATGAGGTGCTCGGCCCAGAGTCCCACACAGAGTAGGTGTTCCATACATGTTAGCTATTATGACTATTATTATTAATAACAAAAGGACAGCAGCCAACAAATTATTAAAGAGAAACTCTCAGGCTGGTAAGAAAACAGAGCAATTTCTTTCAAGGAAGTCACTTCTTATCAGTTTAATGGATTCAAATATTCCAAAGGAGCAGTCCTCAGAGACCTGAGATTTGGAGTGAAATGCCACAAAGTAGCAAGTGAGTTATGCAGGACACCTGTGGGGGGCTGTCAGTCCAGAGCCCCACAGCCCCTCACCTGAGCAGTTGGTAAAGCAGTTTACCTTTTGAAGGCAGAGTGCTGAATTTCCCCCTTTCCAGAGATAAGGATCCAGTCAAAAAAGAGACAATAAAGGAAATTTACCAAAAGAGAAAAACTGTGCATACTAGGACTTATGAATTCAAAATTCACATTTACTTACCCATTCATTGGTTTTCAGTGACTTTGGAGGGGAGAGGTAAAGGGGTTTTAAATAATTAAGTTTGGGGCCAGGCGCAGTGGCTCACACCTACAATCCCAGCACTTTGGGAGGCCAAGGCAGGCAGATCACTTGAGGTCAGGAATTCGAGACCAGCCTGGGCAATATGACGAAACCCTGTCTCTACTAAAAATACAAAACTTAGCTGGGCATAGTGACACACACCTGTAATCCCAGCTACTCAGAAGACTGAGTCAGGAGAATCACCTGAACTCAGGAGGCGGAGGTTGCAGCGAGCTGAGATCACACCACTGCACTCCAGCCTGGGCGACAGAGTAAGACTTGGTCTTAATAAAAAAATAAAAAAATAAAATAAAATAATCGAGTTTGTCATATGGTATAATTAACTTGAAAGTTAATTAATAATACCCTAAGAGACAGACTGTAAAGAGAATTCACCTAAAAACTTAACTCAGAGAACGTACAGCAAGTCTGAGTTTAGTATATATCCAATAACATTCAATTAAGTGCCAAAGGGAAACAAAATGTTGGACTGAAAATAAAGTCTTTTAATGAAACATAAACCTTAAATTTCCCATTTAATAATAGTAATATTGCATTAGATAAATAGCAGTATTAGCAGCACCCTCTTTTCTTCCCAGGGATTAAACAGCATCCTGACTGTAAACTAACTTTGATTCCTACTTACCACTCTTTGAATGCCATTATTTATGCCCTGCCATTGTGTATAAATGCTGACACTTTTAACCTCTAATATATTATTATGGCTGGCATCCAAATTGTAATATAATTTAGGAAGCATCCCTAAAATCATATTTTCTTCCATTAGTATTTTGTCTTATTAATTTTAGGACATACTATTTCACTTTCACTCTTAAAGCCAGGCAAATACTTTACATAGCTTGCAAAATCCAGGAAATGATGCAGTCATATCTGTTAATAATATAACATGTAGATATGTCTTATTTAGAGAGGGGCTTTAATGATAAATATATTCTAAAATGAATGATGATATTATTACAAAGAAAAGTGACATAGCCTTTATCCCCCTAAAATATGTTTTAACTTAAAAAGTTAAACGTTTGTCAACATATTCTATATGTTGGCACACAGGTAACCATCAATTTTAGAGCAAGAAAGATTTCAAAATTTAAATTTAGTTAATTTTATTGTATTTAGGTACTCATAAGTGACTCTAAACTCATTTGTGTTGGTTTACATGTGGGCTATGCAGCTGTGCAAATCAGGTCAGCTTATTTAAAGCTTAACGATGTAAAAAATTGCTATCTAGAAATACTGTACCCCATGCTGATAGTCAATTCTTCAATTTTACCCCTTCTTTTTGGCTGAGATTGAACCTAAGTGCGCATTATTCCTTCATTTTCAGTAGCATAGCTTCTGAGCCTAATGCCTCATGCACTTACCATCAAGGCGTAGGTAAAGGAAGTTCCGAAAAGCAAAATAATCTTCCATGATGGTCATAAGAGATGTCATCTGGCAGAAAAGCAGCACTCGGTGGTTAGTCGCTCTCAATTTTGGCAGAATACGATCAAGTAGCTCAAACTTTCCTGAGGCCCGATACAGCTCAGCCCTGAACCCAAAAAATGCAAAACAGGAAGACAGCATTACTTCTGTCTTCTTGAAAAATCCAGTATTGCTTTGCTTTTCATATAGTCCTTTGTACACAGTAAACATCCAATAAGTAACTGTGAAAGGAATGAATGAATGAATGAATGTGAACTCCAAAGCAACAAGAATATTTAGCAACAAAAAAAATATATTCATAAAACACCCATGAAAAGTGCATTGTATATACTAGCTATGATGACAGGTTCTAGAAAGAAAAGGAACCACTTTCACGTTCTTAATACTTTCCTATTAAGTATTACGCATATTTACAATCTAGCTCTTTACAGGAAGAATTTGCCAACCACTGGTTTAGAGTGTCAGCAATGACCTCCCAGAAGAGGTAACATTTTAGCTAAAAGCTGAAATAATGAGTAGAAAGGCATCCAGCTGTAGAACGAGGGCACTAGGGTGGAGAGAAGATTCCAGGGAGAAGAAAGAGCATGTGCAAAGGCCCTGAGGGGTAAAGGAGAGAGAAGAATTTGAGAAATTGAAAAAAAAGGGTGAGCATGGCTTAAACAGACAGGAGGAAAGAACACTAGATGAAGACAGAGAGGTGGGGGATGGGACTAGGAACAGGTTCTGTAGGGCTCTATGAGCTACACCGAACATTTTCATTTACAATGCAGTGAAAAGCCACCAATGGGTTTTAAGCAGGGAGTGATGAGGTCTGGCGTACCGTTTTACAAGATCACCATGGACACCGTTTAAGAACGGACTCAGGGAGGACAAGAGTCTTGGATTACTGTAGAAGTCCAAGTTAAAAATACAACGGGAGTATGAGATGGAGAAGACGCTGCGATATGGAGAAAGGCTAATGTATGGCCTTTTCCCTCTACAGTTCACCTATTTTTTTCTTTTATTAACAGGGCTGTGTTATACAATTAAAACTGAATCTCAAGTGATACTGTTTGGAAAACTTGCCAGTGCACATGCAATCTACAGTGCTGAAATGTATCATCTGGTAGTTGATTTTATGACATGGGATACGTTATTTCTAACAGACACATTTTCAAATGTATGTCTTCCCTATGTCCATCCCCCACTCTGACCACCGTTCTCCAAATACCCCATTTTCACCATGCAATCCTGGCCAAGCTGCTGGGAGCCGGGGTAACCACAGAACCCAAAGAAGAGAGAGACAAGGAGAAGTAGGGAAAGCTTAGCAGCACTGCTTCTGGCTAGGGCCCAGTTCCTGGTTCTTAGCCCAGTGAAACTGTCTTCCCTTGGGATCCAAGAATGCTGGCTATACCTTAATAATAAATCTTTCAAATTTGTAACACACACACACACACACACACACACACACACACACACACAGACTTTCTGTTAATGCAATGTTCATTTTTGTTTTGCAAGTCAAGATTCTCTTTAATATCCATTGCTAATGAAAAACATTTCTTACACAAACCATACTCTAACAAATGACTGTAAAACTGTACACATTTATAGCAGATGAGAAATTTCTTCTCAAGTACATTAATGTCAAATGTCAATGTGAAATTTAATAAGAAATTCTCTTCAAGGCCAAGCTATACTTTTGGTTATAAGTAACAAACCTTTGAAGCTTCAACAACATTTTTAGAACACTAGGATACTATTAAGTCTATTAAATGAGATCTATGTCCTTTGAATAGCCACTTGCTTAAGGCAAGTAATAATTTATGCCAGTAAAGTAAAAGAGAATGCTGATATCGTTTTGGTTAACTTCTGTACCTCCACGGAAGAGCAGTTAGAGGGCTGGGAGTATGCATTTGCACGAGAGGAAACACCGTAGAGAGGAAGAGTTTAGGTAACACCAACAACATTTGTTTTAAAGGAAAAAAAAATTAAGATTTACCCATTGATGACCCCATTTGAGTAGCCTAGGTGTTCAGCAAAGGATTCCTTTAAAAGAGAGAGAGAAAAAAGGACTTTAAAAAATGTAATTTTAACTTAATGATTATTCTTTTAGTGAGGTTATCCTACCAATTTCTATAGTTAAGATGAGCAAATTAATGAATAAGCAAACACTTATATATAATGAACCGGAAACTTAGCATATTGCATTCAGAGTTCTGTTCCACCAGAAATGTATGCTGTGAGTTTCTTCTCATCTCTAGACTCTCAGATAATCGGGTTAGTTTACTCATCACACAGGCACTGAGTAGCCGCTGGCCTAGCTGAGCCAATAGTTTCTGGAGATCCACCCTCTAGGACTATCTACCCCCAAGGAGTTCAGAGTCTAGACTAGAAGAGTACAACACAAGCAAATCACAATTAATATGTACATAGAAATATATGGGACATGGTTTGGCTCTGCCTCCACTCAAATCTCATCTTGAATTATAGCTCCCATAATTCCCATGTGTTGTGGGAGGGACCTGGTGGGAGATAACTGAATCATGGGAGGTTTCCCCCATACTGTCCTTGTGGTTGTGAATAAGTCTCACAAGATCTGGTGGTTTTATAAGGGGTTTTCCTTTTCACTTCGCTCTCATTCTCTCTCGTTTGCCTCCATGTAAGATGTTCTTTTCGCCTTCTGCCACGATTGTGAGGCCTCCCCAATCACGTGAAACTGTGAGTCCATTAAACCTCTTTTTCTTTTCCTTATTATTTATTATACTTTAAGTTCTGGGGTACAAGTACAGATCGTGCAGGTTTATTACACAGGTATACACGTGCCATGGTGGTGGTTTGCTGCATCCATCGCCCTGTCATCTATGTTAGCTATTTCTCCTAATGCTACCCCTCCCCAATCCCATGCTATTCCTCCCCTAGCCTCCCATTACCAGGCTCCAGTATGTGATGTTCCCCTCCATGTATGTATCTGTATGTTCTCACTGTTCAACACCCACTTATGAGAGAGAACATGCAGTGTTTGGTTTTCTGTTCTTGTGTCAGTTTGCTGAGAATGATGGTTTCCAATTTCATCCATGTCCCTGCCAAGTACATGAACTCATCTTTTTTTATGGCTGCATAGTATTCCATGGTGTATATATGTGCCACATTTAAACCTCTTTTTCTTTATAAATTGCCCAGTCTCAGACATACCTGATAAAGACAAGTATGTCTTTATCGGCAACATGAAAAAGAACTAATGCACTATGATGAAGTGTGGGAAAATTTAGCAATACAAATAATGGTGATTATATATTATAATTCTTAGTTTGGTGAAATCTTTTACTTATTGATTTATTTTGAGACAGAGTCTCATTCTGTTGCCCAGGCTGGAGTGCAGTGGCGCAATCTCTGCTCATTGTAAACCTCCGCCTCCCAGGTCCAAGCGATTCTCCTGCCTCAGTCTCCCGAGTAGCTGGGACTACAGCATGTGTCACTATGCCTGGCTAATTTTCTGTTTTAGTAGAGATGGGATTTCATCACATTGGCAGGCTGGTATTGAACTCCTTACCTCAAGTGATCTGCCTGCCTCAGCCTCCCAAAGTGCTAGGCTTACTGGCCAGTTTGGTGAAATCCTAACATCTCTTCCATACTGTTCTTTGCTCTATTACAAATAAGGTCCTAGATGTACAGCACCCCTCAGGTGTCTGGCTTCTGTTTTCAGAATACAGAATGTAATCACATAATTCCCTCCTTTCTGATTCACAGGAAGAAATACATGACTGTTCTCCATGCATTTCTCCATTCTGACTTTATGGGAATGGTGACCAACTGTGGGAATGGAGAGTAGGTTACACCTTCACATCAGCCACCAGCTGTCTCCCTTTTCTGCTTTCCCTCCTCTCTGGATCCCTGCAGGTTTTCCTCCAAGCGGACCAGATCGTTTCCTCTGGGCTCCACTCTCAAATATGCTCATCATCTATGGTAGGCTCTAGGCCTCTGTCAAAATTAACAGGACGAACTCTGGTCAATATCTCAACTCCATCCCCCAGAACCAAGCCTGTAGTCTCCATTAGGTTCCATCCCTGTCTCCAAGCAGGACTGTGAAAACCAAAGAGAGGGTGCCAATAAATGGTGCTGGAGATCAGGTAACAGCATCATGTTAAAAATACTGTTTTCATATCTTGAGTTTGAAGGTTCCCCAGGAGGCAGTGAGACCCATTTTGAGGCTGAGCATCTGGCAGGATTTAGTATGAACAAAGGGTGTGTGGCTGACGAAACACAACAAAGGCAAATTCACACACCATCTCTGTTCCATAGTTGTCAATAGATTTGCCAATAACTGTGGATCTCTTGTTTCTAGGAAGAGACTCCTGAGAGTTTTTATTTGCAATGCTAAAAAACATTGCAAATAAAAGCCTGCCTTTCTACCAACTGCTACTTAAAATGTCAATATGTAGGTACTTAGGGGCATGCACCTTAAACTTTGCTTCCCTCACAATCCCTCTCCTCTCTATCCTTTACCACACTCCAGACCGAAGCTAGAGGACAGATGGCATTATCTGCCTTCCTTTCCTATTTAGCACTGCCTGCCTCAAGGGGTCATTTCTTTTATGATAACCAAAACAAAGTAAGATTGATGCTTAATCTTCAAAATTTCTAAGTCCCCACAGATTACCATACATGTCTTAAAATTGTTTTCAGAAAAAGTGGGACAGCGGGTAACAGGTTGGTCTAACAAAACCCCAGACATTTTCATCATTAGACTCTTTCCCAGCTCCTCTCAACTCAACATACACCCATCACCAATCACTGGTACCTGACATCTGATATAACACATCATCAGTTTGCAAGATGCTTCATGTTACTGTTAAAAAGCTGGTCCTCCTGCCAGTCCTACAATTTACTCTTGCCCCTGTTTACTAATCAAGCACACTACAGCATGAAGAATCTGAGTGACTTACCCCAGTTCACAGTTACAAAGCGACCTGGTGGATATGAACTCATTACTGCCCATTGCATTCTCCTTCAACAATACATGTAAATAACTGTGACTTACTAAGATTTTTTGGTTTTTTTTGAGACCGAGTTTCACTCTTGTCACCCAGGCTGAAGTGCAATGGGGTGATCTTGGCTCACTATAACCTCCACCTCCCGGGTTCAAGCAATTCTCTTTCCTCAAGCTTCCTGAGTAGCTGGGATCATAGGCGTGAGGCTAATCTTTCTATTTTTAGTAGAGACAGGGTTTCACCCTGTTGGCCAGGCTGGTCTCAAACTCCTGACCTCAGGTGATCCACCCACCTCGGCCTCCCAAAGTGCTGGGATGACAGGTGTGAGCCACCGCACCTGGCTATGAGATTTTTAAAGTGTTGTTGCTGTTGTTGTTTTGCTTCGATCTGTAGATACTTTCCCCAGGTCTATGGATATTCTCCTCTGTGCCCGTATACTCTCTCCTACGTCTCTGGGTACTCTCCCCAATATCTATGGATACTTTCTCCTATGGACTTGAAGGCAATAGCAGTGTCAGAAATCTTTCCAATTTTCCAGCACAGCTAGGAGAGAACTCTGGCATGGGGATATGATGTGCAATGAATCCTCTGGCCTGACATGTACAACTGCCAAAAATAAGGGAGAAAAAAAGAATATTCGAAATAAAGAGTGTTCCAACTCAATTTTTATACTGTGATTAAGTTTAAACTTTCCAGAAGTTTTCATCTATTTTTTAAAATAAATTGGTGCAGACACTGGAGCCCTGCAGTGATGTTCTCTATGTCTCTAGCCCATTTTGCAGTAGAAAGTAGGCACTACCCTGGCAACTAATTGCCACCAGGACCATTTGCCTCAGCAGCAGCAATGACAAATGGGGAATACAATTGTGGCCCCTTTTCATTCCTGCTCCAGTCAATTGCTCCAACTGGAGTGAAACACTGTCAATTTAGGAAACTTATTCACATGGAATGAACATGGCAGAAAATGTCCTCTCCCCACAAAATAGCTTTCTAGAGACCTGAGCATCAAGATGAAAGCACAGATTTACATCATGATGACAGAAACAAGAAAGGAAAAGTATAAATCAAAGTAACAGACTAAAACCAGTGTCTTTTAAAAGGAAAATATTTCAAGAATATCTTTCTCTTTAACAGTTATAAATATGTTACTTTCATATTTTCACAGCATTCTTCTGAGGAAGCTGAATGTATTTATCATTATCTTCAATTTCAGAGCTGCTACTGTAACAAGGTAATTCACAGTACTTACTCAAGCCCACACAAGTGAGCCACTGCTTACAACATTTTCTCTCCACTTTAAACTCTTGGTTATAAAATTCCAGGTGCTCACATGCTTGGTGCCAATGAGAACCCATAACCAGAGTACTCATCTTTGTTAATTCTGCTTGTCAAGCTATCAGATCATGTCATCTCAACTTCCACTAAACATATATATATATTTTTGAGATGGAGTCTGGCTTTATCGCCCAAGCTGAAGTGCAGTGGCTCTTCAATCTCAGCTCACTGCAACCTCCGCCTCCCAGGTTCAAGTGATTCTCCTGCCTCAGCCTCCCGAGTAGCTGGGATTACAGGCACTCGCCACAACACCCAGCTAATTTTTGTATTTTCAGGAGAGACAGAGTTTCAACACGGCAGCCAGGATGGTCTTAATCTCTTGACCTTGTGATCTGCCCGCCTCGGCCTCCCAAAGTGTTGGGATTATAGGCGTGAGCCACTGCACCCGGCCTCTACTAACGTTTTAAACCTATTTTAGTTTTTGTTTTCAGTTTGTTTGTTTTTTAGCTAGCATTAGTATGATCAGCACAATCAGGATCAAAACATACAATACAGACTTACCTCGATGTGCTGAAACATATATGGGTGGTTGCAGATTTTTCTCAACTGCATGATAGTGTTCATAAGTGTCTTAGCACCTCCTTTCCCCTAAGAATCAGTGGAAAGAGAAAAACAGAACTAATTATTGATCGGTCAGACATTTCAGATCTTTTAAACTGGGCTTCTTATCCAAAGGACAAAGGGCCATAGGTTTTCTCATTCACCTACACACCTCGTGGTTCAAAGCTCCTTTAATTATCTAGCTGTTCCTGAGTTAGATATAATGTCTTTCTGGTGATTAACTTATCCTACAAAAAAAGTGAACCTTGAAGAATTATGTCCAGTCAATGGCTATGCGACATGACTGTCTATTCCCTAGGAATCCAGAACACAGAAGCACGGAACAGATGCCCGGGGAGTGAAACTGGATTTTAAAACCTTCTAAAATGCCACCCCACACTTAGGCAGAATATATTTGCTGCAAAATTGACATAAGCAGAGCTATTTTGGTAATATGAACATATTCTTCCTTTCTTCCTGCCCCAGTGCAGTTCAGAGGTTAAGACATTATCTTTGGCAGCTATGAGAGCTCAAAGGAGGTCCAGTGATTTGCTTTAACAAATCGGCATTAGCAGGGATGCTTCCTGTGAATATTCAATGTCACAGCCATGAGAAGACATATCACAGCACCTTGAGTTGCATCATCTTCCACAACGTACCTTCTTATCTTTCTCAGAACCATCTGTCAGAAGGATCCCCTTAGCTTGCATATGGCGATACAGAATCTTCTGCAGAGCTGACATGTCACACTTGATCACATATTCCACCTGCGGAAAAGAGAACAGTAAGTAGGCAAGAGCAGGAGGGAGAAGGCGCCTGTTCTAAGAAGACTGCTGAGTCAGTGTCACTCCTGGAAGCACAAAGGTGTCTCTTTCCCTTTCTTGGATCCATGGAGTGCGGGAGAGATGGGCATGGTAGGGGAGATCAGAGTCATCATTGTTAAAGGTTCCATTACAATGGTGGGATCTTCCAAAGGTTATATGTAATTGATGCTAGGGTTTTGTTTCCTGAAATTTTTTGACTTGCTCCCAAATTTGAGAGAGAATGCTTGCAAACTGTTCCAATTCAAAAATGTTCAATATAGGATATATTTAGTATTTCCTTCACTTCCCAATTATACTTCCTTTCCTATGAACAGCACAGTTTTAGGAAAACCAGTGACTGGCAAATATCCTGTCTTTGTGAAACATTTTTAAATGGTCACATGTGGTATCTCTAATACTAGTCTTAAAGAGAGATTTATAACAGCCCTAGGGTGACTAGTATTAACCTCTACTCTTGAGAAATGGCAGGATACAATCTAGTAAGAACAACAGGTAGAGGAGAGAAATTAATCCATAATTGGACACTACTTTATGGCCATCTAAGGGAGGACAAGGCCTCCTGTGCTTCCAGTTGAAATACCATAAAAATCCAATTTAAAACATTAAGGGGAATTCTCATGCTCATGGTTTATCACACACCTGCAATACTTTATCATACTCCTAATACATAAAATCTGCCTTATTTCCTAGTATTGTTTTTCTTTATTTAAAAAAAATCCCAAGAATACAAATGTATTATTTTCACAACAAACATCAGATTAACGCCTAGAAATATGTAGAATGTGACTAAAAGTACATCGGCAAGTTGACTAATGTTTAATAAACTGATATAAAATGATTACATTATTTGCAGCTCTGGAGGCCAGGGAGAAGAGGTCACAGAGAAGCTGAATATTCATTTAATTCTTGCTATAGAAGGAACCTGTCAGGTCAAATGGAACCACAATTAATAGTTTTTGGCCACACATTTTGCATCAAATGAGATTAGAGAAAAGCTCGCTCTTTTACAGAGAAGTTGAGAAGTGTAAGTAAAACTCCAAAACGTCTTTAGTTTTTAATGACCTTCTTGGCCAAGGTGGAAGAAAAATCTCCAAGATTAATAAATGTGTTATTTAATACAGGCTTCATGTTCTAGATAACTTATCATGTTATATGTTTAAAATACTTCTCCTTTTTTCTTTATAAAAAATTTCTAATTTCTTCAGCTTTACTGAGGCACAATTGTTTCATGGTATAATATTTTTAAAAGGTATTCTATATACAAATACAAATTATATACATTTAAGGTATGTCTGTGACATTCTGATATACACATACATTGTGAAATGATTACCCTATCCTACTTTTTCAAGAACTGTTAACTCACAATGACATTTGAAAATGGTAAAGAAAAATGTTGAACCACTTTAGACTTTAACAAGTATAATGGTAAAATGACATCAAGGACTAAATATTACAGGGCTCTTTCCATAGAAAAGGCCCTGTGCAGAGAGCTTTCTGTGCCTTCTCTCATTTAACACATACAAGAGCTCTACTGATACAGTCCCATTTAGTCTTCTCATTTTATAGATTTGGAATCTGAACACCACAGAGGTTTAGCTACAGGCTCAAAGATAGCTTTTCTAAGGCACAGTTAGGATTTAAGCTCCATGTTAGGATGACTAAGGATATTTTCAGGCTTCCTAGCTCTGCCTGAGGTTCACCTTCACCTACAACTCCTTGCTGGCTTGATCAAACCTTCCTGAATGTGGAAGGTGTGGCTGATGCTTGTACATTTGGGGATGGCAGATCCAGAGTTCAGGAAAGAACACTCAAGCCCCTTCCTATCAGTCAGCCACTGCTAAGGGCTGGAGGTGAAGGAGTTTGGAAAGCAGAAGGCATGCATGGTGACCATGGAGACAGGGAGACAAGCATCCTCAAAGCGGTCACGTCAGCAGAGAGGCAAGCTGCTCTCGAGCACCTGATGGCTGCTCTTGGAAGGCAGTCTTTCCTCACATAATTACGGGATTTAATACACATGATCAAAATTACATAAGCTGCCCAACTGTATTTTATGTTTGCTCCCAGACCTACTCAACCCCACACCACTTGGTTTCTGTGCTTTTCTCCAGGCCTAGGATGTCCCGAGTCTCAAGGCTCCATTTTAACTCTACTTTGAGGGCCCTTTTCAAGATCTTTCCCAATCACACTGTCAGCCAAAGCCAATTTTCCTTTCATTTCGATCAAAGTTTGTCAGTAAGCCTTTTTTTTTACAATGGTAAGGAAAAACAAGAAGACATGCTGAAGCTCAGTTTCCCAATATATATCTACATATTTAAATTATTATTGCATACACTAACATTAATGTCTCAAGATAAAAGTTACTTTTAGGGCATGCATCAATGTTAAAGGAAGCTGATTTATATACCTATTTAAAGGTGCCAATTTGATGATATCTAATATTTTAGGTCAATTCCAACCCAAATACCATGATGTGGCTGATGAAAACCAACACTAGGAATGAGAGAAGAGACAGGATGGCCTTTTTCCCATTGTTCATCTATGCTACATGATTTCAACCTGCACCTCTTTACAGAATCCTTTTAATCCGTTCTGGGGACCAGGGGTGTTTGTTTAGTTAAAATCAGATCAGACTAAATCTTTTTATCTGGGTACAGGAAAATGTGTAATGCCTCACCATTGGCAGAAAGTAAATGAACAAGGCAGCAAGGATGAATGCACTGTCAGATGCTCTGGGTGGTGGAGGCTCACTCTCATGCTTCCCTGGGATAACCTACACAGTGTATCCCCAGCACATGACTGGCTTTCAGACACACACACATACCTACCACACAGGTACCACTGTCAATCTCCATGTTAAATATCAGTAAAGATTTTTTTAAGAGAAGGCTCAATATATATGATTGTTCTAACATCTTCCTCCACCCAATGGATTACTAGTAAGCACTCCCCAACATATACACTCATGTGTACGTAATGGGTACCCCTGTCCTAAACCACCTGAATGTCTGACTCATTCATTCTGATTGGTGGGATGATGCTGCCTTGCATTGCCACACCACTATTCAGTGTGAGTAGCCCTCATCTCGACAGCCAAGTCTGTTGACTTCTCACGTCATGCCTTCCATTTCCCGTGTACTGCGCCTCCCACGTGGCCTGAGTACAGCATAATGCACAGAGCAGGCAATCAACAGGCATGTATTCAGAAAAGGGAAGGACTGAACAATTCTAAAGTCACCACAATGAATAACAGTGATGAGAGAAGTTTTTACAATAATCGTGCCAACTTCAACTTGCTTGAGTCTGAGTTCACCCCCCAAAAAATGTGATGGCATCTGTTTAGAGCATGCATGTGAAAGCGCCTCAAAATACACTGGTGCTATACCAAATGAAACTTGTGACTTCTTCACGAGGGTGATTCTCCCAGTAAGTTAGGCTCGTGAGAGACACTGAAGCTATTTTTGTTCAAATCATATGGAAAACTGAAGTGCTGACCTCATGTATCTGGTAATTATCTCCTAAGCAGTCTTATGTCAGTAAATGGCCTAACTGCTCCCTAAATGTGGGCAAATCAGGTCACTACACTGGCCCACCATCTCTTCTGATATACCCCTGTAGAAGTATCTGAACTTTGTTCACAGCCTCTGCCTGAATACTATTCTTCATTTATAATTCCCCTTCCTAAAGGATGTATGATTGGAATAATAAACCTAAACTACATGTGATGTGTATCACTGCTTTGTGAACTGAGATTTTTAAACAATATGATTCAATTTATGAAAGTCCCAGGTTCTCAACTCTATGGCATGAGGGAGGAACAAAGTAATGATTAATTATGCTAAGCATTCCAAAATTTGAAATAATGAATATACAAATTGCCAATGTAAGCAAAGCTTTTTTGATGTTTTACACAAATTATATCAGAATCATGGCTGATTTAAGGTAGGTCAACCTCTAGTTAACCTCTGACATTAGATACATATTTTAGCACATTTAGACATCAAGATATACCCAGTCAATTGCAAGTATAGTTGGTTCTTGATGATATGAATTAACAAAGAGTCAGCACAGACAACCTTAAATGGGAGCTAAATAGAAAAATCAATTTTTATTTAGCTTAAGTTGTTCTTATGTAATCCCTTTTCTATTTGGAATTCTTTCCTGTACATAAGAAATGGATTTTATGCCAACAGTTTGGCGGTGGTGGTGGTTTGGGAGGGCATATTCCCTTGCTCATTGTTTTATTAGACTAATATTAAAGCTAATTCTCCCATTCAATTGACCTGCGTTTATGAAATTGTGGCCTTTATATAACCTGCTTTAGTTTCACCTGAGAAAGCACATGAAAAGATGCTCAACAATATTAGACATTAGAGAACGCAAATTGAAGTTACAAGATACCACTATACACCTATTGAAATGCCTACAAATGTTGAAAAACTGACACTATCAATCACTAATGAGAATGTGGAGGAAGTGGAATGGTCATATATTTCTGGTAGTCTGGTGGGACTATCCAGTGGTTCAGACAGTCTAAGAAACAATGCAGAAGTTTCTTTTTTTGGCGGGGGGAGGAGGGGGAGACAGAGTCTTGCTCTGTTGCTCAGGCTGGAGAGCAGTGGTACGATCTTGGCTCACTGCAACCTCTGTCTCCCAGGTTCAAGCAATTCTCCTGCCACAGCCTCCTGAGTAGCTGTGATTACAGGTGCCTGTTACCACATCTGGCTAATTTTTTGTATTTTTAGTAGACATGGGGTTTCACCATGTTGGCCAGGCTGGTCTCAAACTCCTGACCTTGTGATCCGCCCGCCTCGGCCTCCCAAAGTGCTGGGATTACAGGCATGAGCCATCATGCCTGGCCACAGAAGTTTCTTATAAATCTATGTATACACTGACCTTATAATCAAGTAGTCACACACGTAAGGTGTTTACTGAAGTTAAATGAAAACCTATGTTCACACAAAAACCTCTACATGAAGGTTTATAGCAGCTCAATTCATAATTGTCAAAAACTGGAAATGACCCAAATGTCAAACAAACTGCACTGCATCCACATAAGGAAATATTATTCAACAATAAAAATGAACCAACTATTGATACATGTAACAACATGGATTAATCTGAAACACATTTTGCCAAACGAAAATAAAAAACAGATGCAAAAGGCTACATACTGTCTTATTTTGGAAAAGACATAGCTATAGACAGGGAAGGAGAACAGATTAGCGGCTGCATGAGGCTAAGAGCCGAGGGAGAGTTTGACGGAAAAGAATTAGTACCAGGGAATTTTTTTTTGGAGGGGTGGATGATTAAATTGTTTTGCACTTTAGTTGTGGGCATTGTTAACATAACTCTTCATTTGTCCAAAAGAAGCAACTTTTACTACACATAAATTTAAAAAAAATAAAAATAAAAGCCTCTTCTCTATATGGTTCTTTTTTCATAAAAACATTTGAGAATTACTGCTATGAAAGTATTTAGCATTTTCCTCCATCTGCCGTAGTTTCTTTCTGGATTCTTTGTTCAGGTTAAGTAAGACATAGACGCTCTTTGTGGCTGTAAGTAAGAAGTGGTGGCAGAGGAAACTTCTTTACCCGCTAAGATGACAATGAAATTCCCCAGGTTAAAAAAAATGCTAACAAGGCTAAAAAAGTAGAAAATGAACACCAGCCCAGCTGTATCAATAACAACCACATACACACACAAACCCCTTGAAAAGTTTGTGGGGACAGAAATGTGGGAGGGCTACAGGAAGTACAGCAAAGACAAGAAAACAGTGAGAAAGCTTAAAGAATAGGAAAATGGAACTCCCATTAATAACGGCGACAGTAACTCAGTAGGAAATAAGGAATATGGTAGAAGCAGCTGCCACTGGTTGGGTGCCTACTACATGCCTGGCAAGGTATTATGAGCTCTACATCCCTTTAATCCTCACAACATAAGGCAGATGTCATTTATCTTCCAGTTCACTGATGAGAACATAAGATCAATTTGGATTAGACGCCTTGCCCAAGTTCTCATAGTCAGAGATGGAGAATGTGGTAGAACCCATGCCTAGTCTAACAGGCAGAGCCCATAATTTCCACTTCACCAAGTTCCTCCAGGAAAAGATAACATGGCTGCCTTTAAAGGTATAGATACTTCTAAAGGTATCCATAGATAATACCACACACTGAGTATTTTACGTACCTCGAATATAATACTATTGATGTTAATGAGTACATGTATATTTTACGCAGGAGACATACTCTTGACAATTTGAGGGTAAATACTTTTTTTAAGTTTATCATCCTTCAAGTAAACTCAGGAATTTCTCTTGTAGAAAGAACCAAAAAATAAATACTTTTGCAAAGCAAAGAATTCCTTTGTGATATAATTAATCACCTCATAATCCTAACGCTGCAAAAATTTCAATTTTTATCTAGTGGATTTTCTTAAAATACACTTTCAACTTGTAATATATTTTTTAAAATCTATATTAGCCAGTCTTAGAAATGAATGAACAAGATCAAGAAGTTTTGCGGAATGAATAAACGAAGGGCTTCATTTTTTATACCTCTTCTAAAGAAAAAAAATTATGAGATAAATTAAAAGATTTAACATTTCATCGCTACCACTTGCAGAATCACTGTAACTGTATGCTAGGAAGTAATTCAAGGCAGCCACATGACCATTATGCTCATTCACCAGTTAATCTACTCAGTAACTAAACACCATCATGAACAGAAAAGGTGCTACCCAGAGGCCAAGACCACGGGAAATCAGAGGGAATATCAACAACATTCTACATCCAAAATGCATTCACCAGCAGAATGAAATACTTAAATACTTATACTTTCACTGAGATATGCATGGCATGAAAATCATTTTTATTTTTAATTTTTTTCCTGACTGTCAATGCATAAAGGATTAGGGAATAAAAATCTCTCTTAACAAAGTGATCAACTTTGTACACCATCTTGACAACTCCCACTTACAAATGAACAGGATGAACCAATCTGTCCAAAAATAGAGTCATTACCCAGAAAAACCACAATCATGCAAAAAAAAGACATTTCAGAATTGGCTCTTCCAAAGAAAAAACTCAAAGCAAAATATCTCATGCAACAAATAGTATACAGTGCTAAACTATCTTTAAGAGAATGAAACTTAGAATTTAAATATGCATGGTTCCAAAACATGATCAGAAACATAGTAAACTAATACTCAAATCCAACCCCAAAATATGGAGCTAAGGGCTCAAAAGGGGTTCTAAAGTACTGCAAACTAAGTTTCCAACAGTCAGTCTGAAAAACACTGGCTTAAAATGTTCGCAGGAACTTAATTTTTATGGCACAGAACAAAACCAATGACCCTGAACAATTACATGATGTGTCTGTAATTTACAGGAATTCTATTTTTGCACTTACTGTCAGAATGGTGACATCACAAACATCAAATGTTAAATAAATTTCTAGAAAACCTGCAAATGTTTACCACACCCTTGAATGATGATACAAGTCCCAAAGTCAAATCTTCCTTTCACTTATAAGCAGAACAATTCTACAGTGCCTGCAACAGTGAACTCAATGAGGTCAGTAACTTAAAAAAAAAAAAATCTAAAATTAAAACATAAATGAGACTCAATGAATTTGATAATTTTATAAAATCGGCTCGCAAGTTTTTGTAAAACAGGCTGAAAATGCTATAATTTCCCTTCTCTCTCTAGCCCTACCAAACAAAAAAGCACTTTAAGATATTTTCAAGACACTTATAACCACAATATGAGCCTGCTGTTTAAGAAACACAATTTCGGAGGCAGATACTTCAAATGTATTTGCTGGAGAAAAAAAAACCTCACAACTTTTGATTGTGCCACATACTTTTTCTGGAAGCTGGGATTCAACTTCTTTCTTCAGTCTCCTTAGTAAAAATGGTCTTAATACCTTATGCAGACGTCTGATGATCAATATAGTTTCTTCTTCATTTAAGTCCACCTATAAGAGAGGCTTATATAAATTTGATTTTTTTAAGAAAAGGATAAAAAAAAAAAGGACATTTCATACCATAAAGCTTTATGTTACATTTATGTGTTTCAATACATGATTGAAATTTTACATGCATTAAATCCAGGTTTATGTCTGTTATACCCACCTCTGAATTACCTTTCCACCTGCCTACCAAGCAGTAATAAAATTACCTCTAAATAGGTGTCTTTGTCTTAATGCTGAGTTCTGTGGAAAAGAGCCCAGAAGCTACCAGTTTTCTATCAGTGGTGTCAACAGCCCCACATTGTATGTGGTATCACTGATGATGAAGGTGACAGAATGAGAGAAGGGGGGCAATAAGTTGATATGTTTCCGATTTAAAGGGGCAGCCTTAAATTAGGCTCTTCATCTTGGTTGTTTCAGTCACAGAAAAATACTAAAGGAACAGAGGTTTGAACATATAAAGAAGAGGATCAAAAGTAGAGTCTATCCAGTTTATGTTGGTGGCCCTGTAAGTCCCTCTAACTTCACTCCTTTCCTTTTCTCAGCCCTCTCTAGTTCAACTTTAGTCCTTTTTATAGATTTCCCAGCTTTCTCTTTCACCTTCTCCTACTAACCTCTAGGGGGCAGAGTTGATTGAGACTACTTTCTACAAATTGGCAAGCCAGTGAGTTAACTATTGACAGGGGGCCCAGGTGCCTCAAAATTAAAGGGCCAAACAATTCAAACCAAAATTTTGCTAAAGCATTTTTAGTGGCCTTTCATTCCTACGAATGAGGAACCTCTATGAAAATGACATGTGCCCATTTCTTTTCTTGCAATGGCCCATGTCTTGCTTTCACAAATGAGCTCTTAAGACAGTGGAAGGAACGGTAAGAAATTTGAAAACAAATGGCTACTCCAGGAAGACTTTTTATTTACACACAAAACTGAAACTCACACTAAAACCTAAAAAAAAGAAATAGAAAAAAGGTCTGCAGAAAATTAGTGAAAACTAGTTCTGTTTTACACACAAACTCTTTATGTGGAAATATTTTAAAGGGAACTTCCAAGCTTATAACAAGGAAAGATTTGTTTTAAAGCTTGTATTTAGTTGGTTAATTTGGTCTGCTTAAATTAATTCAGCAAAATATCTCCATGTTCATCCCTCCCTGTGACCCACTGCAGTTAAGCATTCCACCGGTCAGGACCCTTTTCTGGTAGCCTGGTAAACATGCTGGCAAAAGACAAAGGGGTTAGATGCCCCCAGTACCACTAGACCCATTTTCCCAGGAGGGGAAAATAACCCTGACAGAAGACCACGTCCACCCATTGATGGGTTTCATAAACTATGCAACACTGTCAACCACCCTGCAGGTGTTCTGTGGCTGTAATGTTCTCAGCTTTAGGGCCTTTCATTTCATTTCATTGTCATGTAGTGGAAAATAGTGGAAAAAACAAAAGTCAGACCAGTACCCTTTCACCAGTCATGGCAAATGGAGCATTAAACCATTGTTCGAAAGTGCTGCAGCTCTTAAAAATTGTGGGGAGGAGGAAGTTGAGGAGGGCCCAGAGTTCAGGGAGTTTATTCTGCAGCGGGGTCCCAGTCAAGAGGATCCTTCTGGGGGCCACGTAGTGAGTGTTCAAGACCTGAGTCAGCTTGCAGTGGTGATTCTTCATTCGGTGGCCTTCATCCACTATCATGTATTTCCACCGAATCTGTAACACAAGAGAAAGGATGGACATGTGATAAGCAAGGGAAAATAACAACTATTTCCCACAGGCAAGTGGTGGTGTGGAAAACCAAAGAACCCATCCTTGGTACATGATATGCTATGATTATCTTTAAGACAAGAGAATCTCAACAATGTCCCATGCCTGATAGGCCACATAAGACATCCTGTAATAACAGTGTTGAAGCAACAATGTTCCTTACCGACCATGTAATTCCAAATCAACTTCTTACAAAGAAGGAAATTTGGGCCCAGGATGATATGCTTGTTCCTACATGTGGATTGTGCATCTCCTCATCCAACGCCCCTTCTATTAATACTGTATCATGACAGCTATCCCACATTTCATGGTCATGCTACCTCTGCTCACAACAGGCACAGAATACAGGTACCCACTTGAAGCAGAAGTTAATGACCGATTTTTCCAAGATGGCCCTAGCAGGTTCTATAACTGAGATATTCTTGGCTCCATGCCTTCTTTTCTATTAGCCTGGCTGGTTACTACCTTTAGGGCTTGGCTCAGAAGTGTGTTTTGTTTTGTTTGGACTGGTTGCTAACATTTAAAAGTTGGACTATTTCACATAAAATCTATACATACAGCTTTTCAAAAATTAGTTCTGACAACCAAACTCCCTCAATCCATGCACATTCCTTACCTGTCAGATCTAGGACCCCTGTTTTATCTAAAATAAAAGGATCTATTCACTGGCAGAAAGGGCAATACAAAAATATAATTCCTCTATTTATGCCAAAACTGCAGAATTAAATACAGCAAACTTCCCCAACGTGACTATCGCTTAAAACATCTAGAAAGCTTACATGGCCCAGTCCTCCTTCCCGTCTACACAGTTCCCTTCCTCTCTCATAACTTACCCTTCAGTCCTCTTAAGAGTCAGTTTTTTAAGGTGAGAACAATGAGGAATGTTCCACTAAGCCTATCCATTCTCTACAAAACAGTGGCAATGGCCAAGAAAAACATCTGGTGCTCAGATGTCCCCAGATCCTGCTGCAAAGCTCCTAGAGAGAGAAGTGAGATGAGGAAAGTATTCTATACAGTCCTTGTCTTCCTCATTAGAAGCAGCAGATATGCCAGGGGAAAAGGTATAAAATCAGTCAGGCTGGGATGTACAGGTTTAAAAAAAAAAAACTACCCCATTTTTTTTTCCTTCCTCCACAACCTCTAAGAAAAGTGTTTAAGGATAATTAAAGCTGTACAATCAACTACCTCAAACTTACCAATAGCATGAAAAGAGGCAAGCAGACAAAACATATACAAATCTTCTAAATCTACTTTCCTGCCTAATTTAGCTTACAAAATAATAAGGAATCAGAGGCCTTTGATTTTTCTATTGGGTCTACTACTAATTAGGTCTTCCACTTGGAAAAAATTACTACCCCTTTCCCTAGCTCCATTTCTCCGGTAACAAACAAAAGCAGTGCATCTCGTTATCAGGCGTCTCCAATGAATCTTGAAATACATATGCAAAAGACACAATACGAATTTTTTAAAAAGGATCCCAAATGTACAAACACATTCCCATAGTAATATTGAAAACACATCATTTCTGACACTGCCAAATTCCTCTCTGAGTGTGAGGAGGTGGAACATAGCACTGTTGCCAGTGCCATCTCAATTATTAAACCTCCCCTGGGAGCAAATTTCCTTTTTGTTATTTCCTATGATGCCATGAAGGGAACTCTCAGTTCCCAGAGCAAGAGTTTAATGCAGAGAAAGAACAGACCCCAGAAATAGAGATTCTGTTCAATTTTGGACATAACTTAGTTTCAGATTAGAGTGCTTTCAAAACACCATGGGGTAAAAAAAATTACTAGAGAAAAAAAATTGAGTTTTCATTATTTGTTCCATGAAAGACGGTACTTTCCATCATTCTACACGAACGTATTAGAAGACAAGATGATATAAATGAGGAGAAAAGTTACTACTTTGTGGCTAAAGGACAACTGAGGACATTCAAATTAGGAGACATATTAGTCACAGAAACACCTCTTTCTCAGTTCCAAATAAATAGTCACAGAAACAGCCTTGAGAAATTCCAACAATGATAGTCTATTATTTCACCAGGAAAAACCTGAAACAATGCTACCACAAAAGCCACGGCTTGGATAAATGTTCATATGGTAGAGACCATATGGAGAGGTGCCTGGCTCATCTTCGGAGAGACAAAGGCACAAGAGGAATGAAGTTACTGACAATATCTCAGGGCAACAAAAGCAATTCTTTCTTTCCAGAGCATGTTCAAAGCTGTTGGAGAGAAAGAGTTGAAGAAGGAACCAGATGAATTTTTTTAAAGAGATATAAACTCATTAACTAGGAAAGGATACGTAGGAGCTGCCCCAGGATCAATCATACACACACACACACACACACACACACACACACACACACACACAGCATGCATGAAATCAAATCTATGACCAAAATATACGAAACTCTGAAAAAATAAAGAAAGGGACAATTATACTACTGATGTGGGCAATACTTCACATTTCAGTGTGATGGTCCATATTAAAGACAAAATAGTTTTTTTAAAACATACCTTTGCAAGAATGTGCTTGTCTTTTATAATATACTCATAAGTAGTCAAGAGGACATTGAATTTGCCACTCCGTAGCTGGGGGACAAGGGAGCGACGCATGGCAGGAGTACCCTAAAGGAAAGAAAAAGATATATGCATGATCCAATGGACGTAGATGTGCATTTTTTTCTCACTATTCATAGCTTAATGATACCAGACATGTGACTGAATAATGTATAGCACACATTCTCATAGACTGATCTATTATATACGAGAAAGTCTTGGGTAAACTGCACACATCTTGACCCTTTTCAGATCTTTTTTAGAAAGCTTTTCCTACCAAAGACAGAGGGAAGGCAAAGAGAAATGGAAATGACAGTGACTTTGTGGTAGTAGAGAACCCGCTGCTCTGCTAAAAGGCTCCACTTCTACTGGGAAAGTGGAGCAGGCAGGCCGGGCACCCGGGTAACCGCCTGGCTGTGCAGGAGCAGTCGGCACAGTAGCAGCCCACAGTGAGCCAGTCAGCAGCACACAGAATGTGCGGTATTTGTCATTTGTATTACTCTCATCAGAAACCTTGCCATATGATAATTAACAATTTTCTTCTGGATTTCACTATCTGAAAGTAATTATGGTTTATTACAGTAATCTTCTTGGGATGATTAACTCTCACGGTTTAGTACATGATGTACATGACAAAACTTTACAACCAAATACAGTTCACAGATGTGCATATGGAATGAAGAAAACAGGGTCTATTTTTTGCTTTTCCACATTTATATATAAATACAGCATTCCAAACCTTGTAAGAAATTTTCACCACAGAAGGAGCCCATTTGTCAAATTCATATGTCCAGTTAGATAGAGTCCTATGGAACAAAAAAAATACAGAAAAAAGACATTTGTATAAAAATCAATGGTTAAAAAGATGTTATTCATTTTCAGGCCTCACCTTGAAAGGGGGTACAGAATATAATGTATCTCAACAACATATTTATTTTAAAGTTGTGGAAATAAGAGATAAGTTCAAAATAAACTGTCACAAAACACGACAAGTTTGTCTGTGGTTCATAAAAAAAATCTTATAAGATAAAAACTAAAGAATACATAAATATAGAGAGCAAAAACTAAATGTTAATAAGATATTGAAAAAGAGCAATTGCCAGAATGATTTTGGGAATCTTTATAAACAGCTATATAAGTTCAGAAAAAAGTTGAGTCAAGAAAAAGAAATTACAAAATAACATGAAAATATTAAATAAATATGTCAAGAGGGAACAGGGGAAGAAATACTGAATGACTTTTTTTTAAAGCCCCCAGAGTCACTGCATATATGATTCAGAACATTGAAAATATAGATTAAATGCAAAAGATGCCTAAATATTATAGATACAGATAATTCATACAAAAGGGCTGTAAACAGTCTTCATTAGAAAAATATTCAAAGAAAACACAATAACATTAACAGAATCCTTCTTCTTACTGAAGGTCCAAGTTCTTACCAGCACTGAGATCTAGAACAAGACCTGTGTGAACAAAGCTGCAACCTAACACACACAGGCAGACACACTGAGCTCCCAGGGAGGGGCTTACGAATCATTATGCCCTCACTCGGTAGTGCCCACTTTAGACCTTCTAAGAGCCACCCAGTGGGGGAGGTACTGGGAATGTAACAGTGAACAGTAAAGGCCCGTCCTTACTAAGCAGCAAACTGATTGAAATATTACCTCAGTGTACATACTAAGGTTATTTTAATGTAAAATTTATAGTTATGATTTTGATATATAGTCTGCTTTAAAAGGAAGATTTAAGAATATATAATCTTTTGGAGATGGAATAAGGAAAAAAATCAAAGAAACTTTACACACACACACACACACACACACACACACACTTTCCCCTTTGCGTGCCACTTAAGGAAGGATGATGAACAACACTCACCATGCAGTGTTGCAGCTGTGTAGACCTGTAACGCTAATGGCTGATAAAATCACTCAATCACATGCTTAAATAGTCAATCAAACAGGCCAGGGTGGGGAGGGGTGGGAAATTAAAACCTAATTCCAGATTATATGCTCTCGGTAGTCTGATTTAGGTTACCACATGCTACAGTTCTGTCTTAAGTGAAAAACAACCACAAGCTACTAATAGGGCACTCTACAACATACAGAACTGTGGAACAAATGACTTTACTTACGAAAGGGGAACAATGATGAGATAGGGGCCATTGAGTCTTTTGTGCTCCATCAGATAAGTGATGAGTGCAATGGTCTGTATGGTCTTTCCTAGCCCCATTTCATCAGCTAAGATTCCATTCAAATTGTTATTATACAGGGAAACCATCCATTCCAGGCCCTGGAGCTGAAATGAAGAGTAATTGCTTCAATTATCCAAGATCTGCACAGGTAATTAATACTAATACAACTCAAGTGAGGCTGTGACTTCTTAACTCCTCAGTGCTATACGTTGGGTTTCCCACAGTAGGAAAACGGGGGAAGCACCAATGCAAAAAGAATTTAAAATATGAGCACCAATGCAAAAGGAATTGAAAATAATCATTCCTGCTGCTTGGCACGTGCTGAGTGTTAATCAGATTTAGAAATGATGGGCTGTAGCATACCGGTGAGTTTTAAAGCAGCTTTGCCGCTCATCCATACTTAGTATTTCACAGTATATGACATTCTAGAATGAAAATAAATGAAAAAGCCCAAACCAAAATCTAATCCAACCACTCCAAGAATAAAAAGCCAGTGTGAAGGCAGATTTGGCACACAGATCACAGATTACCAGAAACAGCCTTTTTGGTAATAAAAAGGCTACTCCCGGCATGAGATCCCCTCAGCAAGGAGGCAGAGTGACCAGGGAGCCAGGGACACTCTGCTGGGACCACAGGAAGACGTTTCTCTTCCTGGCAGAGAGAAAGTTCTCAGGCAGCACTTAGAAACTTTGCAATGTGGGTACTTCCCAAAGGCTGCACACTGGAAGCTGACTGGCTGGAAGCATGCTCAACAGATTTCTGAAGTACACAAACACTGCACCAGAGATTCCCCATGTTAAAGTACAAAAGTAAGGTTGGGTGAAAATACAAAGCTGTTAAACCTCCATCATCCCCCACCCAACAATTCCCTTCCACCATTATACCACAGATGCTGGATTTAAATGATAAAATCAATTATATATATTTTTTCTAAAGTCAATTTAGCTTGCTAATGATGTTATGCTTAGGGAAATGTGAATCTTTTATGTAAGAACAAAGCAAGTAATTAGTTTATTTAAAATATTTATTAAATGACCATCCTGTGCAAGAGGCCATGCAAGGAGCTATAGCAGATGGATACCAAGGTCTGTAAGATGCATGTCTCCCTTCAGAAGCTTAAATCAAAGAGAAAACAATGAACAAGGCACATATACACATGTACCAAGAAATGGCTGACAGTACCAATGTGTATGTATACATATAAAACTGTATTGACAAGAATTTCTCTTAGGGAGACACTACATTGGTTTGAAGCAATACTCCCATAAGCCACTTGAGATACTTTATACTGTGCAAGATTCCAAAGCCACCCTAAAGGTTTCTGAGAACTATGGCAACACCAAGAGATAAGAAGAGAAACAAGAAGAACCTCCAAAAGAATCGGCAAAAGATAGAGGGAAAGGGGGGAAATTATTGTACAGCAAACAGCAGACAAAAGAACCTGTCAGCCTGCAAATGTGACTCTCAAACCACTAGACCTAGTAAGACCCTCAACTCAGCTCACGAGAAAAGTCAACTAAATACAAGAAACATGTTGCATACTCCATGGGAGTAAACTTTTTTTTTTAAGTGAAAATTGGTAAAGGGGCTGAATTTTGCATTTGCGCTAATTCAATACAAAACAGAAAGAGAAACCAGCAGCAGAGGACACTAGAAATTCACAAAAATTGTGGGGCGTAATTTGTACTTTCCAGGCTGGAAACTGGCAGAATCAGCCAGGGGGAAGATTGGATACTGAACCAAGCTTATGTGGCCCTTTAGGAGTAGCAGGAAGACCTCAGCCATGTCAAGGTTAAATAAATATTAATGACACAAAAACCTGTCAAGAAGCAAAAAGATAGAAAGTTTACTCATGAAGTGAATTATCAGGGAAGGGTTTGAGCCACAGCTTGAACTGGTTTGTGAGAAATGCGAAAGTTCTCAGAAGGCAGATAAGGCTAGTCAAGATTCCAGGAAGAAGGACCTTCATGAGGTATAAACCCAGAGAGAGGCAGTGCAAGGCATGTTCAGGGAATCCACAGCAGCTCAGCAACACAGAGGCACAAAATTCACATGTGGAAGTAGAAGGAGCTAGGTTTGAAAAGGGAGTGATAAAGAGTGCTTAGAATGTTGGATCACCGGAGAAAATCCATGTGGCATTAAAAGTTATGTACAAATAATTCAAAAGATGGATCTCCCATACAGAGATATATACAAAAGTTTATTAGAACATGCTATGAGCTAAGATCTATGGCAGGTAGGCCAAATAAGATCAAACTACTATGACATGGTCTTTGAAGAAAACATGACCTTACTAAGGCCAGAGCAGTGGTCCTCAGAGTGTGCTCCGGGGTTCCCGGGGGCGTCCCCAAGACCCTGGCAGGAGATCCACAAGGTCAAAATTATTTGGATGACAATACTAAGGCATTATTTGTCATTTGTACTGTGTTGACATATACACTAATGACACAAAAGCAATGGTAGGTAAAAACTGCTAGCGCTTTAGCACACATAAGGCAGTACTGTACTGGCGGTCCTTATATTCCGCACTCTATGCAAGAGCAGCAGACACAATATCAAGTTAAGAGTGGAGAGGACCTGATGCCAACAAGCACACTTTCCGAAGTGCTTCCTAGAAGATGCTAGTCTTACAGGATGGTAATTGAGGATATAAAAATAGGGCTTGGTAGTCAAAGAAGTTTGGGAAATACAAAGTTAAACAATGTCAAGTAAGTCATTTTACTGCAGGATGCCCACGTGCATTATGGATTACGTGTCGATTTCCACAGAGTCCTGACTGTGCTGATGGGCATGTGAATTAACAAGAGGGGGCACTGCCAAAGTGACCTGTCTCGCTGTTGTCAAGGGGCAGTCCAGGGTTATGCCTATAATCAATAATAAGACCCTCAACTCATGCTCACGAGTATCCAAGTTAGGAACGGTAGATTCTATGGTAACCTTAGTTACAGTATTAGCCACAGACCTCTTTTTTTAATTTTTAAGGAACAAGTCATAGAACAAATGTCTCATGAAACACACTTTGGAAAACATCACAAGGTGGTAGAAGGTAGAACACTCCTGTGTTCTTAGCCTCAATCGAGACAGGTCAGGTCAAACATTGGCCTAATTTTTAAACAAAGCAGAGATGCTCACAACTTTATCTTTTTTTTTTTTTTTTAGATGGAGTTTCGCTTTGTCACCCAGTCTGGAGTGCGTGGTGGTGTCATCTCGGCTTACTGCAACCTCTGCCTCCCAGGCTCAAGAGATTCTCCTGCCTCAGCCTCCGGAATAGCTGGGATGACAGACGCCTGCCACCACACCCAGCTCATTTTTGTATTTTTAGCAGAGAAAGGGTTTCACCATGTTGGCCAAGCTGGTCTTGAACTCTTGACCTCGAGTGATCCACCCACCTTAGCCTCCCAAAGTGCTGAGCCACCGCGCCTGGCCTATTGTGTCTTAAGAAAAGGCATAAATATAACAGCTTCTCCTAGATGAGTTGAATCCATGACAAATAAAATCACAGTCACACCTAAAAATGTTAAAGAAATACTTTATCTACTTCAAGATGAGGCATGGATGTTCTCCAGTTTAATAGAATGTGGCTGGGTTTTCCATTTTGCAGAGATCACTTAGAATTCATCCCAAAAGCATAAAAGAGAAAATGGATATGGCATTCCCTAGTTAAGATGGTAATGGGAAGTACTGTAAAAGAAGAATTACAGGCACAATGAAAGGAATCTCAGCATTACAAATGATGTGGCCTAAAATGTCTCTTCGTCATCAAAACCTCTTAGTCAACATGTGCACGACATACTCCAACCAAACTTAGGTAAATGGTTACGACTTGCCAAGGAAACACAAACCACGCTATTACCTGGTAATGCTTTAGGGTCCCGTTAATGAGGAGGGCGGACTGTTTCTCCACCCTCTCCGAGATGGCATGAGCCACAGTATAATAGGACTGGGAGCCCCTGGCACTGTACTGCATGCTGTATTCATCATCCACGTCTTGCTTAGCTGTCCTGGGAAAGGGAAAAGTGGAGAATCACACACAGACAAGCTTGAGCATGTGCTGTTTTACTTGATTCAAAAAATGAATTGAGAACCTAAAATAGCTGCAATAAGTATGTTTGATTTATCAACCACTACTTGCCATGCAGTTAATATACACTATCTATAACCCTCACAAAAAGCAAGTACAAAAGGCATTAGGACGTTCATCCCCGTTTTATGCATGTGGAGAATCTGAGGCTTAGAGAGGTGACTTCATTTCTTTGGATCACATAAAAGGTAGTGACACCAGGATTCAAATGCAGATACCCTTGACCCAAAAGACAGATAGGAGCCTGAATCCTACACCTACAGATGAACACTTTGCCAATAAAGCTGTCCTAGACTATTAGATACAAAGATAAATCCTATTCACAGAACACTGGCTAAAGCCGGGAGGGCAGGGGGAGAGGGCGACCCAACATTAAAGGAGTAGGAAGGAGGAAAGGTAGGCTTCTGTCTTCTGTGCCTTGTTCATGAGCTAGTCTGTTACTCTGCAGGCAATGAGGAACCATTGAAGGGGGCTCTTAATACCTTCAGTGAAGGATCAGGGCAGATTGGTAAAAGGAAGGTCCCTCAAGTGGGGCACACAGCCATGGAATAAAAGGGAGAAATATGAGGATGTCTGTTTCTGGTTCTGAAAAGACCTCATCTTTGAAAATTTTCTTTTTTGCATATTGCTTCACAATAGTTTTCCTTTAATAGCAGAGCTATCCAAGCAAAGAAATGTGCAAACCCTTGATGGAGGGGACCAAAGGAATAGATGAGACAAACAGCCAGGGTACTCGGAGGGTTGGAGAGAGTACAGGGCTGGGCGGGAGTTGGTGGTCAACTTGGCTCTGGCAGCAGGAGTAAGACAGGAATGGCATCTCTCACTAGGGTTGCAGGGAGAGTGCTGTCATTAAGGGAGGCAGGAAAGGCAGCCAAGCAGCCAGTTAGGGAGGTTAAGTTTCATTAGTTCAATCTGGGATTGAAGTGCAGACGATACATGTGAGGCTCAGAAGTGAGCCTGAGCTGCAGGAGGTGATTAAGAAGAGACAGAAGAGGAAGGAAGTAGGAAGGGAAGAAAGTGGGAAGGGAAGTGAAAAAAGTGGGACGGGAAGGGGAAGAGAAAGGGGAAGGGAAGTGGGGAGGAGAAGGGTCAGGAAGGGAGGGAGGAGAGGGGAAGGGAGGGGAGGGGAGCAACATGAAACCCCGAAACCTGGGAACGCAGAGCTCAGTGGTGACCTCTAAAAACAGTTTCAAGCAGAGTGTGGGCATGAAGTCAGCTGCCTTCCTTAAACAAAATTTCCTAAAAGAAAATTCATGAAGCCTTATCCTCATGCAATGCATTTCCCAGGGAAAGACTCAATACACACTCTATGATCTGCTTAGCATCCTTCTCAGAAACTTCTTCACTATTTGGATCCAAAAGTATTTTCTCTTCAGTTTCCTGCCTACTGGACTCTTCTTCCTCATCCTGGAGAAGGAAAACAGATAGGGAGAAAATTACACTTTAATAAGGAAATCTCCATGACTGACATTTTCTGAAAAAAAGATGAATTAGTATTCAACTTCACAAATGAAGTAAGATCGTGCAATTCAGGGAGGAAGTAAATTTACCATCTACTTAAGTGAGGCATACCCCCATTCCATTGCTGTTGAAATCACAAATGAGAGAATGAAGGGAATCCTCTGAGGATCCGCTAGAACCCTTGCTCCCGAGAGGAAGTATGTAAGCATCATGCCAGAAAGATAAATATTTATCATTATTTGGTTATCAGAGTCCTATAGACCATATTTGTTCTCACTCAGTAGTAGCATTCTCTGCAAAGCCAGATTGCAAGAGATCTTAGGATCCTCCTTCTCATTAAAAACACTCTCTGAAAATGCCCATGGGATGTGGATGGCCCCATACATGTCCACTGATAAGGACCTGGATCTTGTAAGCACACTGCTTTCTGTGGCTGATTCACATCAACATTGCAGAGTATTGAGATTAAAAACTCTTAATAACTTGGCAAAGGATTTCAGTATCTCCCACTTCTCAACTGTGTGCTACGTCCAGCTGACCCATTTGAAAGCATCACTAAGTGTTCATTCTGTCCACTACTAACCTGGTATAGAAGGCTAAATCTTTCCAGACCATATGGTAGAATTTCCTTGAAAAGCAGGTTTAAAGAGAACCATGCTTTTCCATAACTCTTAAATGACATAGTATGAACTGACACGCTATCAAAAAGAAAAATCAAACCTTATGACAGCAGATCATTTAGAAGCAGGGAGTCAGCTAAGGTCTTGGCACAACTCCTTCATTTTCCAGGCCAGGAAATAAAGTGCCGAGAGGGGACATGACTCTCCATGTGTCACTAAGGCTCACTTGCAGCACACCCAAGCAATGGGCCCAGGGACAAAGGCTGTCTGTGCTTGTCATCCTCAGGCTGGCAAATGCTGGCTAGCCAGCAGCTTTATCTTATCTCTGCCCATTCTGGCTCTCTTTCCCAAAGAGAAGATTCTTCTAATAGGTCATTTATAAGCCCATTCATCCAAGTAAACAAGATACCTTTAAATAAAATACCTTAGTGATAGAGTCACTGGGGGAAAAATAGCATGTCCCAAAAAGTGTTTGCTTTTTTTTTTTAAAGACAGGATCTTGCTCTGTCACACAGGCTGGAGTGCAGTGGCATAACCTCAGCTCACTGCAGCCTCTGCCCAGGGCTCAAGCCATCCTCCTACCTTAGCCTCCTGAGTAGCTGGAATTGCAGGCATGCATCACCACGTCCACTGATTTTTATATTTTTTGTAGAAACTGGTTTCACCATGTTGCCCAGGCTGTTCTCGAACCCCTGGACTCAAGCAATTCTCCCACCTCAGCCTCCCAAAATGCAGGGATTACAGGCATGAGTCACCATGCCCAACCGTGTTTGCTTTTTAATGACTATGCGTTTTTGTAATGTAACTTTTATTATTCTTCCTCTTTTAAAAAGCATTAATTACTCATGGAAGACTAATTTGGAAAACACAGGTCCACAACTAGAAGGAAAATAGCCATTGTCTTGAGATCCTGGTAAGCTATTAGGGGTAAGACTGCTTTACCTAGTCCTACAGCACTCTCAAAAATATCAGATCTAATGACTATATATTAACAATGCTCTCATAAAGGAGATCAAATCTTCTTTTAATCCTTCTATTTGGTATTATTAAACATTTTCTATGCAGTTGATTTAACAAATATTTTATTATTTCTCAGTTTCTATTAAAAGTACCCAAGATCCCTGCTTTAGGTTCTAGTTATACTAAGTATTGCTTCCAGGGGACTGAGAAGTTCTCTTTGGGTTACAAGCATATCTAAGGAATTCAAACAAGAATCACAACTAGAGAGAAATCAAGAGGATCAATAAACTAATTACACCAAGCCCATGTTGCCCTTTTTGTCTAAGTCTCCAGACTCAGAATTGCAAACAGACTCTAAGGTCTGAAGAACTTCACAATTTTTTGGCAGCTGATTCTCAGTGTGAATCACTTACAGGTATGGCATAGCCCTTCCCAAAGTAATCCATCTCCAATTCTCCCCAAAAGACCACTTCACCATCTCCAAGTTAATGCCAGCTTCTCTCTCCTTGGTTCTAAGTGAACTTAGAATGTGCCAAGTTTCCCCACTAGCCAGGACCTCTCAAGAGATCACTGTCCCACTAGGCATACACCATCAAAGCATTTGTAAATCCTTAGCCCCAGCTGTCACCCAAAGGCCAATTCTGGAGGAAGAAACAACAGAAGGACACAAGCCTGGGCTTACATTCAGGAAGAAGTTTCTTCCTCTGCCAACCTTCTAACCAACAAACCCCAAACAGAGATACATACATACCTCCTCCTCATAATCAGAATCACTCTCTTCACTGTCGGATCTAGGGGCAACTTCATAACTAAGAAAAAAGAGAAAGAGGAGGGGGCTTCGTTTTTTACATTATAAAACAATAAAGACACACATGACTTAATAGCACATTCTGTGTGAAAGACAAATCCAAATAACAACTTCAACCATCTCAGCAAAGGCTGTGTAGTTTTACCTTCGAGATTACTCAAGATTACCAAAATCTGCAAAGCAAAAAGAACACCATGAACGCTGCTTTCATGCCTTACCCAGGATTCATTTCCAGCCAGGCATCCAGCTGACTTGCTTTGGGTGCTTCTGGTCCGAACAGAACCTTGCCGGTTTCCGTGTGAGTCACTTTGACCGGGAGGTCGCTCATCTGGCTGCTCTCATCTATGGGCTAGAAAGCAGGGAAAAATATAATGTCACAGCTTGGTGTTAAGACATTCTCCCACTTCTGTTCTGTGCTGGACGTTTCTCAGCATTTTTGCTGCCCAGCATCTAAAACCTTGTTTTGTGTTTGGAAATTTCACTACCTAAGGAATTTTGGTGGAAGGTGAGAGGCTACCTCCCACTAAAGAAACAAAGTGCTGCCTCCCTGGCTGCTAAGACACAGGCACAAACCTTAGCTCCACCAACCAGATACATCACCAAGACTGTGAGTTAGGAGCTAGAAGTTCAAGGGTGGAGGAACCAACAGCTGTACTGGTGCAGGGCAGACTACACCAGCAACAATGCCAGGAAAGCAGTAATTGTCTTGCCAAGCTTCTTCCTGCTCCCAACTACAGCCTGTCCTCACTGGACCAGTTGTAGAGCATAATACTAGGGATAGCCCTGAGTCAGGTTCCTCCAAAACCCTGGAGATCTGATGAGTTACCCACTATCCTATCAATACATTCCCTTTTTATTTAAATCAGGCAGAGTTGATTTTGGTCATTTGTAACTAACAACCCCTAATTCCTCAACTAATATTTCTCAGATAACAACTATTGCCAAGTCATGGTTTCAGAGAGAATGAAAAACAGAATAGGTATTACAACCGTGTCATCTCATGAGTGGCTGGTTTGACTTCTGCAGAACCAGGGTTCTTTATCCAAAACTAACCCCCCCCACCCAGGTATCTAACCCAACTAACTGGCATCTATGAGTGTGATATAGAAAAAAGCTCTGCTTCTCTGAAATCTGGCAAATTTACCAAGATTAAGCTAAAGTTCGTTACTAGGCTAGTATATCCAAGGAACACAAGAATCACACTTGGGTACAATCAGCAGCGAATGAATGTTCCTGATTACAAAGTGACCTGTACTTCTAGGAGAAGATCCCTAAGTAAAATGTTTGTTTGGAAATGCCTGATCAGAGAGTGGTTCAAGTTATCTATCTCCTGAAAAGTAATAAAAATTGAATTTTTAGACAATTCATGAATTCCAAAATTTTTCCTAAATTACTTTCAATTGGAATTAAGCAGAAATGATAGGATAACATACAGTACACTATAGTTTATTTTCTATATCTTATAGGAAATGACCAAAAACAAAACAAAACAGAAAACATACACCCAATGGTTCTTTTCCCTTACACCCCCAACAAGCACTGTCAGCATAAGAAACAACATATTTGCAATTATCACAAAAATAACCTTAAAAAAAGAAAAGTCTTACTCCAGATTGTCGTTTTTTTCTTTTGTGTGTGCTAAAGCAATGGTTTTGAACATCATTACTTTGCACCCCAACATGACACTTCTTCCTCATTAATGTAAAAGGTCATCTACATACTCAAGAGATAAAGAAGGAAATCTACCATTTGCTATCATTTCCCTTGGAAAAATCATACTCTTATCGTGAACCATTATAATATATAGCTTGTTTTTGTGCTAATGTCATGCCTCTAAGAAAATTGGAAATCACTGTAGATGGAATTAGAACTTTGGCAAAAGCACTGAATGAGAACAGCAGAGCATAATAACAAGAACATTATTTCAAAACAGAGCAAGATGTCTACTTTGCAAGCCTTAGCAAACAGGACATACGTGTTAAGATTAAAAGAAAAAAAGATGTATGTCACAAGCCCAAGATCAGTAGCTAATTTTCGCAACAGATAATAAGATATAAGAACACTATTACGTTAACATGGTAAATCTCTCCCTGTGAGCCTGTTAATTATAGACCAATGGGAGGCATACTTAGGTAAGGCTAAGATTTTGCAAATTAGAGTGGTTTCTAAGAGCTTTAATATATAGTATTCTTGTCTCATAACAGCCCACGGAGTTTCTTACACATCAGACATTTATCCTGATCCTTTCTTTCCTTGTGATGGATTATAGTGGTTAAGTAACATTTATTGTTCAAGAGGTTTCTGCATAGAATAGTGGTTCCGTCTTTTTTTTTCCTGCATCTCCGCTATTTAAGTTCACAATACAACTGTGTGCAAAGTGATACCAGAATGGGAAGTGGCAACCTCCCACCCACTCCAATCCTCCAAGTAGGTTTATCAGAATTTGTGAGACAAAATGAAGATAATTTGAAACAAACTCCCTTCCCATCCTGTTCTGGGAGTGTGCCTCCTTATTGTGAATCGCTGGCAGGGAACCTTAAATTCTTCAGAAAAAAAAATCCAATAAATAAATAATTGTATCCTCATGATTCAGGAGAATATTGAAACTACTAGGAAATGAATTTTAGAAATAGGCTGATGAATACACATATAGACACTATACTGCAAGCCTACTAAAAATTTCAAAATAAGTTAACCAAATATGTGACTTCTGCAGTTTATGTATTTTTATAATTTCAAATTAATAATAAACTAAAGAAACTAGGTCATATTTTATGCTTCTGTATCATTTACTGGGCAATATAATTATAGAATTATTTAAGATTCTTATGCAACTTATATATTTGTAAATATACTATTATATGTGCACAGAAAACTCTGAAATAGTATGCAAGACATTTAAAATCAGTTGATTGATTGTCTGACATGCAAGTAGATTATTTTTCACTGTATCTCTTCTGTATTATTTTAATTTTCTATTATGCTAATGTATTATTATTCTTACTTACAATAAATAGCAGTGTAAGAATAACATAGCATGCACTCCGTTCAGCAGAACACAGCAGAAAGGATGAAAATCCCTTACCTCTCCATCCGGCCCCAGGGCGGACTCCCCACCCTCTGCATTCTCTTCAGCCTTCTGCAAAACAACAATGCCAAATGTTATATGTAACCAAGATGATGGGGTAAAGGACTTCCTAGTAACTCTCTGGTATGTAATGTAATTTCATTGTTGCCCATTATTATCTAACAGCTTAAGTGTTAATGCCTTTTATGTTCATTTCTCTTTGCTGAGACAAAGCATGTATTTTATTAGCAACTTGTAGAGAATCACTTAAAGCCAGATGTGCTCTAAGGCCAGCACACTGGAGATTTGTAGATTGTGTCTTCAGGGACTCAAAAAGCTTAAGACACAGCAGACTCAAGACAGTGGTCAGAATCTGAAATATTCTCGGGTTTGGGATTGGGAAGGTAAATCCTGACATAATTAGCTAAGCTTTCCTATCTGCTAAGCAAGTTTCCTTCAGCAATGAAGAACAACATTTTAAAAATGCCCATCAAGAATAAGTTCTGATGACGACAACAGACACTGGGAACTACCAGAGAGGGGAAGGAGAGGTAGGGCAAGACTTGAAAAACTAATTATTGAGTACGATAATCTCTACCTGGGTGACAGGATCAACTATAACACAAACCTCAGCATCACCCAATATACCCAGGTAATAAACTTGCACATGTATCCCCTAAATCTAAAATAAAAGTCAAAATAATAAAAATAAAATAAAATTACATTCTCAAAAAAAAATAAAGAATAAGCTATGAACCACTCCATGAGCATAAAAACATAATATAAAACTCTGTGAGTTCCCTGGATGTTTTTAATTCCAACCAAATTTCTTTTATAATATATAGTATTTCTACCACGTGTATAAGGGAAAATTTGATAAAGCTACTGTTGTCTCATGAATAATTCTGTTATCTACCATTTCTTAAATATCCCAATATCTTAGTCCACTAGCTTCTACGTGCCCCAAAGACAACCTAAATGAAAAGTTAAGATTATGTCATATCTTGTACATATCCAAGAGAGTCTCATCTGTAATATATACAAAATCATCTAAAATTTCTTCCACTTACGATAACCTCTGTAAGTGCAATCTTTAAAATCACCTTTATAGAATCCCTATTTTAAAGTTACTGCTGGAAAGCTATACTGTTTCTGCATAGTATAATGAGAAAAAAACACGTTAGTCATTTCTTTTACCAAGACATTTGGGAAAATGAGCTTTCCTCCCTTGGGTTCTTTAGTTAATTAAAAATAAAAAATGATGATACAGAATCAATATGAACTGAACTTCATTTACTTAAGATATCGATTCCATAATGTTTTTGTCTTCTATGAAAATAACTCACTGTCTTTTGACAAAAATAGTTTTTTCGAAAACACTTAAAGTTTAAAATCCACCTTTTATTCATTGTGAAGAAAGGCAGTTCCATAAACATTTGAAATTTCTGAAGTTCTTTTACAATGCAATTTTCTTAACAAAAATACATCTATGTATGTATGTATGTATGCCAAAGCATAAAGCATTTAAAAATGCAACTTATACCAAACAGAAAGAAATAAAATACTCCCTTTGGTTATGATTTTCCAAGAAATTAAAATTTATATTTATGTCAACCCAAAGTGGAAATATTTATAAGCTCAAAAGGAATGATCAGCTTCAAAGAGCATCAGGCTCTACATCTAAGCTAATGACACAGAGAACAATGGCAGAACCCCTGAATTCAGAAAAGAAGCCACCCCTGCTACCAGTCACTGAAGGTTCCATTTTTGGAATTCTCAGGCTCTATACTCAGGGGACTGTTTTAATTAATGGAGGAAAGTCAATTAATCCCACCATTCTTTCCATACAAATCAGAAATAAGCTACAAATTTGACCAACAAAGAAAATCAAATGAGACAATGAATAAGCCAATTTCAATTATCTAGCAAGTGGAATTGGATAACCATTTCAATGAACAGTACATTAAAAAGCTTGAAGCATCATATATTAATATAATCAAAACTATTCTAAAGGATACTTTCCTATGAATATACCATGAACTAGCTAGATTGTTATCTAAAAACTGTCTCATAGTCAGGCCCTTCCATTACTTAAAATCCCCCAAACTGTTTTTTAAAATTCTATTATGTATCAAATTTGAGAGGCAGAGTAATATTAGATTTAAGACACTTGGTTCTGGAATTAGACAAACTGTATTTGAATCCTGGCTCTCTGTAATTAAGTGCGAGAGATCTTAGCTGTATGGTCTTGAGCAAATAATTTTCTCTTTGCGTCTTAGTCTCCTCTTATATAAAATAGAAATGGTAACAAACAGTGCCTATATCCTACGGCTTCCATAGGACTGGGTCACTATTTCAACATGTACAATCCAATATCACAAGTAATATATATGCTGCCAGCCTCAATCTCCACATTGTATAAGGGTCAATGATAGTCCAAGGACTATTCTTTTATGTCTATATTTAAGACTTGCTGTAGCATTTCCTGAAAAATGCTTCACAAGGCTATGAGGTCAGGGATTTCTGTCTGTTTCATTCACTGATGCATTCCCACACCTACAAGGGCATCAGGCACTTAAAAGGCACTAAATAAATATTTGGTAATTGAAGGAATGAATGGAAGCACAAAGAAGGGTACTTTCCACTTAGCATATCTCACTAAATTATTATCATAAATAGGTGCCAACACATCTTCGAGTCATAAAATAATTAAGGGCATGCATACAATTAGCCATTGAATTGGTGCTCTGTGTGACTTCTCTCACAAGCATGCCCTGTCCTTAGACCCAACTCTGCCGTGTTACTCCAAGAGATAGAGGCCAGGTGGCAGTCTACTCTATGGCAAGAGATATCGACTTCTCCCATCATGCTTTGGATTCCTTCACTTTGATGACATTCCTGGTTGGTTGGTGTGATTTCATAAGCCCATGTACTCACATCAAACTCATGCTGTATCTCAAAACTTGAAAGAACAAAGCAAAACAAACACAACTGTCCCTTCTTTTGGTTCAAAATTAACACCCAAGAGCTTGTGATTGGTCTACTATTTGAGCTGACGTCGGACACTCTCTAAGCACCTGATGAAATGTATTGATGTCAGTGCAGCAGCTGCTAGTGTCTCCTGCCACCTGAGAAGTTTTTACATGTAGTTATCTACATCATGTAATTGCAAACACATGCTGTCAATATTAATGGCTGATGCCTGCACTTATTTCCACTGATTGAAAACAAACAAAACACTGAACAGGAAACTTGGTACTGGCTTCTTCCTACATGCAAAAGAGTTTAGAACTAATTATGCTTATGTAGGAAGGGAGGAATATAATTAACCTAATCATGTAAGGGGACACGATAGGAATAATTCATAGCTAAAAATCACTCATAACTAAAATTTACTCAAACTAAGGACAATTTGGGTTTCCAATTTCCAAGACCAATGTCAATTCTCATCTTCCATTTAGCGATGCTCAAAAACAAAGGTATGCGTGTGGCTACCCATCTTCCTTGCAGAAGCTATAAAAAGCAATCAACAACAGGAGTGAGGAGGGAAAGAAATCTCTAAATATGAAAATCCTGTGTAAGCTGAACTCAAGAGTTCAGCAGGACATTTTATTTAGATTACTACAACATAGGCTATAAACAGCCTCATTACATAAACAGTTTTAAATCAAGTATTTTACAATCTATATTATAAAATGAATGTACTTTATCCCCCAGTAGATATTATAATATGCTGAAACAACATTCAAATGTGTTGGTATCTGAAGGACCCATTCTGCTTCACTGGAAACCTTAGCTTTCAAAACCACTTGAGTTATTTTTACTGTCATTTAAGTGAACTTTTGAGCATTAAGATAGGTAATCAGGCAATAAACAAAATGCCCAGGAATATCAAATTAACAGGCATTTGCACATTACTTGGGTTGTTTCTTACAGAGAAAATAAATTTGAACATTTTGATTCAAGTAACTGGTCGATCCAGTTAAACAGGACTTTGCTCCAAACTTCTGGTCTCACCCGTTTTGACACTAAACTAATCAAATAAATCTAATCACTGTGGCATCATGTTCACCTGCCTTCACAGTAGTTCCTACACTCAAATGTCCAGAATCACGTTAGAACCTTTCTTTTATTCAGGAAAATCTTGTAGAGGAAAGCTGTAATTAAGTGTATAATCTTTGGGGAAAATATCAGAGATAAACAACTAAGAAGAATCAGGAAGCAGCTTGAATTTAAAATAAATGTCTCAATAATTTTACTGCTTTGTTTTTCATGCTCTTTTTACTGAAAACTGTGCCAATGGCAGGCTACTGTGATATTTTGGTATCTAAACAGGATAAAAACACATTTCCTACCACTATGTTGACCAGTACATTATGCCAGGAAGGTTCCCCCCGCCAAATATCACAGTCCTGAGATTTACTTATAATGGAGGTTGGTAAGGAGAAAAAAAGAGAGACAGAGACAGGATAAAAGAGCATTTAGAAAGAAAATCAAACACTCCAATGAAGAATATATCTGGCCTAATGTTGCCTCAGAAACTCCGAGGATGTGCCCATTAGTATCATGTGTTTCCAAAAGTGTCATAAATAAATAACAAGAGGACAGTCCTGCTGGTGTACATCCCATTGAAACATGTGGAAGGGAGAATTAAATATTTATTTTTGGCTGACGTCAACAGCTCTGGAAACGGAACCCTTGAAACTGCTAGACTTCTAAGCAGTAAGCAGGGGTGCTCTGGGCATGGGCTCCTAGCCACAGCTTAAGGAAAAACATACTCTAAAGAACTATGAGGGATGCCTCATTATTACCAGGAACCCTTGTAAATTTGAGGCCATGTAATTAGAAAATTCTTTTTGTAGGAGTTGGGGGAACACGGTGGTAGGCAGCGCGAATCACCTGTGTTACATCCTCATTGTTCTTCTGCATGCCTCAATATTTAAAGACTCTGTCAATGACCTCAGAGATATCCTACACACTACTATTCAACTGATTTCCAACTAGAAAACAGGTAGTGACCAATTATTATTGATTCAACATTACAAAGAATATGCAGTAAAGGTTACAAAAAGATTTATTTTCAGAAAAACATAACCACATTATAATCATGATCCCACTTTTGTAAAACAGAATTGCTTGATGAAATGATGTTTACTGCGCACTTACTATGTGATAGGGTGTATTCTACATGCTTTAGATAAACTTTCCCATGTAATCCTCACTAGAAATCGATGGGGTACATAATATTCCTATAGCCTCCTTACAGATCACAAGACTGAAGCACTGTGGTAATAGATCTTTTAATGAAATCGCCTACAAGAGAATAATAGCAAATTAGTATATATATTCTTACGCAGTTTTGATTTTAAATGATTACCTGTCAAGATGATTCAGACAGTGGTCCAATTTACTAATTTAGCCATGTTTGATCCTAGTTTTACACATACCCAGGTGGCTTTATCTAGCCCCATTCTCTTTTGTACCCTGTAGGAAACCTCAAGGTCATGCTAAATGCACATAACAGCACATTCAAGTTGGAACACCGAAGAAATTAGCTTCATATAACTAAGATTTCAATACTTTAAAAATTATTCCTCCTCTGATACTTAAAAATATTATTCATTTCTTTTTCTTCCATTTCAAGGGTTTTAATGGAAGACCAGGCTAAGAATGAGAAGTTTCAAAATGATTTATATAAGTGTACTTCATAAAAATGTCTGTAATGAGAAAATTAAACAAACTCATAACAGGTTAAAGGAAACCTACCCTATTATTCACTAGCTCACAAGAGTAAACACAATAAATTCCCAAAGAAAGACGGAGGCCTCTGTTCTTCTAGGGAATTAAAAAAAGAAATTGTACACTAGTTTCATGCTGAAAATAAAAGGTAATCTTTTTCAGATTAAATTAACTGAAAAAGTCAGCCATATTCATCTTTTTTTTTTTTTTTTTTTTTTTGAGAGAGAGTCTTGCTCTTGTCACCCAGGCTGGAGTGCAGTGGCACGATCTCAGCTCACTGCAACCTCCACCTCCTGGGTTCAAGCTATTCTCCTGCCTCAGCCTCCCAAGTAGCTGGGATTTTAAGCACTTGCCGCCAAACCCAGTTAATTTTTTGTATTTTTAGTAGAGATGGGGTTTCATATTTTAATAGAGACATCAAGCAAGAGACAGCCTGGCCTTAGAGGTAATCACACTTTAAAAAGCAAAGGCTGGGTTTTTGCATGTACACCTGTTAATCATTGCTAATGGTGGTATATTCTCTTAGGCATGTTTGGTTCTTCATACAGGTGAAGTGGTGACAGGTAATTCTCTGAAGAACTCAGCCAAGGGAGCAGAGGCTCAGAAATGGGTGCATAGAGCTGTTAAAAGAGACCCAAGGAGATCTTGGTGGGGCATCACTGGTGCCAGCCCAGGGCTCACAGAGCTTCTTGGCCCGAAGGGTCATGCTAAAAGGACAGGCAGAGGATGTTAAACTTTGCCTAGGTGAAAATCATGCCTGTCTGCTTGATCCTGTAGCATCTAGTGTGGATCATACTCATCATAGAGAATCCTAGATGTGTTTCTGAATGGGAATGAATGTATGCATGAAAGACATCTCAGGCCCAGCAATTAGTCGTCATAACTTTTAGGAATCATTTGGCAGAATTCATGCAACTCAATATTTCATCTTTGTAGAAATGCTAAGATCCTCTGCATAAGAATTGCAAGCTGATGAAACTATAGTTCAGAAATTCAGGAAAAAAGAAAGAAAGAAAAAAAGAGATGGGGGTTTCACCATGTTGGTCAGGCTGGTCTTGAACTCCCGACCTCAGATGATCCACCCACCTTGGCCTCCCAAAGTGCTGGGATTACAGGCTTGAGCCACTGCGCCCCGCCTCATATTCATCTTCAGTAGTACATTTCTTAGAGTTATCTGTAGTTTAGTTGTCCTTTAAGTGTTGCTATCAGCTCAGTGCTATTAGCTATTAGCTCACTGAGTAAACTAGGTTTTCTCAAAACAAGGGTTTATTGAAGTGTTTGTTAACAAAATGTTGACAGGTATAGTATACTATTTGATACTATGGGAAAGTGCTAAAAAGGATACCACAGATTTTTATGCTCATGGACAGTTTTCCTCCATGACAGAGAAGCCAGAAGGAGCAACTCCCAATCATTCACTCTAATGGAGTGAAGAAGAACTACAGATAATCCAAAGTGTCAAATCAGCTTTTCAAAGCATCCCCTTTATTTGCACTTGAACAAAGGTGTATGTGGAACTGGGTAATTCACTCCAAACTAAGCCTCAAAACCCGAGAAAAGTGGCAGGTACCTGGAAAGGCTAAGGGTCTCAGTTTCTTTTCCTTCCCCCTCCCCTTCTTTGTCCCACTTCTCCCAGCAAGATACCCTGGAAGGAAATAGAGCCGCTCCGCCTTAGTCCTGCTGAGGGCAGGGAGTACTCAAATGCTAGGCACCCAGGAGCATGCAAGGAAGGGTAGATAGCTGACAGTAAAGTAAAAATTCTGCACATTGATCATGTGAGATAATAAGAGATACTCAGAGGTATCTGTAAGGTAGAAAATTGCTTTGACATCTATTACTCATTTGCCAAGCAATCAGGCCCCACCTCCACTTGAAAACAGTTTCCCTCCATAACATTCGATCCAACTTGTAATTGTATATTTGGGTGCAAGTTGGATTAAAATCTGTCTAGCCTCTCTTTCTCTCTTTTCCTCTCTCTGCTTAAATTGTCAGAGAGGGCAGGATGCTTTTCCTCACCATTCCACCCTCCTTCTCCCAGCATTCTAGCAGCACACGACCTAGCTCATAGTAAGTGTTCAGTTAACATAGGTTGAGTGAAAGCATAAGACACAAAGAATAAGTGCTATCACCAAATTCAAGGCCAGGGTTTGAAGGGGCATGCCAACTTACAGCTCATGTGGAGTAAGCAGCACCATGGAAAATAATTATGACAGGTCCCTGTTCTGTGCATATTAACACAAAAATATAGGCATAATCATCAACACTCAACTGTGCATCAATTGTGCATCTTTCTTTGCCTATGATGATGCAGCTATCTAACACCAGGGCAGAAAGCTATTAATCATAAGCCATAATCAAATCTGGGTCATTATCTTTTAATCACAAAGAAAAGTAAAATACAAACTTTAATACTAAAAACACTAACAGTGACTACCTCTGCAGAACACATGGCTGAATTAGGAAAAACTAAAACTGCAATTTAATGGAGTCCACTTACAGAATATTATAGAATTCTTTCTCTGCTGTCAATATGTCAGTTGTTTCTTTTTAATTTTTTAAGATTTTTTTTTTGTGGAAGTCAAATAGACATATAAAATTTACCATTTTTATCATTCTTAAGTGTACAGTTCAGAGGTAATAATAACTACATTTACATGATTTTTCCCCCATCATTCTTCCCTCGCCCTTACCTGTATGTTCCTCACTAACTCTGAAACATCTTTTTAAGGTAGGAATTGGAGCTGGAGTTTTGCACAGTCTATTACACTACATTGACAAGAAAATGAGGTATTCCTCACCAACAAAATGTCTAAACACAAGCCCTGAGTCATCTCTTGTTCATCTTCACAATGAGGCAAGCTATCTTATACTAAAAAAATCAGTGCAAGAAGGTGCCTTCTTAATCATTTATTCCTCCTCCTTAATTATGAAACAGGTATGAAAATGCAGAGGCTGTGAAATTAATTATTTTTTGAAAAACATTTTGTTCAATTATTCAGTGTAGAGAATGAATGATTAAATGCTACCAATCCTCAACCTTTACAATTCTGATTTCCTGTTGATGTCTGTACCTGGCCTAAACAGAATTTATCATGAAAACACAGTTATCAACAAAGAACTAGATTACTGGACTACTTAAGCTTCAAAGAGGATCCATATTCACAGCCTATCCTCAGCAGGTTACTCGTGGAGATATAATATCTGCATAGATTCTAAATCTTACCCTTTACTTCTCATGATGATTATGAAATATTTCACATAGGACTCTTTTTTTATGTAATTACCTAAAACTCCAATGTGCACACTTGCCTCACTGCGACACAGGGACAGCAGAACTGAATAAACAATTGTGACACTGCCAGCTGTCCAAGTAACTATCACCTATATCTTCCTCTGGCTTCTTCCAACCTGTACACTGCATTTTATTCTTAATTTTCATTCCAGTTTCTTAATTGAGTAATCCCCTGCCATACGAGCATTAAATTAAGCAAACACTTATTTGTGTCTGATTTTCCTTTCCCAATTGACTGGATGTACTTAATTTAAAATCTTGTATTAGACAATGATTTATGGACAACATTGTTTTTGCTTAGTACATCCTATTTTTACACTCTTATCTCCAACAGTTGTCTAAAATACCTAATCAACACTTTCATGCCATACCTGTTTATGCAATTTTCACAATTCGTTCATCGAAACCTTCAGCAGTGTAGGAAGTAGTACTTAAAGAGCAATACTCGCCTTAAACTTATCCCTGCCCAATACCCTGGACTTAGCCACCACCATGAGGATATGTACCTTCTTCCGCCTCCTTCTCTTCTTCTTCTCTTTGGCTGCTTGGGCTTGCTTGTGCTCCCAAACCAGGTTGGTCAGATTGGCTACATACTCATCAGTCTGCTGCAAAAGGTAAGCTAAACGCCTGTCTTTCTTTTGATCAATCAGTTTTCTATAGCCCTCCTCATCTTCAGCCTATTAAAGAAAGAACATGATGAGGGCATAATATAAGCATGCAGACAACTCCACTCTCTTCTACTCTGTCCTCTCCCCGTGACAGTCTGCACTTTGACTGGCAGGAGTGTAGCAAACCAGATGAGTCGGGCTAGACAAGGCATCACACAGAGTCTGGCGCAGGGCAAACACACAGAAGTGCAACACCTACATCCCAGAACACTGGAGTTTATAGCGAAGTTCAGGCACAAAGCCACACTGTACATGTGGTGTAATCAAGCACTCTGAGCCAGCTCTTTGTTTTCTGTGTTGCTTTAACTGTACAAAAAGATTTTAGAATTTGACAACTCATGATCTAAAGTTTATCTTTAACTTGGTATTTTGGAAATTTTCAAATATAATCAAAAGCAGAGAGAATAGTATAATTTATCCCATAACCAACTCCAAACAACAAAAATTAACTTGTGGTGACTTCTGTTTCATTGCTACTCTTCCCCTAAAGCCCCTTTCCCCAAACCCAAACTGAATTGTCTTGAAGCAAATTCCAGACATAATATCCTTTCATTCATAAATATTTCAATAAGTACTACTAAAGGCAAGGTATCAAATGGGCTTTTAACAAATAATGTCTTATATTTGAAAAAGTCTTTCTTTTTGGTGTTCCAAACATTGTGGTTGATTAGGAAGATCCAACTTGGGGGACTTTTTTGTTGTTGTTGTTGCCACAGATAATGGCCCCAGGTGACTGGAGACAAGTCACTTAGTACCTGAAGTCTGGTACTGCTGAGCAATAAAAGAGATGCAGTAATTCCCACTTCCACCTCCCATTAAGCAACATGATGAGAATAAACAGAATAAAACTCTGATGTACTCTGAGCCATTTCGAGAGAAATCTTTTTGTATATTCCAATAAAGGACACTCCAAATTATTTTTATCATGTAATGCCACGATCAAAGAACAAGCTGCAAAATCTTTAAGAGGCATCTCCATTGCAAAAACAAAAACAAAAACTTGAGATCTTCTGTCCAGGGGTGTCATTCTAGCATTTGCCTGAGTGACAGCAGCTTCGTCACTCAGTCTAGCTGCTGTCTGCCCTGAGGATGAGCAAGAGCCTCAAATGCTATTATAACTCTAATTGCTTTTGGTTATGGTTGAACTCACTTGAAGAAAGAGTGATAAAAAACTTCAGTTTCTCTATTATCTGTATATTCCATCATTTAATTGCAAAAATTAATGATTTGCAAATGCCTAATCATTAGTGTCAAACCAATCTGTTACTGAAGTTCTAATACAGTTTCACTTCAGTTGAGTCAGACAAATCTGACTGCTTAGTGATCAAATTACTATAAAAAAGGTCTAGTCAGAAACCTCTTGGACAGTCCCCTCTCTCCTTAGTATGGAGCGGGAGGCAGGAGAGGGTAGTAAGATGAAGCAATACCTGGACACAAAGGCTTTTAAAACATGGTGTTCATTCTCTGGAATCCAAAAAATTCATGAAAAAAATGCAAACTGTAATACCAGCAAGGAAGACACTGTCACTTAGAACTTTCCAGGAACATAATTATGACCTTATCTTCATCTATGCAGGCATTATGTCCTAGATAGAATCTGCAGGTCTCCTATAATTATAACATCACACATGCTTTTTTAAAATCCACAGTTTGCTCTGAGGTCCAATTCCAAAAATAAATGGTCAATAAAACCAAATATTCAGGCCAATGACATCAACCTATCTCTTCTGTGCTATATGCCCATTAAAAAATAACAATGCAAATATAATGATCCATGCATAGCCTCAATAACATGGCTATCACAAAAAAAGCAACATTTCAAAATCAACTTAAAAATCATTTATTACACGGTTAGAGAATAATTTCTGCCATTAACAAAAAAAGATGAGCACCAGAGACTTCAAAATAGAGACCTTCTTAAATTTGAAGACACGATTTAATATGTTATTCATTCCAAAAAATGTGGTCATTCATCTCAAAGAGGCCATATTTTTATAAAAACGGCATTTGCATCCTTCCAGATCTGGTTATCAAACTCATGCAAAATATAGTACCTGCCTTGATGCAAGAAGCTGTAATCTGTACTGCAATGCCACCCCAGGACACAGAAATACTATATTTATTAGTCATCCCCCTAGCTTTGTGGCATCTGTCATCCAGGAGAGAGAAGAAGTTTTTACTTCATCTCCCTAAGGTTCAAAGAAACTTATTAAAATCTTTGTTAAGCAGCTTACACTTTTTCCTTCTACAACCACCATATTTCATGGTCTCATTGCAGACGGATGTGGGCTGAGTGGTTTCCTGGGCTCCTGCAGGGGGTTCCTTACCATCAGTCTCCGCATTCTCTCCTTTTCGATCCGCTCTGTCTCCTTCTTCTGCTCTCTTTCAGTGTTGGCATGCCACGTTGCCACTGCTTTGGAGAGCTTCTGGATCTTTCCAGCCACAGACCGATGATATTCCTTAAAATCTTTTGCATGTTGCAAAATACTGTTCAGGTATTCCTAGAGGATCCAAAAAGGGAAGAAAAGGATACTTAAAATCCATTGTCCAACATCTTCTATCAATGTAGTATAAGAAAACTCTGTGTGTGTGTAACAGAATAGGAAGACTAGAATCTGTTTGGGGACAGGTGGCCTGGTATGTCTCTGTAGTTGAGGTGTGGGCCATGGAGCTGGTGGGAAAGATGGCCTCTCCAGGTTCCATTTGTTGCAAGCTTTTGCAAGAGAAGCCTCCTCAGCCTTGAGAGTGTGGCCACATAAGAATGGAAAGATCAAAGACTGAAAGAAGAGACCTACAAAATGGCAATGATAAAATTTAAAGCAAACCACTCACTCACTCCAAAATAAACTTGACGAACATGGGTATTTCCAGCAAAAAGTATGTCATAAAAGTAATGTTTTTCTGCTCTAACTTAACTACCTTTGATTATGACCCAAAATAAGTTTATATGAAGCTAAAATTGTCATGCAGAATTTCTATCCACTTTTTAAATATATACCCTCTTTACACTAAAATCCAACATTTTTTTCAAAAGGAAACTAAGCACTAAATTAAGCAAAAGAAAACAAATACAATTTATAGGATTATGACAGGCAATTAAATCCTATATCAAAATACTTCCAAACCCCCAGAAAGGAATATTTTTAAATATTTACCTCTGTGATATGTTCAACTATGCCCTTCAAAGAGGCCAGGATACTATTATATTTGTTATGAAAACAACATTTTGCTCTCTACTTTCCTTTTCCAAGTAACTGCTTCCAGAATTTTGCTCTAGGAAACCCACCTATGCCCACTCATTCAAAAACTTTCCATGGGATTATGAGCATGACACCTGTTATGGACTGAATGTTTATGTCCTCCCCAAATTTATATGATGAAATGCTAACTGCCAATGTATATTAGGAGGTAGGGACTTTAGGAAGTGATATGGTCATGAGGGTGGAGCCCTTATAAATGGGATTAGTGCCCTTATAAAGGAAACCCAGAGAGCTTTCTTGGTCTCCTTCCACAACATAAGAAAACAAGAAGTTAGCACTTTGCAACTGAGAAGTCCCTCACCAGAGCCCGTCCATACTAGTGCCCTGATCTTGGGCTTCCAGCCTCCAGAACCAGAAAAAATAAATTTCTATTCTCATCAACCACCCAGTTTATGCTAATTTTTGTATAGCAGTCCAAACAGACTTAGACAGTACTAAACCTCATTCTGCTGCTGAGCAATTGTATGACTTTGGGCAGGTCATTTATATGTCCTGGCCTAAGGGTCTTTGTCTATAAAATGATGTGGTTGGATTATGTAAACACCAAGGAATCTTTCTGTTCTGTGGTGTCCCCACTGCCCACAAGGGTCCATTTTTCAGTCATTCTGACCCCATTCGATGACTTCATTGGACATCTCTGTCAAAGTGAGGGTGAGCAAAGCCCAGGGTCTAAGAACCTGGTGTTTCTGACGGCGTTTCCTCTCCTGCTCAATCTTCTGCTGCTTCTCCAGCTTCTCAGTCATGCGAGCTTCTCTCAGAGTCTGGCGCTTGCTCCGTTTGTATGCTTTGGAGTTGAGAGCCGTCTCCAGGGTCGTGTCCCTGCGCATGCAGGCTACCACCTCCTGTCTCAGCTGTCAGGAGGAGAGCAGTTAGAGAGCCTTCCCAAACAGAAGCTAGGTTTCCATAAGCCTGGCCTTCTCTCGGTTGCATTTAACAGAATAGAGTGGGGAGAGGACTCTCTACAGGTGCCTCAGTCACCTTTGGTTTGTATTAAATGAAGGAGCTAAAATCATGTCAAATGTATGCAATATTTTCAAGGCTCGTACAAGATTTTTTTCCCCAAATAATTCAAATGAAAAGCAATTATAGTACTGTAACAGTAAAAGAAAGAAAAGATGTTGTCTTGCTTTTTAAATAACTCCATTTTATCTAATTATTCTAATGATACTAATTAGCTAATAAGCTTTTTAAATTTTTCACTTTGTTTTAAATGTCATGCTAACACTCTCTTTGTATTTAAAGATTAATTTTAATGATGCTCCAAAAAAAGAATAAAAGAATTACTTTTACATATGGTAGTAGCAGGTATTCAAACAACGTTAATTCATAGTTTCATACAAAGGATGGAAAATATAGCTTCTGGCTTCTTCCCACTCCAATAATGATATTCTTTCCAAGAGATCTACATTTTATATTATATCATGAACTTACTTTAGTTCATCACAAATATAATACTTTTATTGTATTCCATGTTATGTGGTGGTAGGGGGTAGGGACTGGAGAATACACATTAAATAATCATTCCACTGAATCTGAACTCATCATTAGTTACAGTTAATTTTATTGGGAAGCTTCATAAATAACAGATTTTTTTAAATAACATCAAACAAGGCAGAGCACAGCGGCTCACTCCTGTAATCCCAGCACTTTGGGAGACTGAGGCAGGCAAATCACGAGTTCAGGAGATGGAGACCATCCTGGCCAAATGGTGAAGCTCTGTCTCTACTAAAATACAAAAAATTAGCTGGGCATGGTGGTGCACGCCTATAGTCCCAGCTACTCAGGAGGCTGAGGCAGGGGAATCGCTTGTACCCAGTAGGTGGACGTTGCAGTGAGCTGCGATCAGGCCACTGCACTCCAGCCTGGTGACAGCAAGACTCCGTCAAAATCAGAAACTAACAGGAGACCAACATGGCAATGCTAATTTGAACATAAACTTATTCCTGAAAATATACTTGTTTAATATTCATTTAACAGCATTCTATCCAGCACTTTATTAACTCATATTATGAGGTCACCAATAAAAAAGAAGTAAACACAGCCGGGCGCAGTGACTCATGCCTATAATCCCAGCACTTTGGGAGGCCGAGGCGGGTAGATCACGAAGTCAAGAGATCAAGACCATCCTGGTCAACATGGTGAAACCCCGTCTCTACTAAAAATACACAAAATTAGCTGGGCATGGTGGTGCGTGCCTGTAATCCCAGCTACTCAGGAGGCTGAGGCAGGAGAATTGCTTGAACCCGGGAGGCAGAGGTTGCAGTGAGCCGAGGTCGCATCACTGCCCTCCAGCCTGGTGCCTGGTGACAGAGCAAGACTCTGTCTCAAAAAAAAAAAAAAAGAAGTAAACAGAACTCAGAAAATTTTCCTTTTTCTTTTTAAAATTTAAGCTGAACTCTACTCTCACAAACCAAGAGCCAAGTAGAACCTACCCACCACTAATATCCTTCCGAGATATTACAGCCAGTAAGGCAAATACACAGCCAAATTCCTATGACAATAGCAAGTGGAGTGGCCTGTGATTTTACTCACATCCTCCAACAGACCAAGTCAATACTTCCAAACTGCTTTTACTCACTAGTCATTCATTTTGCACGTTCCAGACTTTAACAAAACAAAACCATCTGACTAGCAATGAAACGTTCCTTATCCCCTTTGGCTTAGTGAGGCAATCTGTGGACTAGCAAACTGGAACCTTTTGAGTCCACAAGGCAAAACTCACCGAAGTGAAATTTAGCTCTAACTCATTCCACTAGTCTCCTACTCATTTAGAAATCAGAAAATAGGTCACAATACTGGCTTTTAATAACTACGGTAAACTACAACATGAACAGATAATTTCCTGATTAGTCAATACATAAGTCTGATGTGACCAAACACTCCAAACTTAGGTATTGGTGAATAAACAAGCTATCAGACATTGTTCTATGTATTTCTATAAATATGAACTACTGATTCAGTAGAGTGGCTATCATGTTTGTTAAAATTATTTTCATAGTCATGGCTAGTCTTTTACATCTGTGCTTACAAAGAAGCTCCAATCTACTACCTTCTGGTTTTTCCTTGGAGTCATAAAAGCAAATATGAGCTACCCGATTTGTTCTCAAGGTTTTTCATCTATGGTAACAAAATGCATAAGTATGACTTTGCAAACCATGGTACAAGAGGAAAAACTCTTTCCCATGTGCAGAAGAGAAAACCAGAATAAGCAGTTCATCTTCATTATTTTTAGTTGTATGCTGTTGGTCTAAAAGATTCACTATTTTACCATGTTTATATCTTTCTATCTCTGCAACAATATTGAATAGACTAAAGGCAACACACAGATCACACTTTAGGAACAATTACATTTATTTCTTCCATCTCAGATTCACTGGGGAAAAGGTATTACCTGACGCTGGAAATTGAGTAACCGAAGTGCTTTCAGTTCCACGGTTGCTTTGGTTCGTAAATCTGGTGGCAAGGAGCCAGGCAGATTTTCCAGTTCTTGTATTCTATGAGCTATTCGAGCCTGAAGTCTAAAGGAAATAATAAAATGGAGAAAGGGGAGCAGTGGAAATACACATTACAATTTAATCTTAAATAATAAACAATGACATTAGGTTTAACTTCAGGGCAAAACATATTCCAGATACTGACAGCGGATTTCTGACACCCAACTAGCATCTCTGATGTTAAGCAGAAGAAAACTACCTTTGCATTAATGCAGACAGGTATATGTTACTTAACAATCTGGCTTCTTGGGCTGGGCCTGGTTGCTCACACCTGAAATCCCAGCACTCTGGGAGGCCGAGAGGGGCAGATCACGAGGTCAGGAGATTGAGACCATTCTGGCTAACATGGCGAAACCCCATTTCTACTAAAAATACCAAAAATTAGCTGGTGTGGTGGCATGCATCTGTAGTCCCAGCTACTCGGGAGTCTGAGGCAGGAGAATCACTTGAACCAGGAAGGCAGAGGTTGCCGTAAGCTGAGATCGCGCCACAGCACTCCAGCCTGGGCAACAGAGCAAGACTTTGTCTCAAAAAAAAAATCTGGCTTCCTCCATAACATCTATCTAACACCTGGGAAACAAGGTTCACCCTACATGTAGTGGGGATGTCAAATGTTCTTGCTCACTCTTAGCAAAGAGAGAAAGTATGAGACAGGAACAATTGACCTGCTTCCTAACTTGCAGCCAGCCAGAGTGCAGAGCTAAGAGGACAGACCTTTTTCTAAGTTCTAGTTCAGTCCTAAAGCAACCAGGCCATTTGTCTCCCTTGCCAAGATGCTGATGACGACGGCCATTAAAGCAGAGCGAGCAAGAACAGTTTTAGGTGCTGATGCCACAGAAATCAGCCAACCCCAAACATTCAGACAGAGCTCTGCCAACCACAACCACTTCCTCTGTAAGCAGAGCTTGCTGGAGAAAAAAAACACAAATTAGGCTGTTTTTAAAAATCAGGGGCAGCAGTAAATAGTACTCAAAAACCAAGGGTTTCTAGAAAAGGATGTTGGGGATTCTTGCTTACACACCACCAAAAATGTAACTGCAGGTATTTCCACGTAATAAAGGCAGAGTAGAAAATAAAAGACCTCTCACTTTAGCTATTCACTTGAGATACTATTACTTTTAGATATATAAACTGCTGGTTTTAGAGTTCACCTGAATACTATTCTGACAAATAATTACATGCCATTTAAGCCTATTTTTAGAGCTACATCCCCCTAAATTTGGGGCAAACTGTCTTGAAATAGATTTCAACAAAGGGAGAATAGTAATAAAATAAGTAATACATTAAACTAGGCTAATATTACAGCACTAAGTGCCTTAAATGCACAATTTTGTTTAACCGTCTCTCTCTCTCTCTTGCACACACAGACATGCCTCCTTTAAGGTAAATGTTATGAACATGGTCCCATTTTACTGATGTGGAAAACTGAAGATACCTGGAGATACCACAGAGCTAGTAAAGAAGGGGACCAAGCCTGGAACCTCCATTTGCCTGATACCAAAACCACCACAAGGAAACAGTAGATAATTAAAATATACTTTCTGAGAACTTTCCTGGACCTCAACTATAAAAGTCGAAAATTAAGAATTCTGTTAAAAATTATGCACAGCCATAAAAAAAGAACCAAATCATGTCCTTTGCAGCAACATGGATGCAGCTGGAGGCCATTATCCTAAGCAAATTAATGCAGGAACAGAAAACCAAATACCGCATGTTCTCACTTTTAAGTGGCAGCTAAACATTGGGTATTCATGGACATAAAGATGGCAACAATAGACAGTGGGGACTACTAAGCAGGGGAGAGGGGGGAAGGGCAGCCGGGGTAAAAAACTCTTAGGTACTATGCTCATTAGCTGAGTGATGGGATCAGTTGCACCCCAAACCTCAGCATCACACAATATACCCTTGTTAAGAAACCTGTTCATGCATCCCCTGAATCTAAAATAAAAGTTGAAATTATCTTTGAAAATGAATATTACAGTTTTTTTCCAACCATTACGTTGTTGCCAGAGCACAGAGCTGAGAGGATAGACTTTTTTCTTTCTAACTCCTAGTTCTGTCCTAAGGCAACCAGGCCATTTGTCTTGCTTGCCAATTTGCTGATGACGACAGCCATCATTTTCATTAACGTGGAAAAGTAAACCCTTCTGGACCTAAATGCTGCAGAATATCTTAATACTTCATATAGCCCAAATATCAAAATAAGTGATTTTTTTTTTAAACCTACAGTTGCTTAGTTTGGAAGGGAAATAAAATGTCATCATTTTAAAAAATTTTTAAATGGTAGTAAGGAAAATTATTTTTCAGACACTTCACTAAAAATAATATCTATGACTGTTTCTTGTTTTATTTGCTATGTACATATTATTGATTCAATTTATTAAATAATTTGTCATAATGTGTTAGTATTATCATTGCTACCATGCTGTTGTTGTTTTTCGTTCTTTTTTTTTTTTTTCATTTTATTTATTTATTTTTTATTTTTGTTTTTATTTTTATTGAGACGGTACCTCGCTCTGTTGCCCAGGCTGGAGTGTGGTGGCGTGATCTTGGCTCACTGCAACCTCCGCCTCCTGGGTTCAAGCAATTCTTCTGCCTCAGCCTCCCATGTAGCTGGGACTATAGGCATGTGCCACCACGTCTGGCTAATTTTTGTATTTTTAGTAGAGACAGGATTTTGCCATGTTGGCCAGGCTGGTCTCAAACTCCTGACCTCAGGTGATCCAAGGGCATAGGCCTCCCAAAGCACTGGAATTATAGGTGTGAGCCACTGCACCCGGCCCGTGCTATTGTTTTAACGACTCATACAAACACAAACAATAGCATTCTTCAATGGTTTAATCATTTAATGAAAGTTTTTTATTTCATACAACAATAATAAACTCATCATTTTACTCTTTTGGCAAAATTGTTCAAATTCTCCCAACTTTCTTTCACATTCCTTTTACTAGTGATACTCATGAGATTATTACTGTGGTTTTTAGTTTTCATTATATGAAACAGGTATGTACTTCATTTACTCATTTTCTAAAATAATCCATGTAGCCCCAAATCTCTGGATACAGCAACAGATGATGCAGCTTAATAATCAGGATATAAAGAAAAAAAATCCACTATTGATTTTTTTTTTGAAATAAATAATTTAAAGGGAAAAAAAAACTGAGACAACTTTACTTTTCCAGGTTAAGGCCATTCCAAAGGAAAATCAAATATTATAGAGGCATGAGATAATGGCCAATGATTTGGTTATTCTACTTCCTTGGTTCTAGATTCCTTGCAGATCTTTCTTACTTGAATATCCTAGAACTCAAACTATCCCTTGGTATTCTGATTGACTCCCTTTGACAAAGTGGGTCAGATGCTAAATTAGAGGAATACCTGCTTATTCTTCCAAACAACCATGGAATTAGGACTCAATAAATAATCATAGGATAACAGGGTTGACAGGGTAGAGACTGCATCACACTGAACTGGGAGGTGGGAAGTAGGGAAGTGGAGGGGAAATGAGGAGGTGGGGAGTGGGAACCCGGGGTAGATGGGGTACTGTTGACTAAGGCACTGGAGAGGGTGGGAGCAAGGGGGGTACACTTCTCCCTGAAATGACTACTTCTTCAAGGAGCCTTGTTATTTGTCAGTGAATCTGATTTCCCCCACACAAAAGAATTCATCTTTTATGGAAAGGAGGTAAGAAGTACAAAGCGCAAACTCTAGGAGAAGAGGAAATGTAGACTCCAGAGCAAAATTATATGCATTTGATTCAGCCATGGGGGGTGAGTAGCCAAGGTATATAAAGGGCTTCTTTAACACAGAAAATTATATCTTTGTTGTTGTTAATAGAAATCTTCATTTTAAATAATGCTCCTCTCCAGACAATTTCATCTCCCCATCAATGAGATTCAGCAGGTAGTCCGATAAAGAGACTCAGGATTCTAAACTTTCCGAAACAACAACAAGGTATAATACTGCATAACTGCAGGAGACTCATTTAGTGTCCTCACGAGTACAGAAAATTGATGCAGAATTAGGTCACTCAGGTTTTTCATACAGATTGAACAGTAAATCGAGAGGGGTTACTGTTCTGGCAAGAAAAAGAGTTCCATTAAAGGCATCAGATATTTGTTCAGGTCCAGAGGATAAGTTTATGATTCCTGTAGGAGAGTTATTTGAACAGAAAATGACACTGGTACATTCTGTTCCTTCAAGGAGCTGAGTGACACTTTAAAAAGAGAGTGTGTGTGACTTTTTGTAAATCTGCTGGTAAAGCAGCTATTCGCAATTTTTGAGAAGAAATTTTCAGGATTGCAGTGGCGACAAGAGCAGGACCCCCACCCCCACCCCCAAAAAAAAGAAAAAGAAAATGACAGGTAAGCAGCCTCTGCCTGCTCCCTGACACAAGGAGGATATACTGCTCTTTGCATCCTAAATTCTGACTTGATTCCAAAGAGGGCTGATATAATTCAGAGACGTTCTTCCCAAATAAACCCCTTCAAGTGTGAAATACATCTTCCATGCAAACATTTGTGGAATTAGTTTACATGCCAATGTGACAATTCCTGACGTACTTTTTTGATCAGGCATGTAACTTGATAGAAGAAAGCAAAGTTAGGTACATTGAGAAGGCAACAGAAGTGTGCAAAAAAGAAAAACAAGAAAAGTAATACATGGAGATATCTGACACTTACTATGGAAGTAGGGAAGTTCCATTACAAGAGAAAGATAGCCAAAAAGAAAGGATCCAATTTAAGTGGGAAAATTGTTCTAGAGAGCTTGTACAGAGCTGCCCCAAAGTGCTCACAGGCAGACATTTATTTATGCTATGAATGAAAAGGAAGGTCAATTTGTCAAAGTTTTGATTTTATGATGAACAAGGAAAAGCAGCCAACTAACTTAAATGTTAAAAAAACTTAAGATTCGGAAAATTTCCTGTCAAATTTTATAGACAAGGTAAATGATATTACAAGGCCCAAAGAAACTAACATCTGTTGAAGAATTTTTTCTGACAGATGATTTTTGCTCAAACTAAGTTTATCAAATTGTCAAAGAGGTTTTTTAGACCTTTCTGTAATCTTTGATGAGATGATGAAGATGCACTGGACCCTAACAGTTATCAGTGCTACAGGCTGATAGCCATTCTATTACAAAGAGTCAAAAGAAGAAGAAAAAAATAGTTTCTTTGTTCTCTTTTGCAAATGCCTAAGAGACTTAATTTAACCCTTTTAAGGGATAAATTTAATCTCTGCAGTTGAACGTATCTTCATATAGGCAGAAGCCAGCTATCGCTCTGTAACCAAAGAATACAAACATGCCCCATAATGCTTTCACTACAAAACTATGCTTCTTCTCTAGGTGGCCACGAGAAAATTCAGGCCAAAGGACCCACGACCTTTCTGGATTCAGGATTATCCAGATCAGTCATTTCAAAAGCCACATGGCCTTACAAAGTAGTAGGCATTTATCAAGCAATAATAATACTATGAAAAATAGCCATTCTCGACATTCTGTAATGCATATAATTTCAAAGATACTGACAGCATTTTTTATTGATATTGGAGTTCAGAACAAAAGCTTTTTACACATTGGAATAGGCTAAATAGTACTATTTAGTACTGTGTACTTTGGAAGACCATCCATTATGATCATCTCCCAAGAATTTCGTAAAATAAACTTATTACAAGAAAGTCCTGCAATGAAAATTCCTAAAAAAGTAATCAGGAACATTTAGGAGTTAGCAAAACAAAAAGTTAAAACACACTTGTGCACAAACACAAATCAGGCTGAAAAAATTTCTAGCTATAGAAAGCATCTCTCTTCTAAGGGTAGGTCACACAGTTTAACTAAGGTACTGGTAATTTAAATGGAAAAACGTGTTTTAACTAGGGAGCTTGTAGAGAGCTTTTTCCTTTCCTAGGGTAGGAAAAAAATATTAGCTCTTAGGAAGGCAGAATTTTAAAGTATCCACTGATACGTCTTCATTCTATTACTGACTTTTCCCAATACTTTTAGCTTTTTTAAAATTCAACAGTAACAGAAGAGGGAGTGGAGAAAAAAATTCAATAGTAGCATACAGAATGCACTGCACATTAGTATACTGTATATGAATAGAGGAATATGCTAGTATTTTACTTTATAACACATAGCAATTATTCACCCAGCAGAATCTGCCTATCAGCACTGAAATATCAATTGATGATGAGTATCTAGCTTTCTGAGACTACATGAAATGGTGGAAACAGCAATATAAAATCTCTTAACAGGTGATTATTAATAGTAATGAGAGTCAAGTTATACTCTTCATCCAAAAAAAATAAACACATCTAATGGCAAGTTATTCTAATTTCTTTCCAAGTATCTTTCAAAGCTGGTAACTTAGTATTTTAGTCTAATAACAAATGAGTTATGTGTAATAACAAATGAGTGATGTGCTTTTCAACAAAGATTAAGGTAATGTTTTAAAAGGGAGCCCAGCCATTGTTTACCAGCATTCTCTTTAATTTTTAAAGTCTAATTTTCCTTAAATTAAGAAGTCTTTGGGAAATAATAATAGCTATTATTTACTGAATGTTTCAGTATCGTTTTATCTTCCCAATACTATGACAGGCACCTTCTTTTAACCTAGGAGGAAACTGAGTCAGAGAAAAGAGACATAACTTGACCATGGTAAGAAGTTAATAATGACACAGTATGCTCTCTGGCAGACTCCAGAATCCACAATCTTAGCTTTATTTTATCTTGACTTAATACTTACGGGACTCCTTTTTGGGTCGAGATTAACCATTTATTTACAGGAGTCTTCGAACTACAGCCTGCAGGCCAAATCCTGCCTCCAGCCTGTTTTTGTAAAGTTTACTGAGAGGCAGCCAGCCCATTATTGTCTACAGCTGTTTTCGCACTACAAGGGTAGAGGTGAGTTGTGACAGAGACGATATGGCCCCACAACACATAAAATATTGATTATCTGTCCCTTTACAGAAAGGGTCTGCCAACCCCTGATTCTGTTAACTGGGCTGAGTCAGGTAAAAATTAAGTTTCTAGACCAATAATTAAAATGAAGACCTTGTATAAAGACACTTGCACGGGGTATACCCATAAAGCTGGATACACCACAGACACACATGAATTAAAACAAAGATTATACCAAGTTACCAAAGTATGCTTTAGTAGAAATGCACCGTTAACATGAAAATCAGGCCAGCACAACACACTCAACATCCCACCACCTCAGCCATTATTCCAGGACACAAGCACAAACAACGACAATGTATTCCATAATCGAAATGCGAGACCATCACTTGGGTCCACAGGAAGTTCCCGCCGACTTTTGATCTTAAAAAACCCAAGTGCCTACCTCTGCACCTGGCAGGCCACAGGAGTGGATAAAAGTTTTCTAACTGAATCGGTGAAAATCAGAGTTTGGCCAACCAAGGGGGAAGCTCACCATCCTAGGCTTGGTGGCACTTGCTAGAACACAGCAGGTGAGTCCCTTTCTGGTAGGGTGCATTACCTGTATTCCCGCTCCTGCAGAATCTCCACCGGGTCCAGGCCTTGCGGTTTCTGGATGGGGCTGATGCGGCTCTGCTTCTGCTGCAGCTGAAGGATGGGCGAGGGCTGCCCCGGGGCCGGCTGCGGCACCGAGGGCCCGGGCACAGCGGCCGCGGGCGGCTGCGCGGCTGCGGGGGGCGCGGGCGAGGGCCGGCCGCTGGGCGCGGGCACCGGCAGCTTCTGCGGGGTGCTCGGGCCGCTCAGCTCCGGCCCCGGGCCTGCGGGACAAGAGCGACATGGGCAGCTCGGGCGGGACGGCGCCCCGCGGGCCACACCCGGTCTGCCCGCCGCCCCCCGGGGCCCAGTGCTGGGGACCATTAAGTGTCTTAAACACCTAAGGGGAGAGAAGGAAAAAAAGGAGGGCAAGAAGGAAGAGGAGGAGGGAGGAAGAAGAGGAGGGAGGGAGAGGAGGGGAGGACTGAGAACAGGGTAAAAGGAAAAAGAAAACGGAGAGGGAAAAAGACACAGAAAGAAAAAAGGATCTGGCATCTATCCCCATAGGGAAACGGCATTCACTAACGAACATGGGTGCAAATGATCCCAAAATGACTGTGATTCAATAAAACTAATTAGGAAACTACTGCCAGCTTTTAATGTGGCTCTGCAGTGGGTGGATAGGTTTCTCTTTCTTTTTCTTTTCTTTTCTTTATTACTGGTGCATTCAGAGTTCAAAAAAATATAGGGTGTCATGCGGCAGTCAGATGCAATTGGATATGGTCCTAAAATGAAATCTTGCAAATTGCACCTCAAGCCCTTTTAGGATAGACCTCTATCCCAATCTGGACTAGCCCTGCTGTTAGAACCCAAGCTTTACAAACAGAGCAAGGAGTTTATCAGTCTTCTGATGTGAACTACACGAGCACACATTCTTTCTTTTAAGGCCTATATAGTGTATATCAGGTTTAATCAGTGAATCTTGGGAACTTAAATTTTTTCTTACTACATATTAGAAAGTATTTCTAAAAACATTCCTTGTTAGCCAAAAAAAACTGTTCATTCCACCTAATAAAAATTTGCAAATATTAGGATTCAAGAGAGCATTATTCCATGTTATCAGAATAAAACAACATGTAATCTTCAAGCTTATCAAAATGCATTGAATAAATTAATTTAAAATAATTTTCCACATTGAACTTCAGGAGTTTAAGTTAATTACTAGATACAGACTTAAATTTTTTAAGTGTTCCATTTCTCCTCCTAGATAAATTTTAAGTTGCCTTAAAATTATAATTTTAATGATGCTGCCAGATGAGTTAGTAAATTTTTTTAAAAGGAATCTCAGTAAACAGATGTTAAAGCCCAAAGCATTCTTCCAAGTTTTTTCTATAATCTAAGAAAAAAATTGCTATTAAATGGTAAAAATAGTATATATACTTAAGAGCGATTTAATAATTAACCATACAACGACATACATTATGAAAAATTCAACACATTTATTCAATTTCCAACAATCACCAATTAGAAATGGGCTTAAATGACAATACAAAGAAAGCTAAAAGCAAACATTTTGAGAGGGGGAATGTGAAGAATTAGAACAAACTGCTTAGGAAACTACAGTATGTGTGTCTGTGTTCATGTCGTGTGTGTGTGTGTGTGTGTGTGTGTGTGTGTGTGGTGTTACTGTTCTTCTCCCCTCCTTCTAAAATTAGGTAAAACATTTCTAAAAGATACAGAGATAGGTAAGATTTCTTCTTGAGGTAATTTGCAGCACTGGTTCTACAGGTTGATGAAAAAAATCTTAGGAGGAAAATGCACTTCGTTTTATTTTTAATTTTAGGTATTGTAGATGTACCTCCATAATTAAGAAGCTTTTTCAACTAAGTACCTTTTTTTCTTATATAAAAGGTCTTTTATGTAATGCATACTTTTTATAATATTATACATTTAGAGTTCCTTTCATCCATATATAAGAAACCAATTTCTAAATATTAAATCTCAGGGTTACTATGCATTGGAATAAGTTACGGGGGAAAGTTTCAGAATATTTTTCCCCGGAGATCTTTAAAACAGGGTACATTTTTCATTCGGGTTGCTGTAGGTGTGATCCAGTCAAATCAGAGGAGATACAGATTTCTAACGTTTATTTAAATTCCCTATCATTCTATGACTCGCCTTAAGAACCTCAAGAAGCTGGTAGAATTAAACATATTTGAAGACTTAATATAAGCATAAGCAAACTAAATCAGGACTTTAATACATTTAGGTCTTACTGATAATATCAGAAGAATTACTTTAAACTTAGCTCTCAAAGTGTTTTTCCTCAAAATCCAAAAGTTCATCAACAGAAGCCACTAACACTGCAATCGTCTTATAACTTCACTTGTTCCAGCACTCTCTTCTTTAACATCACTGCCCATAAATAAATACCCATGCAGAAGACTATGAAGACTCCTTGAGGTATAGTCAAGTCACTATTTCTAAAACCACAGTTAATCAAAGAAAAGTACCCAACCATATCTGTCTTCTCTGGTCCAGAATCTAGTCTTTGACTCCAAACTAGACCTGACAGATGCATGAACAACCTTCTTCAGTCACTAAATAGAAAGACATTCTAATTTTGTTGATTCACCCTGAACACTGAGAGACAGAGATTCAAACATCTACTTATATATTCCAGTCTCCAATTTAAAAGTACTCCAACTTGCTGCGCACTAAACAGGTACATTTAAATACCCCGTATCTTTCCAGAAAAAATGCTCTTTCACCTCAGCTCTATCACCTCTACTGGTTGTGTGAGCCTGAGCAAGTTACTCAACCAATCTGTGGCTCCGTGTCCTCACCTATAGAACGGGGACAGTAATAATAGCCACCTCGTAGGGCGATGGTGAAGACTCAATGAGATAACAGTGTCTACATGCTCAACCCTCAGCTTTTGTCGTTTTATTGCTGTCAAAAACAAAAAGGTAAAGAAGCCTAATTGACTCAGCTTTATTTAAAAAAAAAACCACATGGCAAAAGAAGGCCTTTCAGAAAATTTGGTACCCACAGCTGGCAACTTTGGGAGTACTCTTTTTCTATAGCAATTTCAAATGTTTCAACAGCTTAATGCAACTCCTCAGCACAGATCCTCAGAGGAGTCCGCCTGCCATGTGCTCCCTGGAGTCTGTTACCAGAGCCACTTAGCAAACTCCACTCCTAACTCAACACCACAAGTTCATTTACTGTGTGAGTCTATTTTCTCCTCCCTCTGACAGATTGTATAAAAATGACTACTTACATAGGCTAGGGAACTGAACACAGCTTGCTGTAATTAGCCATGCCCAGAATCTAACTACCTACTCATTAGGTTTTATGCCTGTCTGTCCCTCAGGTGGCTTACGGATTTGTTTGCCTGGCTGGCTTTGCTCTCCATGGACAGAAATCATCTTCTCTGCATCAGACATTGGTGGTCTGCTACTTGACATGACTTTTCCCTGGTATCTTTAAATGGAAGACAAATCACATTCTTTAGCGTATCTCCTCCTCGTTCCCCAACGTAAACAATTTAGGCTTCTTGTCAGAGGCACAAAATGCCATCTGCTTTCCCTTCAGTCCTCACCTTAGGAGTCAAAGTAGAAACACACTCTGGCCCTCCAGAAGGGAGTCCCAGCGCAGCTAAGGGAGGAGGGGACAGTCTTTATTGAATGCGTCCTTATGCCTGATTTGAAGCAATAGGGCAACAAATGTATTAAAACACGCAAATCTCACATGAACAGAACTTCGAAGCATTCAGAGCTCCCACTCAGTCTTCTGGGATACATGGCATTTATGCAAATAAAAGTTCTGTGCATTCAACAGGAATTTAAGCTGTTTCCACAGGTTGCAAAAAAGCAAATGCAATAAAATATATTTAAATTGAGCATACAAAATTTCAGATACAAAAAAAAAAAAAAAAAAACACTTTTTTTCCTACGGTAAGGTCTCTCCCTCACCCCTCAAAAACCCCAAATTTTTTCAGTTCCCATTTTTCTTTTTGCTTGAAACTCTGAAAGGAAAAGTGAATCAAAACAAAAAGAAAAATGATGGGTTAGATTTGAGTGGTGCCCACAGCAGGCAAGGGCACATTCTATCATAAGAGGCTGACATTTTGTAGGGAAACCACTGCAGAGTTATGTGTTCCATGTGCAATGCCTCGACTTCAACCATAATTCTTTGGTGGTGGCTAGAGGATGATGTCACTTTTGGTGAATTATAACTTTGGAGTCAATTTGAGGCAGACCACCCCAGCCAAAAAGATTCTCTTCACACATGAGTAACACTAGGAAATGGAACAGAAGAAAAATGGGAACACAACTACCTCTACGTAAGTGAGTAATGTCCTGAATTATTAGCAGGGGTGTTTATAAGCAATTATATTTTATTTTATAAAAAGGAGATAAATAAGAAATAAAGACTAATATTAACTTTAAAAAGAAAATCATGCCTTGTTTGGCCTTTTCTAAATGCCAATCTAAAAACAATTGTCTGGCAAGTAAGGTTATCTGTTTCCCTAATGAAACCTGAGATGTGGGGACAAGTTCAGCAACGCTGTCAAATGGAAGCACCCTCTCAGTGACAGAAACGGGCTCATTCTATTTGAAGGAGATATGTTCTTTCCTTCTTCATTCATGTCTCCTTTGCACTCTTCCATAAAACCCTACCTGCCCAAATATTGTCATTTCTAATGAAGCCCCGACTGTTGAAAATTTAAAAGACATGAGAGGTGAGTAATAAAGTGAATTCCCTTTTATGACAGGCACCTGATGAGGGAAGATGTAGGTACTGGAGCCAGGTTAAAAAAAAAAAAATTTGAGCCCTCTCTTCTGAAAATGCACTCAAGATTAGGTTTATTAGGACATGAGGCATTTATTATGTACAAGTGTCCAGATAAATGGAACGTCATCCTTTAAATTTTACTACTTTGTTCAGTCACATTATTTTAACCTTAGATTAAAAAGACTCTCAAACAAATCGTTGCACTTCCTACATTCTTAAATGATATCTTGAAATCTTTTATTACTGAGTCTAGATCATTTTTAAAAATACCAACTCTTGGTGAGCTCTACAATAAGGTGATATCCCAGGACCCACTGTGATGCATAACAGAGCATGCCCAGAGGGCAAGATCCCAGACCACTACCTTCTGGGAGTTCAAGTTCTACTCCCTCCTCTCCATCAGCCTTCCATGTAGAAGACAGTGACCAGCTGGCCTCTACTTGAAACTCTGCTAGTTAATACTCCTCACATACTGAGACATGAGATATAAAGAGTACCAATTTTGTTGACATCATGTCCCAGAGTAAGAGGGAAAAGGCTCTAAGTAAGGTATGCAGACACTGTCTCTTTACACACAGAAGTAAAAGGCTTGCACTTTGGTACACAGACTTTGTGATGGGTTTTTTTCCCTTGTAATGAGACTTTTTCCCATGAAGGAGCCAGTAAGGAAAAGTGGTTAATAACATGAGTTCTCAAGTCAAATTGCTGGGGTCAGAATCCGACTCTCCATCATTAGTTGTGTGACACCTGCAAAGGACTCATCACTGAGAATGGCACATGAGTAGGCTGGAGGCGCCCCGTGAGGATAAGACACACACACATACACACGTACTTTTTATCTTCTATCTGCCCACATTCTCAAGAGCTGGAGCTTTGCTGTTTTAAAACCTCTGAATTCTTTTAGGGTTCTGCATTTTCTGCATAGTTTTTTGTATTACCTTTCCAGTTCCCAAAGCTTAGTCCTCTATGATCCTCCACCTACCAAATGCCTCCATGGTAGCCACACAGAAATCTGGAGACAAAATGATACTTTCTTGCCCTTTTAAAACCCATTGCCATGTTCTGAAAATTTATGGTCCCCTCAAAATTCAAATGTTAAAATCCTAATTCCCAAGGAGATGGTATTAGAAGGTGAGGCATTTGGGAGATGACTACTTCATGAGGGCAGAGTCCTCATAATTAGGATTCGTGCCCTTATAAAAGAGCTCCAGAGAGCTGACTTGTCTCTTCTGCCATGTGAGGACACAGTGAGAAGGAAGCCATCTATGAGCCAGGAAGCAGGCCCTCACCAGACACTGAATCTGCTGGTGTTTTGAAGTTGGAATTCCCAGCATTCAGAACTGTAAGAAATAAATTCACTGTTTATAAGCCACCCAGTCGATGACCTTTTGTTACAGCAGCTCAGACTTACTAAGACATGCATTCTTAAGGTTATGACAATTAACAAGATGATATATCTCTTAGGTAGGCCTACTCTTGGAGCTGCTTTTACGAGAAAATAAACATACGCAAACTCAATAGGCAGAGTATCAATAAAATAAATAGTAATCTGAACTCTCTCCCATTGTACAAGTCCCAAAGCCCAGGAAGACTACCAACATCCCAAACTCATTGTTTGCAACAACCAGCATGTCAGAACTTCCCTAAATGAGTGGAAACCACTCAAAGGAAATGGTATCAATGTCAAGGAAATACCTCATTCCCTGGAATCCAAAGCTTTCATTACAGCAGACCCATAAACTCTCTGCTTTTCTAGTTCTTTAACAAAACCCTTCCTAGAGAAAACAACCTTCATGGAAGATCACTCCACAGTCCCTGGCACCTCTAAAGTCTGTCAATAAAATCAAAACAGAAGACCAGGAGGCCATGCAAAGGATTATATCATTTCTATCCATTGTATAATGTCATAGCTTCAGATTTCATTCCCAGATATATAAGAAATAGACCATGTAGAATCTGTTAGTCTATTAGGAACAAATGCTATTGATGTTTCTATCATGCAGTGCCTCTTACAATAATGATGATGAAAATAATAATTTAAAGAATAATCCCACCTGGGAAATCAACTCTATACTCTCATGCTAGAAATGGCTTTTTCTGAGAAATTGGTAAGGAACATTCTTCCAAAGACTGAGACTTAAGATACACGACTTTGTCTTCTTTTGGCTCTGATTATCAAGGAACTCAAGTCATCTTTGAAGCAAATACAGCAACTATGAGAGCTTTTGCAGCTCTACTTGCTTACCTCAATTTCTTATGTTTTTTTTTTCTATTTTCCCTTGTTTCTGATTTTCTACTCAGAATTATTTTGCAACCGGCATGCTTCTTGTAAGCCTCTCCAGATGTTCTTCATAACAAAAAGGGGTAGAAATAAACAAACCAACAAATATAAAATGGCTCTAGTGGGGCTGATTTGAGAAGTGAGTTTTGGGGATGAAATGCACTAAGTCCAGAGGTTCTTAGCCTTGGGTGTGTGGATGGGCTTGCAATAAACCGTGAACCTCTTAAAGAAGAATGTAAAATCACGGGTGCTTTTTCCCTGGGTCTGCAGCTTGCACAAGCATCTCTTAAGGTTAAGAAACACTACCCTAGGTCTCAACAGCAGGGGGAGACCAAGAATCTTGGCCATCTCAGTGGAGCAAGAATAGAGAGCCAGTGAGGTATGACAAAAGGCTACGTCAGCCCTGGGCTTGTACCAACCCAGTGTTTTGGTGTATGAGCAGTCTTTCTTATCCGAGTTGGACCATGGCATTATTCATTCGGTTGCGTATTAACCTACCAGATGGCCTGTTGTAGTTAACAAGGGCCGGCTGCTGTTGCTGCGTCTGTGGTTGTGGTGGCTGCTGCTGCTGCTGCTGCTGCGGCTGCTGCTGCTGTTGCTGTTGCTGTTGCTGCTGCTGCTGCTGCTGTTGTTGCTGCATGCCAGGCAACGTCCTTTTCCCCTGGACTGCAAGCTGCAGCGTTTCAGGGAGGGGCTGGCCTCGGGCCAGCATTTTGTAAGCTAAAATCTGAGCTCGAAGCTGATGCAGCTGGACGGGACTGAAAGGTGAGGGACCTCTGTTGGGTTGGCTCATGGCCTGTGAATCACCCGGGATGAGGGGCCCTGGCTGGCTTGGTGGCATCTGAGGTGGAGTTGGGCCACCTCCAGACATCGGGCTGGAGACGTGCTCTGGGGCTCCCAGCGGAGATGGGTGCGGCGACAGATAACCTAAAGTAAAAAAACACAAAAGGAAATCACAGGCTGCCCTGACAACCCCGAAAGAGAGATATCCCAGAGTACTCTAATAATTGTCTACAACACTGTCTGATAGAAATTAAAATAACATATAATTAATTATATCTATAATTTATTAAGTATATGTAGTTTAAAATTTTAGTATATTAATGTGCTTTATATATATGTAAAATTTAAAATTTTCTAGTAGCTACTTTAAAAGGTTAAAAAAACAGGTGAAGTTAATTTAAATAATATATTTTATTTAAACCAACATATCTAAAACATCATTTTAAAATGTAAAAATTGTTGGTAAGATAATCTACATTTTTTTATACTAAGTCTTTGAAATCCACGAAATATTTTGCACTTAAAGCACAATTCAAACTAATCACACTTCAAGTGATCAATAGCCACACGTGTCTTAGAAGGGAAACTATTAGTGGCTGTTGTTCACCTAAAAGAAAGGCACCAGGGGACAGCACTGTATGGTAAAAGTAGCTCCAACTGGGAGAACAAAACCTGATGGCGCCTGATATCTCTCAATGCGGAATAAAGAATGTCTTATGTGGAGAGCGAACACTTGGTTTATTATTATACATGTTACGAATAACTTGCAATTACTGAATGCCTACATGTTGTAGGCACTATGCAAGGAGTTGACTGCACTCAACTCTCACCGTTGGGTTCTTCCTAGAGGCAGAGCCTCATTTAAGGATTGATTACAGGTAATTACTGGGAAGATGCAGGGACACCAACAGGCATACAAAAAGGTAATATGAGGAAGGGAAAGCAGGCAATAAGGGGGATATCATCAAGCCAGCTGCTGTAGTAGGTGCCTCAAGATTAATTCAGTGCAGAAACTCTGGAATATATGGTAAATAACTTGCCTCCAAATTATTCCAGGAAAGGGGTAAAGAAGTTGGGGTATTTATCCTCCCACAATCAGCAGTCACTTGTTAAGTCACTAGTTATGACTAATGCTCTAGAGGTTATTATCATCCAGGGACTTTGCCATATGTGGGAAAGGTAGGTTTCAGTAGATGGAAGTAACCAAGATGGTGGTTTTGGGCACAGGAAATCAGGCTGGTGGGGTTATAGAAATCATGAGGAATCAAGAAGATATGGGTAGAACATACATTATTTCTTTAATCCTTAAAACAACCGTAAAAGATATATACTGTTACCACATTTTTTCAAATGAGAAAAATGAGGCTCAGAGAGTAAACCAGTTACCCAAAGTCACACAATTAACTTATGGCAGCTCCAAGATTTAAACCAAGGTCCAATTTCAATGCATGTGCCCTTTCCATGATCTAATATAAATTTGGTTATATGAAAATAAGTTAGGAACTTGAAAGTTTCAAAAAACCTTCTAGAGGCACTTATTACATAAAAGTGAGAGTAAACTGTTTGGTTTATAAGAGATCTAAATGGGAAATTTAAGAAATTTATTTTGGGGAAGAAAAGAATCAAAATGCACAAAAAACTTCAAGGGACTTATTTCAGGAGATGACCTGCCTAACTTGGCCATAGAATTCCTAGAAAAACATACAGCTGAGCATTGTTGGAGGGAGATCCAAGATGAAGGAGAGAACAAACTGGCCTACAGCAATCCAAAGGTGGCCTAGAGTTGAAACAAAGTGCCAATCAAGTCAAAGGTATCCCAGGACACAGCATTACATACATAGATGAAAAGTCTCTGCCCTTTTATAAATGTAATCATGTCACAGTTCTCACAAAGGTCATCGCGTGTTTACTAAATTCCTGCCACGTGCTTGAACCTATGACAAGTTGAACTGAAAGAGCTCTGTGCATCTGCAGAAATCACAGAGGTCTGAGAATATATAACCACCACCAACTGGGGATTCAGCATCATAATTCACGAGACCAAAGAAAATAAAAGATTCCATTACTTTTATCTCCAATTGTCATTTGAAGAGGGAGACAAATTTGGTGTGATCCCCTAAACCAAGAACGGGTTTTGCTCCATTAACTGGTGAGAAGTAGAACTCTATTCAGGGAAATCCTGCCCTAAAGGGAAATAGAAGAATTGCTCAATTTCATTCCACAAATCCCTACTCCATGAGGAAGCACCAACACCATGCAGTGATGAGGGTTTGAGTTGGTTATATAAATTAACAAGGAAAATTCCCTTGAAAGCCTGCAAGACTAGCAGAAATTTAAATCCCAACATGTTGTTATCATAATAATGAACACTTAGAGAATTAACAGACACTTAACTTCAGCATTAACATTCTTCTTCTTTAATAAGGCTTACATTAACCCCTTAATTGCAATGCTAATACAAAATGGTAGCCTGTTCATTAGGACTTCTTTCTGGCCCTGAGACTACCACAGGTGGAAAATCTTTCCACCAAAGCTACTAACATTTTCACAGTAGTAGAGATACTACCAGAGGTTAAAATGAGTCATATGATTCCTGATTTTTGGTCTTTCCTATTTCCTAGGGTCATCCATTACAAGCTCACTCATAGCAAATCATAATACACCTAATACAATGAACCGAAATATTAGGCAATCTAGTCTAAATTCAACTGTATAACACTATTTATTAAATCACCCTTTTAAAGTATGAACAAGGCGACATTATGAAGGTGAGACAGATTAAGCATAAGAATTCAAACCCTGAGAAAAAAGAACCTGGTCTGCATGGCTTTAGTGTCCAAAAAACTGGTTAAAAAAAAAAAGAGAGAACCTGGTCACTGGAAAGTCAATACCAAAAAAATTCTTACCTCAAATTTGATCAGAAGAAATTGGAAGTGAGAAGATTATTTCCCCGATTTTGCAGGAGACGTGAACAGAATCATTCTGCCACAGTATGGTATTAAAAATAGAGATTTTTATTTCTGCATGAATAGCATCCCATAAAACTTGAAGAAAAACAGAATCTAAGTGATACAACAAAATCACATATTTTGGTAATTATCTTTAGTTGAAAAAACGAGTGAAGAAATTGCCTGAAAGTGAATATACATTCGTCTGCAGGATGACAGTGTTGATGCAGATTCTGCTCTTGCAGAATCTTGTTTGATTTGCTCATTTGAAAGCAGTCAAAAAGTGGTAGTTTTCTTTCCCTAGTCTTCAAGGACCATTATCTCCCCAGTTTCACCTTGCCTCAGAAAGATGCAATAATTTCTCTCCTATTAGTAATCTTGAATTTCTAAATGCCAATTTAATATGAATTTTCTCTACACACACACACACACACACACACACAATACTTAAATATTATACACCTGCCTTTGAAGGGTTTCTAGCCAATGGACTAAAAATAAACAGTGTTATCATTGGGACCATAAGGTATACAATTCAGTATTTATTGAAGGAAATGGCTTTGCTTCTTGACCAATACCCTAAAATAACCTAAAAGGTTGCTAGGTAGTTAAAGCTCACAGCCTTCCAATCAATACCGCATCTCTCTGTTCCTGTGTGTTTAGATTAATAAATGGCTTTTTACAATGAGTTTTTTAAAGATACGTGCCATTACCAAGTCTAGATTCTTTTTAGATCACTATATAGAACAGGACTGCATTATACTAACACTGCTTTATTCAAAAATATACACTTAAATAATTCATTCCTCAGCCTACAATGCACTTTACTATTTTAGAGAATATTACATGTTAATTCCAATTCCTTTTAATGCAGACCTTCGCACTTAAAGTTATTATACCTCATTGAAATTATATAAAAGTTGAGATCTATTTTAAATTGTTGACTCTTTAACACACAAACTTCCACACCTAATTGAACAAAATTTACTAATATCTATCGAGACATGTGCTAGATATCATGCCAAGTGTTGCAGACTCTGAGATAAATAAGATATCATGCCTAAGTTGAAGAGAGGAGCCAAGCAATCACAGAAATAAAAGTGAAAATGCTCTCAACTATGACTTGTGCATTTAAAGTGTTTTCTGTTTTCAGGTTTTCCTAGGACTCCTCTATTAGAGTTACTGCAATGACAGTAACAGAAAAGGTAAGCTCATGGCTTCAAGAATCACTAAATATTACTCATGTATACTTCCCAGGTATTAAAAATAAAGGTATAAGGCCAAGTACGGTGGCTCACACCTGTAATCCCAGCACTTTGGGAAGCCAAAGCTGGTGGATCACCTGAGGTCAGGAGTTCGAGACCAGCCTGGTAAACATGGTGAAATCCTGCCTCTATCAAAAAGACAAAAATCAGCTGGGTGTGGTGGCACACACCTGTAGTCCCAGCTATTTGGGAGGCTGAGGAAGGAGAATCTCTTGAACCCAGGAGGCAGAGGTTGCAGTGGGCTGAGGTCATGCCACTGTACTCCAGCCTGGGCGCCAGAGGGAGACTCTGCCTCAAAAAAATAAATAAAGGTTTATATTAGCTCTACAAACACATTCTACAATTTGTGGCCCCTTCAAATTTAAATAATAAGCCTGGAAATGTTGTCTTACTTCATTCGTAACAGTGAATGAGTCAAATTTTTTATTCTTGTACTGCAAAAAGCCCCAGTGCTTTAGACTGCTTCTCTGACATGGTCAAAATTCTGTGAGTTATCTGCAGCAATTATGCCTGCCTGCCACCAAAATTCAGATCAGAGTCTGGAATGTTCAAAAGCCTGTTCACATATTAGTGGAGAGGCACTCACTCCTATGCCTCCATAACTTGCCTATTTATATTTCAAAAAGAAAACAACTGAGCATAGATTTCTCTAAATCCTCACAGCCAAAAGTCTTCCCTTGAGTGGATAGATATCTGATCATGGATGGAGGAAACACACACACTAATTACATAGGATTATATATAGCAACACAATAAACCTTGAATGAGAGTATCTACATATTAATGTTAATTAGTGCTAGATTAACTCATGCCCCACACATGTTGAAATGACCACACAATGATTCTGAAATCAGGCTACAGTGTATTAAAAGACTCTGAAGTACCTGAATATGTTTTCAACAGTGAGGAAAAGAAAGAGAACATGTTACATATGAAGAAGAAAATATATATGCCATATACTGATTTATCCATTGTTGTGAATTGAATTGTGTTCCCCTCCTCCAAATATGTGGAAGTCTTAACCCCTAGTACCTGAGAATGTGACCTTACTTTGAAAGAATATTTTTGTAGATGTGATTAAGATCAGGCCATACTGAATTAGGGAAGGCCCTAATCCAATGAATGGTCCTCATAAAAAGAAGAAAATCTGGACACAGACAGACACACAGGAAAAATATCATGTGGACACTAAGGCAGAGATTGCAGCAATGCATTTGCAAGCCCAGGAATGCCAAGGATTGCTGGCAACCACCAGAAACTAGAAGAAGCAAGGAAGAATTCTTCCCTAAAAACCTTCAGAGAGAGCACAGCCCTGCTGATGCTTTGATTTCGGACTTTACCTCCAGAATTATAAGAGAATACATTTCTGTTTGTGGTAATTTGCTATGGCAGGCCTAGCCATCCACCAGAAATAACACATAATTCCAGTGCCAGATAAAGCTGCCTTGTAGACAATGGATAAGCATGCAACTCAAGGGACACAGGTGGTTCACCTTACCTTCACATCTAGGCTGTTGCTGGGAAGCAGGCCTAGATTCTCTTCCTGGCCCTGTCACTGACTGGGCATATAAACTTAGCAAAACAAAGTAAATTCTCCAGCTTTATCTTCTCCATCTACAAAACTGGGATAACATAATTTACCTTAAAAGAGCACGATAAAGTTTCTGGATAAAGTACATAGAATACTTTGCAGAGTGCTTGGACACATGGTGGCTAGTAAAATTACTAGCACTTTGGAAATAAAATTCCCCATATAAATCATCAGGTTGTATTGGTGAGGACAGAGGTAGGTTTCTTTAAGGAAAAGAAACCTGCTGGATTCAATCTTCCTTAGACACATTCTTTGAAAGTCACAATTAAAATATCCAACAGGAAAGACTGAAAGACTATGCTAGGGAACCAGTATCAGGTGTGTAGCTGACACAGACCTTGGCTATGTGGATCCATTGGACTCTGGGGAGGGCCCATGCCCGGGTGAGGTGGTCGCATACCGGTGCCCTTCATGGATCCACAATGGATGTCTTCTACAATCCCCTTGTCATGCATACCATCGATGGGCTGAAACATTTAAAGGACATCAGTTAGACATCTCAGCAAACTATCTGTAAGTCAAACGTTCAGTCTTTAACTGTTGGAGGGTTGGTTTTTTTTTTTGGGTAATATTAAAAGGGGCAATGAAAATAAAATCCTGGACACAAGGTAGACAAATACAGGCTATTTCTCCATACGCTTGTCAGTAATCATGAAACCTGTTATATGTTGAAGTTAGTCTGAAGTCTGAAGGAAGGCTGTATGACACATCTGTGATGATCCAGTTTTTGGTAATTTTTCTTCATTGGAAGGGAAGGAACTATGGGAAGTTGAAAAGTTGAAACCGCAGGGTTCCATGGCAGTTGGGAAGAGAGAAACAGATGGGACAGAGCTGTAAACAGGGGGTGAATACTGAAAGGGAAAGAGTGTGCAATGGATAAAGTTATACTACAGAGGGAGGAGGAATGGAAAAGGTTAAAGGCACAGTTTGGAAATAAATAATACAGGGGCTGGACCCAAAACTTGAGGCCTAATACGTGACAGACATGCAATAAATAGCTATTGAATCGACATTAATCGAATCCAGAATTGGGCAATGGAGTATGTGTTTGAAAAAGAAAAGTCTATTCCTCCCCAAACTGTAATAGCAATTTTCAAAACAGCCTGAAAGAAATAATTTCCAGGAGTTTATAGAAACCAAATGACTTCAAGCAAGAAAGTATGAGTGTTTGCAGTTTTGGAGAAAAGAAAGTTAATTTCTGCAGAGTCAAATGTATGCACTTGAAAAGACGAAAAATGTGTCATAAAGAGGATGTTCGATAGAAAAATGGGAAGAATCTGGTATAAAGAGTGTCACTGAGTCTGTTAAATAGTAATAATAGAGAGGAAATCAAAGCAACGCAGCAGATGTATTTAGGCCACTTGTTTATTTATTTCCAGTAATGTTGAAAAGCAAAAAGCTGAAGCCTCAGAGGGAGAAGGAAAAACAAGACACGAAATAAAGCTGCCTATAAAAAGAGTGGAAAAAAGTGAAGGCATCTGGTCAGCAGGTGTGAGCTCTAAACCCTCACCATGTCCTCACGCAGGAAACTATCTGAGGGGCTGGGGAAGGAGAAGCAGGATGGCAAAAAAAATGCAAAACTCAAAGAACACGAGCAAAGCAAAACAAAAAAAGGGGGTATTTTAGAGAGCAGAGAATATAAAAAAGTGTGAACAGAATGCTAGGATATAAAATGAAGGGATCAGAAGAGATAACAATTAATAAAAACAATCCAGGAGAAAAACGTAACACTCACACATTGAATTTTTAAGTGGTTAAATAACAATAAACTTTAGCTAAGTATTTCCTTCACATTTTAGCTTTCATTTTGAAGGTGAGACATCTTCAAATTATTCTGAAATTATGTAAGCCACTTAGATGAAGGTTTACGAGTCATTGATCAGATCTAGAATATAGCCCCCAAATTAAGGTAATCTCAGCACAAAACAATTTAAGAAATTGGATATGTCAATGTTCAATAAGTCCCCTGAAAAATATGACATGGAAAACAAGCAGCTTTATTTCTCTACATCTCTTGACAAGCTAACTAATTTATTTGTTTAAAAAGGAGAGAGAAAACTAGGGAGTATTATACGGATAACCATAATACATTGTTAAATGACAAAATAAAGTTTTGGAGTAATTAACAGAGACACCATGATTCTATAATAGTATAAGAAAAGTAACAAAAAAAATCACACTAGTATGTACACATCTGTGCTTATACAGTGTTTTTAATGGACATAGAGAAAAGACACAAAAAACATAAACAACAAGCTGTTACTTGGGGTGATGGTAGGATTACCTATTTATCTCAGTATTGTTTTCCTTTTCAAAATAATCATATTACTTTCTTGATTTGAAAATCATCAAAAACAATAAAAACACACACAAAAAAAATCATCAAATTACAAAATTTTTAACAAAAAGATCTTCCCTTTTAGGCTCTGATGCCCTCCCCTAAAACTGACCTAATGTTCTAGGTAACTAGAGGAAAGACTTGCTCTTTTCTGTGGCAATCTTTTTGTTTTAAGCCAAGATCTTCCATGGCTTATCTACTGTATGGTTCATTTTATATGTCAGCTTGACTGGGCCTCAGGTGCCCAGATAACTGATTAAATATTATTTCTGGGTATGTCTGTCAGGGTATTCCTGGATGAGTTTATCATTTGAATTGTTAGACTGAAGAAACCAGATTGCCTCCAGCAATGTCAGTGGACCTTATACAAAATCCATGGAGGTCCTGAATGGGGAAAAACAAAAAACAGAAAAGCCAGAGGAAAGGAGAAGCTTTCTCTCTGCCTAACTGCTTGAGCTGGCTCTTCTCTTGCCCTCAGACTGGGACTTACTCAATTGACTCTTCTGGCTCTTTGGACTCAGACTAGAACTCACATCATCAGTTCTCCCAGTTCTTAGGTCTGTGGACTCAGACTGGAACTATACCATAGGCTCTGCTGGGTCTCCAGCTTGGTGACTACAGATAATGGAACTCTCAACTTCCATAACCGTGTGAGCCAATTCCTCATAGTAAGTCTCTTTTTACGTATATCTCTATCTCCTATCGGTTCTGTTTCTCTGGAGAATCCTAATGAATACCTACTTAATATCAAGAAGCAGCCCTGCCACTTATCCACCTGTGATATCATCCCAAGAAGTATAAAACCTCTATGTGTCTCATTAGGCAAAACCTTCAGGTAGTATGTAAGTCCTCATAATTTTTCTTGGCTATTGCTTACTTTCAAAGCAAACCGTCACACAGGATCCTGTTTATTTTCTCAAAAGGCTGTTCTCTCTTCTTTGCGTCTCCTATGAAGGCATAATGCCAAATTGTACAGCTATGATCATGCCCAAGCCCAAGCAATAATCCAAGCCTCATAAATAAAGGATAATTATAACCTTAGTCCAGAAACAAACAGCTGGACGTGAGCTCTGCAAAAATCAGAACCTTCTTCCAAAACCAGAATAAAACTGCTTCACAGAGAGACAGCAATGTGCATTTTAAGGATTCCCTAGAAACTATTTAATTTCAATAAAGCCCTTTTCAAAAAATCCTTTAGAGAAGGACTTTTTCCTTTTACTCTTTGGGATCTAATTTTTGTTAATAAATGTCAACCTTTTTAGGAAAGAATAATTTTCAGTATATCCATTAGTGAGTAAGTTACTTAACAAAGATAGGAAAAAATAAGACTTACAGACTAACATACTAATTCACCAAGAAGAAAATACCTTCAACCCACAAATCACAGGATTTACTTGTCAGAACTGCATAGTCTATTTAGGTATTTTCAAAAGCTAACATCTGACCTTCAATGACTGGTGCAACATGTGTAGCAATAAAAGTATCCCACATATGCGTTTTTAATAATATATGCGACAAGACAAAGATCTTGCTTGATTTTTCTTGTTAACAACAGTAGAAAGGGGGATGGAATTATCAGGAGTATTAGCTATCCACTTATCAGAAGATGAATTTGAATGGGAGAACAAACTCTTACCTTATGCATTTGATGCATGCCTTCCTGTGGGAAGTCTGTGGACCCCATTGTGGGCATAGGATGGGAAACACTTGGAGGTCCAGGACTTGGCCCCATCATGCTGTGGACGGAACCTGGGGATGGTCCTGGTCCTGGACTAGGTCCGAGAATTGGCCCAGGGGAAGGTCCGGGCCCTGGCGAAGGCCCTGGATGGGGCATCGCACCAGGGTCTGTGGGTGTGGACATCTACTTCTCCTGTCTCTGCCAGTCAGTAGAGTAACGCTAAGTTGAAAAGCAGAAAAAAGAAAGGCATGTTTTAAACATGATGTTAAGATCAGAATAAAACAGTTGTTAGCATTTGATGGTGCCATTTCTGTAACAAACATCAAACAGAACTGCCCTGCCTGGTCCAGATGTTTGAGTGAGTGTGATATATATCCGTCTGCCCTAGTCTTTATGAAGACCACTTGTTTAAAAAAACACACATTCTAAATGATTCCCCAGAAAGATATAAATCATCTAAGATACAAAAAGACTCACTGGAGAAACTCAAATTTAACACATAAGCAGAATTCTAAACAAGTTGGATATTTATTACTGCAGTCAACAGATGCTCTCCATTACTTACTGGTTTGGACACCTTACAAGCAATTAACCCTCCCAAAGCCATTAAAATACAGAACCCTTTAAAAAGTATGCAACCAAAACTCATTTTCATAAGTGAGTAGGCATTCAGAACTTCAAGGTAGTTAAACAGGAAAAAATACAATCTTCTAATTTGGGAACAAAAGAGAAGCCCCAATTGTGAAAAAAGAAAAAGCTATAGGAATCAAACAAATATGGGTTCAAATACTCATATATGTAGTTATTAGTTATGTTATTTAATGTTTCTTCATTTGAGATTTCAATGCAAAGACACGTGTTGAAAACACAGCTATATTCCCAGCACAACAAACGGCCACCCTTATTTAGCATTATTTCCCCACAAACTACACTATTCTAGAAGTGATCAGGAGGGACAGTTTAAAACGTGATCCTCCTGCCAGCTAACTAATTGAAGCAGAGACCCCCTCAGACCGTTAAAACCAGGGATTTGTCCCAGACTTGGCTCTAATCAAGAATCCTTGAGAGAAGTCATCCATGACTACTGGATCAGAGCTCACCACAGACGAGGTGTGGAAATTCTGGTTCTACAATTTCAGCAGAACAATATTCCACCACCCACACTCTAAGGCTTCTTGGCATCCCCACTGGAACTGCCTCATAGAGTGGGTACAACTGCATCTTGGTTATGAGCCAGAATGAGTAAATAAGCTGTTTTTCAGATTCTGATAGAGATCAATGATCCCAGCAAGATCGCTGAATACCATTAGCAACAGCAATTGTTCTATATTATGCTGTTACCTTGGAGGCACACACCTGTGCAGAAACTTTTTGCTGTCAACCTCACAAAATACAGAATTAGACATCCTGAGTGACTTGCTTACCCATTGTTTAGTGGCAGAGATGGAATGAGACTGTGGTAGCCTAATCGCCATAACAGGGCTCTTTACCCACAGTGGAATGACGGGCTGGAGGGGCAGTACAAAAAACAAATTTCTTCCATTCCTAGCGACCCATCGCTCTCCCTGAATCTCTGGAGTATGAGGGCCATGAAGGCAGGGCATGCTAAATTTCCCTTGCGCACTCCCAGCACATCAGCCGGCATGTACTCATAGCTCAAAAATTATCTGATGAATCAACTGTAGAGGAAATTTCAAGGGCCAACTATTAATAAAATCAATTTTTTAAGTTTTAACCTTATTTTAATTGTTTGTATTTTTAGAGACAGAGTCTCTCTCTATTACCTAGGCTGGAAGACAGTAGACAGATCATGGCTCACAGCAACCTCAAACTCCTGGACTCAAGTGATCCTCCCCCACCCGCCTCCCAAGTAGCTAGGACTACAGGCAGCGCCACCATGCCAAACTAATTGTTTTACCTTTTGTAAAGACAGAGTCTCACTATATTGCCCAGGCTGGTCTTTAACTCCTAGCCTCAAGTGATCCTCCCACCTTGGCCTCCCAAAATGCTGGGATTACAGGTGTGGAGCCACTGTAGCTGGCTCCAGTTAATTTTATAAATAAAAACCACAGAGTGAGTGTTTGAAGTGTGTTTCCATAAAGAAATCTTTAAAGTGTAGGCAGGAATTTAGGCCATTTTGACAAATAAATTAGCGCTAAAACAGGAAGCAGTCAAAGGCTACTTCAGACTGATCATAAGCAGGGGAGCAAGACAGGACTCAGGGAACCCAGTAGAAGTGGCTTTGAAACAACAGGGGAGCCTCAACAGTGAATTACAGCCTTGAATTCACTGGAGAGCACAGTGTTATTATTTATTCTTTGTGATGAACAAAGCAGACGGAAGTGACTTTTTTTTGCTTTCCCCCACCTCACGCAGGTTCAGTCAGCATTTTAAATTTAGGAACCTGACGTCAACTCGGGGTACTACAAGTTATAATGCTCTTTCATGTATATCAGCACACTAACACACCCTTTTATTTTTTAGTGAATAAACGGAAATTGCTTACTTCCTGTTATGGTTTACATTGATATCAGCTTCAATAGGTATTAAATACCACGAGTTTGAAGAAGGAAGATACAAATACTGAAGGTAGTGAGGCTGATATTCCTGCTTTTAATATAACTGACATGCATTAAATATGAAATTCTAATATATATTAGCCTATAATGCTACTTTCCACATGTATTATCACCTCCACCTAGGAATGTCAGAGAATGTTATAATTACTCATATATGGTCCCATAAAAATGCTCTTCATTATTTTGTTAAACGAAACTATTAAAAACATCTTAGAGGCAGAAACATGTTAGAAGGGAAGGGGAAAATTACAGGCATATAATTGGAATGTTAATATAGGAACATGTTATATAGGAAACTAATAAGAAGAGAACCCTCAGATGCCTGGAATTCAGTGAATGTGTGTGGCTCAGACTAACAGTACAGTTGAACAAATGAAGCAATGTGCCCTGTGCCATATAACTAATGAATGACAGAGATCTGGACTCTCATAGAACTTGATGTGATATTCACTGATGTCCCACTGGGAGCTTAAAGAGCCAGGTTCTGGTCTCAGGGTCACCACCAACTCTGGGGCCCTGGGAAAAGTGCCTTTCCTCTGGGGTCTTGACTTCTCTAGGCTCAGGATAGGAGTATCTCAAATGTCCCTTTCAGCTGTCCACCCATGACTTGACGTCTGCTGCCTCCAGAGCATCTTGAACACTTCATCCAAACCTGTGTGTTGGAAAGTCCATGGATGGGACTTCCAAGGCAAAATCAGGGCTACTAGGATCTGCTGTGGCTACCATCACCCAAGTATACCCAAGGGGAGGACTCTCAAAGACAACAATCCTGGCCTCTCGTTCTTCCTCTTCATTTCGGGTGTTAACTTTATTTTACAGTTCAAGTATATAGTTAAACTTTCTCATAGTAGGAAGAAACCTGGGGAAATAAATTACAAAAAAGGTGCTAGTCTCAAGTAGCACATCATTACTAAGTTAGTACAGTTAAGGTTTAAAGTACAGTATTGGCCAAATCTGCTTCTCCCTCAGCAGCCCTGCCGGTATCCCCTGTACTCTCTGCCCCTTTCTTCTCCAAAGCCCTAAAGAGACAATAGAGATCAGGTGGTGATGACAGCAGCAAACACAGTACGGTGGGCTGGAGGAGAGGGCTCAGATGGACTTCACAGGGCGGGGGTAGGTCTGCTCACATAGTAACACTCAAAATCTACTTTTATTTTATGTTGGGGAAAGGAGGGAGTTTCATGTTATCACAGAAAAGAACTACCTGTTCCACTATTATGTGTATGTGTCTAACAACATAATGACAAAAATGTATCTGGGGCGAGGGGGACACAGCAACCTCCCCATACTCATGCACTGCTGGTCCCCTATCCTCCCCGAGACCAGGACTCCCTGAGGGTCAAACCACAAGGTTCTTAGGCAAGAATTTCTCAGCAGTATATTCTATCTTTATTTCATCCTTACTTCCCACATTCCCACCTTCACAACTAGAGAGTGTGTTTTTAAAAAGAAGAGGCCCCAGAAGAGCTTCCCAGAACTCCAAACACCACAGTCATCCTCCCTCAGCCCAAATCTCCATCCTCTGCCTTGGCTGAAAGGCTCAGCCCAACCATCTGCATATTAAAAGGAGTTCAACTCCATGGAATTTTAAGGGTCACTTCTCCAACCATGACAAAACTTGTCTTACAGTCTAACTGTAATCAACAGAAACGCCAAAGACCACCCTCCACATATGGAGTAATATTTGAACACACCTACATGTGCTTCCTAATAATTCTAGTGACTTGAACTGAAGAGACATTTTGCCACACCCCCATTGAAAAGATGAGGGCAGTAAGACAGAAAGGGAAAACGTGGCTTGCCCAAAGTAACATCTGCAACAAGAGAGAAACCTCAGGCAGAACCTTTTCTCCCTTGACTCCCAACCCAACACTGAGCTGTTACACGGATCAAGCAAGCCATCCACCAGGATAGAGTTTTCACCAATGTGCAGGGGTAGAAAGTAGAAGGCAAAGAAAAAAAAATCAGAAACAATGGGAGGGATATATTGCAAGGACTAGGCTTGGCTGTGATAATATATTAACTTACAACAGGCTAGAGAAGTAAAGGGAAGCCCTGGAATATGAGATGAAGACAATGTCATAAACTAAAAAGGTCGATGATGTTTTACTTACTTATTCCCACCTATACCGAGGATCTACCAGGTACAAGGCAAGCAGGGGGTACAAAAATGAATAGCGGGCTTACCCCGGAACTCTGAAAGTCTGATAGGGAAATAAGACTTGCGTCTAAGTAGGAACAAGAGAAAAATAATGAAATCCTGCAGGACATGAAGGAGTACAGCTAAACTATCCAACACAGTCATAGAGTGGGAGACATTACTTTTAACTCGGAGGATAAAGGAGATAAAGGAATTAGGGAAGGTGTAATGGAAAAGGTAGCATTTCAGCGAGGCCCTTAAGTTAAAAAAAAAAAGTTTCCTAGAAACTTTTGTTTTCTAGTCACAGGGTTTGGGGAAGCACACCAACCTTGACAATATCTCTTAAATTGCTCTTCACCAAACTTCCTAAGAAGACACAAGGAAATCTTGGATCTCCAGCATATCTTTTTTCACCACTCTCTTTACAGAAAAACTTTGATGTCCAGGTTAAAGGTGGAATATCAGAAATAAAAGTTAGGTCCAGTCCACATCTCTAAGAA